AGGAGTACAATATTATTGCTGATTATACCAATTGTTGTTGAAATCCATTACATTTTCATCTAAATTGTCAAATGGTTTCATAATTATCATTGTATAGTATATACAGTATTCCAGTCTCAAGGCCTATCCAACAAAATGGACGTTTCACTGAAGAGTTATCTGCAGATTACTGTATTCCATGCTGGCTTCACTATAATAAAGATATCGCCTTGGTGAAATTTTTGAAATATATATTTTCCCAAAATAAATGTGTTTCCAGATGTCCCTTGTGAATACACAAGCATCTTTCAGACGGGGAGGATTTTGTGGTTAAAGCTGAAAAATAACCATCCCAATGTCTGACTTTCGAACACAAGCTTAGCTTGAAATCTGACTCAAGTATGTGAAGTTAATTTAACAAACAAAACTGCACTTAATGCTCAACTTGTATTCAATTGTATTTCATCTGGTGTATTTCGTCTTAAGGGACGCTGCTGTGGTGTAATGGTTAACAAACGAGACTTGCAATCCAGAGGTTGCCGGTTTGATCTCCTTGCTGGCCAATTGTAACAATGAGGCTGTGTTCTTAGAACCCTCTTGCCTCTCTCCACCCAGCAGTACAAATGGATATACCACAGTCTGTAGAATGATAGGTCACGTGTGGTACGATAAAGTGTGGATACTCTTAACGTTTCAAAGGCGTCTGGCCACCTTGGAAGAGTAGGCCACATACAGTACCTTTAGAAGAGCCTATCTCGAGCTCGCTCAAGTGGAGGCCATTCAGGGAAACTCCTACAACTTTCTCTAAACACGATATACTTGAAGCAGCAACTGAGCGTATTGTATAAATAACGTGTGCAGGCTATCCTCGGAAACATTCTGAAAATGGCTGAAAGTTTTACATTTGCAAGGGCAGGTCATTTTGGTTTCTCCGGTTTGAGGATGGCAATGTTTAATGACTTCTTCTCGAACAGTCCTCAACTTCACACAATTGGGAACAATGTCCAATACACACGCAGAGGGGCGTACGGCACGGTCGACGTTAAACAAACCTTAAACAAATGTTAAAAGTTCAACAGAATGAGTAATGTGATCTGGATTTGTCTCTCATGCATTCTACTCGAGCTCCCACCCCCTGTGCATATTAGGGAAAGCGCTGCAATTCCCATCCCTTAAATATAATACTCTGAATTGTAAATGTTGTGGGCTTACTCTCCAACAGACCGATGTGCTGAACTAGTAACGCATTGGCATGTTTTGATTACGTGGCAACCCTTACGAATTGGCTGTCGGGTGGTGGCGGGTTAACGACACATTTATATTTACGCGATCTAAATGAAAAACCTCTATTATGAATTATAATACCGGACAGACTTTAGAAGCGGGGTTGGGGGTACAGAAGGGCAGCTAAGCCCCCTACATCCCCTATACCCCCCCCCCCGACACTATGAGGCCAGTGCAACCCCAGTGATCCTCATGGACTGCCTCTAAATGAGAGGAGGCACGGCGTTGGGGGCATTGTCCATGGGGGGGGGGGGGGGGGTCACATCACCGCCGCCCGTGAGTCATCCGTCTCTCTCCGAGACGAGTTCGACAAAATCCCCATCCCAGAACGAAAAGCGCCTCCACACACGGCGACGACTTGAGGACGCCAGCCTCCACTCCTGGGGGTTGCACAGCGCCTCTGGCGTGACGGTGGCCGGGCTCAGCACGTGGTGGTGATGGTGGTGGTGATGGTGGTGGTGATGGTGGTAATGTTGACAGTGGTGATGGTGGTGTTGGTGGTGATGGTGGTGATGGTGATGGTGGTTTTGATGATGGTGGTGATGATGGTGGTGATGGTGGTGATGGTGGTGATGGTGGTGGTTATGGTGGTGGTAATGGTGGTGGTGATGATGGTGGTGATGGTAATGTTGATAGTGGTGATGGTGGTGTTGGTGGTGGTGATGGTGGTGATGGTGGTGATGGTGGTGATGGTGATGGTGGTGGTGATGATGGTGGTGATGGTGGTGATGATGGTGGTGGTGGTGATGATGGTGGTGATGGTGGTGATGGTGGTGATGGTGGTGGTGATGGTGGTGGTGGTTATGGTGGTGGTGATGATGGTGGTGATGGTGGTGATGATGGTGGTGGTGGTGATGATGGTGGTGATGGTGGTGATGGTGGTGATGGTGGTGGTGATGGTGGTGGTGGTTATGGTGGTGGTGGTGGTGATGGTGGTGGTGGTGATGGTGGTGATGGTGGTGATGGTGATGGTGGTGATGATGGTGATGGTGGTGGTGATGGTGGTGATGATGGTGGTGATGATGATGGTGGTGATGGTGGTGATGGTGGTTATCAGCCGCCTCTTGGCCCCGCTCTGTCTCGCTCCCTGCGTGTCCGTGCCGCCCTCTGTGAGTGTCCTGCAGGAACGACGATTCGACAGGGAGGAGTGGAAGTCGTCAACGGGTCTCCGTTATTGTCACATTGGGATGTCGGATCTCTTATTGGCGGTTCAGCAGTGGACATTCCACATTGCTGTGGTGGATAACTGCGTGTCTATGCTGTTTTATGCTAATCGATCGGTTATCTAAATGTGGCATCTCTAGTATTGACCCTTTGAGGATGATTGGCTGATAATGTAGACCGGAGACATTTAGAATGTATTGGTTTGTTTGAAGGTGTCATGTGCACCATCCTTTATAATGTCTTGTGATGACTCACTGTCGTCTGGATTTATGTGATGTAGGCACGCACGCTAGACTTGAGCTCTGAACAAAAGAACCTAATTAAAGCAGCTTTACAAAGTGTGATGTCTTAATAGATCACTGTTTAAGAACGGGATGCCAATTCTAACAATAAAAAAATATCCATTTGCAAAAAAATCTATTGTTTACTGCTGTGTTTCCTACTAAATATTTGTTGATGGGGAAAAAAACTGGTCAAGAATCAGGTGAAAACTGTTCATAACATTTCTTCGAAATGTTGAAGCCACCACATTACACCGGACGTCAATGCAAGTGAACATTGCGAATATTTATCAACAGCAGCGCCTTGCAGAGAGAGAGAGAGAGGGGGCTGCCACCGATGGTCGTGGGGCACGACTCGCCAACACCGTGGCTCGCTCCAGCAATGTTTTTTGTACTGTACAGAGTGGTCCAAATGTGTTGTGATCCCGCCAACGTAATCCTCTAAAACTTAATATTTGAAAGTTGGGTTTTTTTTTAAACGGAAAGAAATATCCAAAGGGAAAAGACAAATGTTAGGGGTAAAGTATTTGGAGGTCACAAGACATCTGGACCAATCTGTAGTGGGTAGCGTTCATTGTAACTTTTTTGTTCCTTCAACATTTTCAACTTGGAAGTGCCAGTTCCATGACGCGCTTGAAGCGACATCGCTGGCTGAGTCTTGGCTGCCAACAATCCCCTCTCTCTCTCTCTCGTCCCGCGGTTGTTTGTTCCAGAGGTCGGCATTGCGAACGGGCTCCGTGGCACGGCCCATCGTCCTCCCCACGGGAGGAGGCGCACAGCGAGAGACACACATCCCACACCCCGCTCGTGCCTGGCCCTCGGCAATTTAGACATCACAGCCGCCGCCGCCGCTCCCAACCCGCGGATTTAAGTTGCACGCTTCGGTGGGTGAGTGGCGGTGGGCACTTCGCTGGCCGTCTCCCTCCCCTCTGCTTCCCCCTCGGGTGGGTGGCTGGGTGGTGTTGGTGGGTAGCTGGGTGGTGTTGGTGGTTGTGGAGTGGTTGGTTGGCTGGGTGGTGTTGGTGGTTGTGGGGTGGCTGGGTGGTGTTGGTGGTTGTGGGGGTGGCTGGGTGGTGTTGGTGGTTGTGGGGGTGGCTGGGTGGTGTTGGTGGTTGTGGGGGTGACTGGGTGGTGTTGGTGGTTGGGGGTTGGCTGGGTGGTGTTGGTGGTTGTGGGGTGGCTGGTGTTGGTGGTTGTGGAGTGGCTGGGTGGTGTTGGTGGTTGTGGGGTGGCTGGGTGGTGGTTGTGGAGTGGCTGGGTGGTGTTGGTGGTTGTGGGGTGGCTGGGTGGTGTTGGTGGTTGGGGTGGGGGCTGGGTGGTGTTGATGGTGAGGGGTGGCTGGGTGGTGTTGGTGGTTGGGGTGGGGGGGCTGGGTGGTGTTGGTGGTTGAGGGGTGGCTGGGTGGTGTTGGTGGTTGGGGTGGGGGGGCTGGGTGGTGTTGGTGGTTGTGGGGTGGCTGGGTGGTGTTGGTGGTTGGGGTGGGGGGGCTGGGTGGTGTTGGTGGTGGTGGGGTGGCTGGGTGGTGTTGGTGGTTGGGGTGGGGGGGGCTGGGTGGTGTTGGTGGTTGTGGGGTGGCTGGGTGGTGTTGGTGTTTGGGGTGGGGGGGCTGGGTGGTGTTGGTGGTTGTGGGGTGGCTGGGTGGTGTTGGTGGTTGGGTGGGGGGGTGGCTGGGTTTGGTGTTGTGGGGGTGGCTGGGTGTGTTGGTAGTTGTGGGGTGGCTGGGTGGTGTTGGTGGTTGTGGGGTGGCTGGATGGGTGGTGTTGGTGGTTGTGGGGGTGGCTGGGTGGTGTTGGTGGTTGTGGGGTGGCTGGGTGGTGTTGGTGGTTGTGGGGTGGCTGGATGGGTGGTGTTGGTGGTTGGGGGGGTGGCTGGGTAGTGTTGGTGGTTGTGGGGTGGCTGGGTGGTGTTGGTAGTTGTGGGGTGGCTGGCTGGGTGGTGTTGGTGGTTGTGGGGTGGCTGGATGGGTGGTGTTGGTGGTTGTGGGGGTGGCTGGGTGGTGTTGGTGGTTGTGGGGTGGCTGGGTGGTGTTGGTGGTTGTGGGGTGGCTGGATGGGTGGTGTTGGTGGTTGGGGGGGTGGCTGGGTAGTGTTGGTGGTTGTGGGGTGGCTGGGTGGTGTTGGTGGTTGTGGGGGTGGCTGGGTGGTGTTGGTGGTTGGGGGGGGGGGTGGCTGGTCGGGAGGCTGGGCCACGTGAGCCGCGTGCGTCTGCAATTTGGGGTGGGTGGTGTGGCTGGGTGGGTGTGGTGGGGGGTGTCTCGGTTGGAGGCTGAAGAGGAGTAAGAATGCGCTGCTCCTCGCACCGCGCAGTCACAGCCCGCGCCGCCTCCTTCGCGAGTGTCGCTGCCTGCGTCTCCGTCACCGGGAATTGCGCCCCGCGTCCTCCTCGCCCCGAGGCGACGTCACAATTAGAGAGGACCTCGCGCAGATTGGAAGGTGAACGGCCGCGAGTGTCAGTGATGATGTTGAGTGATGATGATGATGTTGAGTGATGATGTTGATGTTGAGTGATGATGAGTGATGATGTTGAGTGATGATGATGATGATGTTGAGTGATGATGTTGTGTGATGATGACGAGTGATGATGTTGTGTGATGATGATGAGTGATGATGTTGATGTTGAGTGATGATGTTGAGTGATGATGTTGATGTTGAGTGATGATGTTGAGTGATGATGTTGAGTGATGATGTTGAGTGATGATGATGATGATGATGTTGAGTGATGAGTGATGCTGTTGAGTGATGATGTTGAGTGATGATGTGTGATGATGATGATGTTGAGTGATGATGTTGAGTGATGGTGTTGAGTGATGATGTGTGATGATGATGATGTTGAGTGATGATGTTGAGTGATGATGTTGTTGAGTGATGATGTTGAGTGTTGATGTTGTTGAGTGATGATGTTGGTGATGATGATGATGTTGAGTGATAATGTTGAGTGATGATGTTGTTGAGTGATGATGTTGTTGAGTGATGATGTTGTTGAGTGATGATGTTGAGTGATGATGTTGCTGAGTGATGATGTTGAGTGATGATGTTGATGTTGAGTGATGATGTTGAGTGATGATGTTGAGTGATGATGTTGAGTGATGATGTGTGATGATGATGATGTTGAGTGATGATGTTGAGTGATGATGTTGAGTGATGATGTTGAGTGATGATGTTGAGTGATGATGTGTGATGATGATGATGTTGCGTGAGCAGCAGCGGTGGACTTTGTGTGTAAATTACTTTACTAGCAGAGGTGGAGGACAAGACACGTGGGTTTTACGCGTGTGTAAATAAGTCTGTGACATCTTTCGTCTGGTGTGAATGTGAATTCGCTTGTTAATTTGGTTACTAGGAGAGTTGAGTCGACATGAATGTCTCTCTCATCGTGTACAACGCACCGGTGTCGATGTGACTGCAGTGGCATGGCCTGGTAATACTCGGCGTCAATTCAATATAATGTTATCGTAGTATATCGAGGTAATTACATGTACACACATTTTCTAATGTAAAAACATTTAAATGTAAACCGCAAATGCAGAATTGTCAAGTTATGTTTATTTACAACTACGGTACCGTTCACATAAGAGCATACGAGCAACGTGGTGTATGTGTCGTAGATTGTTGATGTTCCTTACATGGGTGAGCGTGTGGCACAGAGTCACACTGGAGTGGCTTGCTTTGGGGATGGAACGGGGCATCAAATCAGCAACGATGTACGAATACCAAAGCTCACCGACGTGCCATAACGTTTTAATCGGTGTTGTGTCACCTGTTTTGCAATGACACGGATCCGATATATGGACATTGCCAAAAAAATATGGGGAAAGGCTGAACGTGTGCAGAAAATGCACTGCGAAGTCGTCAGGCGCTTGATTAGAATTATAGAGAGAGGCAAAAAGAGGAATAAACACAAGTTACGTACATCATGTTGACTAAGTACAGGAAGTGGGGTTGAGCAGGACATGCTGCGACACGGGATGATGGCTGGTGGTCGAGATTAATAGCAGCTGAAGGCGCTATTAACACGCGGCAAAGAGTGGATGTCCACCAGGGAGATGAAGCAACGACATCAACTTTTGCGCAAGAGCGAGCTCGATTGTTGCTGCTTAAGACCGTTCGGGATGGCGAGGCTTCGGGGAGGCCTTCATCTAGCAGTGGATCGATAATGGCCGATTATATTAACGATCAGTTCTGTGTAATGGGGTTCACATCACCGCGGCACCCACGGGAGGTGCTACTATTCACCACAACGTTCAAAAGAAGATTATTGAATGAAACCAGAAGCTTTGGTCGCGACAATTAATCGAATTCGTCGTGGGCATTGTGTGTGGTGAACCCCTGGGTGAAAAAGGTAAAGGTGCAGCCCTGCAAATTCTTGATCTGTGCAACTGCTGCTGGTGGAGCATCTCCACTAAAGGCATCTCTGGAGAGCCCCTCCAGAGGGTGTTCACTCCTGCATAGGCGGATGATTTATTACAGACCTTATTTTTTCTCTTTTTCTATTTCACTACACGGGATTTTTTTTACAACGATGGCGTAAGCTGGGTGTTACATAAGATGATAGTTTTTTACTTGTTTTTTTTTACCAGAAATACATTTTCAAGAAGTACACCCCAACTGCTCGGACGGAAGTTCTGGCGGCAAACGCATACAGAAAGATACGTGGTTAAAGGGGCAAAGTGCCTGTAATAAACAAGGGGGGGGGGGGTCTAACGATGTGTTTTTTCACTGATTGATGTTTGATTCTTAAGCTCGCCAGTCACAAATTGATTTGCGGATGTAAGAAATGACATTTATCGAGTCATGTATGTTGTATAGAATGGTTTCATATCACTATTGCAGCCAACCGGGTGCTGCTACATTCATGGTAATCTTGATTTGAAGCTTTCGTGACTCTTGGGTTCTTTCGGTAAAGTCACGCTGGTTCAGCAGTTCCACTGCTGGATTATTTTATCCGCCTGAGGACGACCGCTTGTGTTGCGATCGAAACGTCGTGATATATATTTTTTGTTTTATTTTATTTTTCTACCTACGTGACTTTACCGAAAGAACCAATGAGCACTCATGGTAATGTTAAAATAGTATTGATATGTTTGTTTTTATGGATCGAATAACAACCCTGAATTATATCAATCAATTGAATTGGGAGAGGCGGCGAAATGTGACGTGCCTAGTTCCTGACGGAAGGGCGGCACGTTGGGAGACACAACTTTGCCACAACTTGGAAGTCTTCAGCGAGCCACCTCATCACGTGACGTTTCCGTGACCGTCAGGTCGCCGTTGACTGCGTCTCTGAAATGTTCTCTTCTCCGTCTACTTTCTCACTGTTGTCCAGCTCACAGTTTGCCTTGCAATGCCGTTCTCGTCCATACGATGCAGACAATTTACGCGTCTCTATCATCTCTTTCTGATTAATATCCTCCACCGTTGATCATCCGGTTTTTCTCGTGACCTCTCTGTTGGTGACCCTGTCCTTCCAGACTATTCCCACGATCATTCTGACCATCGGTGGTGGTAGTGCGCTGCCTCAGGACCTTCATGTGTGCCCACTATTGTGTGCCATGTTTCCGCTGTACACACAGCAAAAGCCATGGGTTTGTATCATCTCATCTTCGTGGCTTGTACTCATTCCCTTGCGTCTACAGATGTTAGCTTGCCTTCCTTGCCGAATAATATGTAAGAAAGGAGCTGTTCAGAGACAAATGATATAAGAATTTGGGTTTGCTCATGCAAAAGGCCAAGGCGACCGAATGTGCATCTTACTGCGTACATATTTGTACTTATTTACAGTCAATCGGTTTCCTAAACACTTCCAATTAGCACAGTTGGCCACGTACGGTGCGGCAGAAGTTCAACATACCACAAAACTAACATGACATCTATAATGCAAGGCAGCAACAAGGAAGTCAAACCACCACTGTATTCCCAATTAAATTTAGTTCGTTAAAATTATTTCATGAATTAAACTGACGTTAATCTTAAGTAATATATATAAAAGGAAAATTTGTGTGTGTCTGTTCAAAATGTTTAACGTACTTCCCGTCATGCAACAAACTTGAAATTTGCCATGTGGGTACTTTCCAGACTGTACACCATTCAAAAACGTTAAAAATAGACTTCTGTATTTTTCTTGGGGGGGGAGAGCGCAATAATGCAGAGATTCTGCACGGCAAGTGAGCTGTGACGTCACATGTGTCATGTCACCCGCATGTGGAAGCGTCACGCAGTGTGCCTGTTCATGTCACGCACCCCCCCCACCCTCCACGAGTTAAGTGCCATACAAATGTGTTGCAGGTCTACGGCGTTCTTCGCGCAGCATTGCTGCTTTATTATTTCAGTCGTTTACTGCCATACGCACCCTGAAAGTCGTGTGTCTGCTGCAAGCGCGTGTATGTGGACGTGTGCGCGTGTGCGTGTGGGGGGAGCGGTAGTGTAGTGGTTAGTGCGCTGTCTGTGTGTCTGTGTGTGTGTGTGGGGGGAGCGGTGGTGTAGTGGTTAGTGCGCTGTCTGTGTGGGGGGAGCGGTAGTGTAGTGGTTAGTGCGCTGCGCTACGAACCCGGCGACCCGCGTTTGATTCCCGCTCACGGCCACCACCGGTGACGATTATTTGAACTGGTCCTGGACCTCCCCTAGGTCGACTCAGCCTCAAACGAGTAATTGGTGTGCTGTGTGAACTTCGCGACTGGGGAGACAAAGGCGGCCGGGCGTGGTGAATCCAAGTCCCGGGCGAAGCCGGGTAGTAAAGCTAGTATAAGTACATATAAAATGGCCTTAGGGCCATGTGAACGCATACTTGTCATTATTTTGGCCAGCACGCCTGATTTCCATGTTGTATAACAAAGCACCTATACTTTTTTTTATACTTTATAAATGAGAAAAAATAAGTAAGAAATGTATTCCTGAAACGCAAATATGGCCTTGCAAAAATATGCATTGCTTTCCTGGGCCTTGCAGATTGATTTGAAATGTTGTTTAGCCAAGCATTATAGCTGTTCTGTTCAAAGGGTAAGACACATGACTGTAAATTGTAATATGGAAAGACATTTAATAACATTTAAAACACATAATTTAAGTCGTGAAAAAGGATAATTCAACGTTTACGTCAGAGCTGGAAAATGTTCAACTCAGTTGAACCAAACTCCATGGAACAACAATAGTAGGTTTTGATTTGCAACAAAGATAAAGCTCCGAACCATAATTTTTTTTAAAGCTAAATGAAAGGAAACAGCTTGGACAGGGAAGAGGCTTTTCCAAACAGCAGCAGCGGGACACTGGGAAACCCATCGCCCATTGTTTGCGAGCTGCCTCATTGTCAGATAATTCCACACTTGTGGATTTGCCGGTGCTTTGGAGGGCAGAAGTTTGGCATTGAATGCAAATGATGTCAATGTACAGCGTAATTCCGTGGCCCACCTGTTTGCTTTATCCAAAAGCAAGCAGAGGCACAATCGTCAAAGGGGACAGCACCCAGCGTTACTTACGTCCTTGTGTTTCCTAACCGCCAAAAGAAAACACCGTTTGACATTTATTTGGAATTTGTATGGAATTGTATTGGAGAATTCCCATGAAAGGGGTGGAGCGGTGGTGTTGAGAATTAGCACGAGCGGTTAAAGCAGACATTTAAGACTGCATCATTTTCTTGGTTCTTTCGGTAAAGTCACGTAGAAGGGAAGTAATAAAATAATAAAAATAAAACATAATAAAACAATTCTCACGACGTTTCGGCCAAAACGTCGTGAGAATTGTTTTATTATGTTTTATTTTTATTATTTTATTACTTCCCTTCTACGTGACTTTACCGAAAGAACCAAGAAGATGAATCCCTGCAGTCACGAAAGTTTTAAATCGAAAAATTGACTGCATCATTATTTAGAAGGTGAGACAATGCGAATGAAACCCACGTTCCTCTTGTGTTCCTCGTGTGTGCCATGAAGTGGGAAATAAGTCGCTTGGGATTTCCCTCCCAATTTAATCGCTGGTTATCCCACCGCACGATCAACCCAGCAACTTGAATGTGCTTCCCACCCAAGGCGAACTAATAGCAGTGACGCGTGATATCTCAACAAACCGGTCCTACCGTCAACCGCCTATTCACCAACCCACACTGATCAGCATGGTGAGGGATGGGCCAACAAACCCCATTACCAATACAGTGTCAAGAGCTCTTCATCCAGCAGTGGATTGACAAAGGGCTGTACATTATGTTGTATTACTCTTGGTGTTACCAAACTCATTATGTGCTGCTGCGGCGTGTTCTGGATAATAGGTTCCTATCAATAACGTGGGGTAAAACCAGCAGTGCTTGTTTTGCAAGTCTAAGTTTAACTCTGATGATGAGACTCAGAAGGTGCAAAACCGGTCCATGTTTAAAAAATGCTGCTGGTAATCACAAGTTTGGAAGGCCAATAGGCTGATAGACTAAAGGTATACATTACAATTACAGAATGAAGGCAGTGCCGGAGTAAGCTAGTGCGGGACTGTAGCATATGTTATAAAGGGGCCCTAAATAAAAAAAAAACATATTAAAACACAAATGTTTAACTTGCACAGTAAAGTAATTGCATTTTTTCATTTGCTATACAGCCAGATAATACGACAAATCGCTAACCTTAAACACCCAGTCGTTCATAAAAGTTGAAGGCAGTGTATTACTATAGTAATAGAGCAAGTGCAGAATCACTGAACCGGAATTGATAGCTTGAAAGCATTTAGCGCGGGGCCCTTAAAAGTGCGGGGCCCGCAGCTACATTTGTGGCGACTGTTGCTACGAGGATAATCCGGCACTGCATGAAGGTCAATGTATTACCGTAATTGTATTACCATAAATGGTAACAAATGGCTTTAAACAGACAACTACCATATCTGCCTGCGCCAAACATGGTTTGCTAAGTTTGTTGTGAGTCATTGAATAATTTATGCTCAATATTTCCTGCCTAATTGAGTCCCACTTTGCTGACACTTTCCCCCTGTACTGCACGTGTTGTGGAGGTCTCTGCGTTGTTCTTTACATACAACACACCGTCACAGTTTTGCATTTATGAGAACACTTTTTAAAGTATGAACAAATTGTTCGTGTCGGGCTGCAATGTATTTCTCACACCACTGCTGGTATCAGGGCCTCCACTAGACGGAGCTCTAAAGCGCCCCTTTTAAGGTGCAAATTGGCCTATTAGTCCAAGCTGTCTAGATGAGATAGGAGTACCCACACATTACCCCACCACAAACTACCTGCTGGTGGACTAACTGTGGTGTCCTTATACGGCTGGGTGGATAGAGGGGGGCTGGTGGCTTTAAGAAACCTGCACCATTCTTTCAACTGCTGGTAGACAGAACCCACGACCTCTGAGTTGCAAGTCTGGTTTGTGAACCATTACACATTGGCACCTTAAGACAAAAACACTGGATAACAGCAACTGAAGCACAATTTTTCATGAAGTGCACTTTTATTTGTTAAATTAACTTGATATACTCGAGTCAGATTTTGAGCTAAGCGGGTGTTTGAAATTCAGACATTACGGACTCCCATCTGAAAAATGCGTGTGTATGCTCAAAGGACATCTGGAAAAAATGTATTCAGCGATTTTTTTTTTGTATGAATAGGACAGTGACGTGACTAATGGAAGTGGATTTGGCATAGCAACCTGTGTGGTGCGTGAAGAACAACAAAGATACAAAGGGTGAACACCTGCTTTAGCACGGCGACTTTGCAGAACCTCGTCGACACGTCTTCGCTCGTGTGGCCTCGTATATAAATGCAGAGTAGTGACTTTAATCCTTCTGTCGCCCACAAATCCAATCTTGCCTCGTCACTGCACACAAGATAATGTTGAAAAAGCTCATCGTAAAAATATACCCATGGCTGGCGTCAGCACAGATTTGTCACACACACACAGTTCCTCCTCGTGACAAAGGCAGCCTGCGAGTGGAAGAGCTAGTTTTGGTGTTTTGTGACGGGAAGCGGCTGAAAATACGCTGTGTTCTTTCACAAGCTTATCGTACCCCCTGGCATGTTCCCATCTGAATTATTTTAGTATCCATTTTACAAAAAAAACATTTGTGAAATGGATAACGAAAAGCAGCGTTGTGTGCATGCACGCAGGAATTTCGCCATTAGACACCCGCATATAATATAAAGTCACGCTTTGTGTGCTATATGGTCAAAATGTGAACTATGATATGCGTTATATTTATAATGAAGGACTGCTGTGGCAACCAGACGTATAAACCTTCAATCTGGCCAGGAGGTCGCGAGCAGTTAAATCCTCGTTGGGTGTTGCCTTGGTCCACCACCCCTCTGGGTTCGATAAAGCGAGTTTCACGTTGCGGAGAAATAAACAGAGGTTGTCCTAGTGATAGATACCCCCCCCCCCCGACCATCATCATTTTAACGTGGGATTTACACGGCTGGCTCAGCGCTTCAAACAATAGATTGACACCACCTCTACCCTCACTTGAGCAATCGCATAGGCTTTGAAATGTGTAGACATTGCAATGTGTATTCCACTTTTCCCCGACAGTCTGCATGTTAACTTTCGTGTGCGCTGTCTCTTAGGTTACGTCTAACATTTAAGAGTGCATTGCCCATTGGGTGGGGTGTGACTGAGTTTTGCGGCGTGGGTGAGTAATATTAGCAGACCGGAATAGCCAAACACTTTAAGTGTGTGTTTTGGCAATTACATCACAATAATGGAGAGTACTGCTGCTTTGGGTTTTTGTTGCTGAATGGCTATATGATGTGTATTAAGTTTTTACCGAGGGCTGGCAGTCACAACCCAAAATACACAACCCAGAGCAATGGTGTGGAGTCCTTCCAGAGTTCCTGTTTGATTACCGCATTGTAGTTGATAATCGCGCCTTTTCCAACGTGGTGTGCTTTATGTAGTGATTTAATTGTTCGAGTCGTTGTAAACATAGACAAGAACATATTGCACAAAATACGTTTCTGTTGGACACTGCGTTCGTAGGAAACATTGCACAGTTTGCATTTTGTCTAAACTTTTTTTGCAGACTGTCTGATACACGGGGAAAACATATCATGTTTCAGTCAAGGAAGGATGGAAGAAGAAGAGCTGGGATCTTTTGAAAGTATAAAGAGGATCGGATGAGGACTATAGATGAGTGGCAGACAAGAAGTCGTGGACCAGTTGGTTTTTAACAAAAGAAGAAGAATAGAGTAGTGGATTGATGCCGTCAGACACTAGGGCATTGCAAAGGTTAATGGGGAGTGAGGAAGGAGAGGTGAAAAACGTATGGTGTCTGCATGGTGAACCACCTAGCCAGGAGTGTCTTCACTTCGTGAAGAAGCTCCTTGCGCGTGGTGTGAAACGTTGGACACCGTGTTGAACGACACATGCTGTACAACCCAATAACGCCTGCCAGAGCTATGAAGCACAACCGCGCAAACTGACGCAGGAGCGGAAACTGACCGATGTCTGACTTGTTGATTTTACATTTCTTGACAGGCAGCAGCAGTGCTTGACCCCCCCCCCCCCCCCCACCGCGCTGGTGAACTGGCGAGCGGAGCTGCCATGCCAATCGGCAAACCCATCTATCTCAAGACCCCCTTGTCGAAAAGGGGCCGCAAGGTTCACCTCCGAGATATCCTCAAACCGGAGATGATCAGCTCCCCCATGGGGGAACTGCGACACCTGGCTCACATCGGACGTGCCGGCAAGGCGGATATGTTCGGAGACCTCACTTTCCTCCAGGTGTGTACACACTATTTATTATTATTATTTGGGGGGCGCCACGGCGGCTAATTGTCAACTACCTCTCCTGGTATGCCAGAGGTCGTGGGCTCGATCCCGACCCTGACGCCTGCTGCTCTATATTTGTAGTTTGCTTGTCTCTCTCCCCGTGGTCGCGTGGATTTTTATCCAGGTCCTCCGGCTTTTTCCTCCACATTTAGAAACATGCGTTTAGAGTATTTGGCTGCTAGAAATGTCCACATGATAAGCCACTTCGTTGAGCTATCATTTGTGGCTCGGTCGCTTCTGAAAAATAACTATATAGCTCAATGGGCCTTACCTGGGGAAAAATAATTTTGGTTTTAGTTATATATTATCACTTAGTTTTTTTGTCTTTTCTCCAAACTTCAACCCGATTTTACCATCGTTAGGGTTTAATTCCACCCGGGTCTGATTAGGTTAATGACCCCAAAAATATTCCAGACCTGGCACACCACATCTAGTGTACCTCTAACTATGGATACTTTTCACGTGTCTGTCGATACTGGTGACCCGGAGAGTATTCAGTGACAAATTAAGCCCTGCCTATCAATCAGTATCATGTCATGAGATGCTGAATCCATTCAACCCGCCTCCCAAGGTAGAGAATGGCCTGTGGAAGCTGATATCATATAACTGCTGTACTTGTGCTTACCGTAACAATATATTTTACACTCTGATCGTGTTTTGTGTTATTTGTTGCTGTCACATTCTGACCTGCCCCTGCTGGACATCTGTGACAATGAACTTCATAGCTCATTGGATTTCTCCAGAATAAATAAATATTCTGATGATTCTATGAAGTGGCCTCTGATCCACACAGCAGAGGACAGTACTTCCACACCCACACTTCCACAAAGTGATGTCAGTCGCATGACGGTCAAACTGATATTTATAATTCTCAAGAGTCAGAATTTCACCAAAATAAGTAGAGCTAAATTTAATATACTTCAGTTTTGTTGTACAGTTGTTGGTGACGGGACTTAGGCAATCAACTTGCTCCACTTGATCTCATCATGGGTGACCACCTGGATTCAAGATCTCACCAGGTCTGGCTCATTGCTCTGACCCCTGAACTATCTGGCTACGTACAATAAAAGCACATCTCAGTGGAAAAAAACCTGTCATTGAGGAATTGGTTTTGTAATAGTGAAAGTGGTCTTATGGTGCTCATGTCTGATTTACAGCCCTGAGCCACGACTGGTGAAAGTTCCCTATTCATATGGTGGGGAAAAATGTGTGGGAGCAGGGAAGTCTATCCATAAGTCAACCAACCACTGGTGACTTCCCACAAAGTGCTGCTCATTTCATTGACCTAAAGGGATAAAGACCTGAGTTGAAGCCTAACGAGAATTGAACTTAACCCCTAACTAGAATTTAACTTTTAACTTTCTGAATTGCGAGCCACTCGCTGTGACTTCAGGGCCACTGAATCATACTGTTGGTGGCATGTTTAGCAACAACGGTGATGGACTTTGTTCAAACAGGAAAGCGTCACTGTGTCTCAGAGCCATCAGGAGGGTCTGGCATCAGGGACGTTTGTCCAATTCATTATTAATGAGTGTCTTTCATGTGGAAGGAAACCAAATTACCCAGTGCTTTGTTCGATATAGGATGAAAAAAAGCAACCGGCACCCAGCGTCAATGCCACTAATGTCCGGGTGTGCAGGGCCGCTTTGACTTGGTGCCAGATTTTCGAGGGCGTTTATCAACTGCGAGCGAAGGCTACATGGATGGACGAGAGGCAGACCTGTCGGCCGATCAGCCCATGCTCAAGACCGCAGTGTCGCTGCCATCCTTGATCGAGCCTATGGCCTTGCCGCAAGAGCACGAGGAGCACAGCGGGTCTGTGGGCGTGGCCTCCAAAGGAGCGCTGATGCTGGCACCACCAAAGCCACCCCGGCTTTACCTGGACCAGGCTGCCGATGAGGTGAGCGATGCGACGGGCTTGCCAACGTCACCACTTGTCTGCTACACAGGTCACAAATGTCTTCTGCTGACATTAGCCGCGCATGCCATGACGTCACAATAAGTCCTCAAGTGCCTATTTTTTGGTGACGTTAAACGGAAGGAAAATCGGTCTCAGTCGAGCTCATTGCAAAGTTTCAAGTCGTCAGATGATTTTATATGTATGGTACATTATTCTATACAACTAATTTTACATTTATTTCCCCCAACGTTGTTAGGCAGGGATTGGCTTCCTCAAATACATAAACTTATCTGTGGCATTTTCCATAACTCATGGAGAGTCTATCTGTGTATAACATCTCGGCAATATTTCATTTTTATCTCAACAATGGAAAAACAAACATTCAGATTTTATTTATTACTCGAGCACAGCAGTGATTCTTGGAGACAGTAAACAGGGGGGACCGAGGGGGAGGGGAAGGAGGAGCGTCACCTAAAATTGAGGATGGGGATGGTCACAGAGGAGCCCATATCCACATGGTCAATGTAAAGACTCCACACGTGACAAAGCACTTCCTAAGAGCACACCAGGGAGGTCTTGTGTTCCCTGCAACAGAATCTGGCAGAAGGGAGGTTTGGTGGTATCCACCGAACTTGAGTGCCTTCCTAGCTACCAAAGAAGCAGCTTCTGAATGGGGGGGAGACTCATTTATTAGTGGGGAGAAAGTGAATTTCCAGCTCCCTCCCCAATAGAAATTGCCACTGCTTAAAATCCTGATCTGGGATCAACGGAGTTCATCATTCAACCCTTCCCATTCAATACATTGAGTGCCACTTTTTATGAATTCGACGTTGGTTGTCCGAAGAATACCATTATATTCCTGACATAGCAATATGGAATTCCCACCACTGACTGGCTCAGGGCTATAAACAGATGAGGGCAGACCCATGTTTGTTTTGGCAGTGATGTAACAACAATTCCGCAATGCAGCATGAGGTTACATAAATTGATGAAGTTCCTCAATCATGACCAGGATGAGAGGACAAGAAATAAAACAATTCACGGCCAAAATATAGAAGCCAAAAACTCCTCACCACAATTTCCAGTAACAGCATGAATATTTAGAATGCATCATCATCATCATGATAATATATACAAGATTATGAACATGTACAGTATCTATATGTTTTTCGTGGATAATATTTAGATCAACGGCACTGATTAAAACATTGTTGATGTCTAAAATAATAAAAAATATTGATCGACAGAGACCTTTCTCGATTTACCGCTGCATGAAGGCCTCTGCATGCCATGCCAATCATTGGGGTTGGTTGTCTATACTTCACCACACTGGTCAGTGCTGGTCGGTGGAGGGGTGGGGAGGAGCCCATGACCAGCACCACGCACGGCCACCTTTGTCTCCTGAATGGTGTAGTTCACACACCGCACCAGGTACTCATTTGAGGCTGAGTCGACCTAGACCGATTCAGATAATCATCAACGGTGTTGGCCGTGAGCGGGAATCGAACTCGGGCTGCCGGGTTCGTAGCATGGCGTGCTAACCACTGCGCCACCGCTCCCCACACTATGTACACACGTAACTATATCACGATTATGTTAGCAACTCCCTCGGGGCGAAACATAACAAATGACTTTGAGAAAGGTCTGTGGCAGCGCCTCGGGGGGTGGGGTGGAGGCACTGCTTCCCATGTGCGCTCTTTCCCCTCTGTGCCCTGCCCACCTCCGCACGCAATTGGAAATGACCGCGTCAGGCAGTGACGTCAATGGCATGATTTATTTTATTTGGGACTAACTCTTACAACAATCGCTAGAATGTTTTTGTATTGTTTTAGCCATCGGCAGTCGTGCCTTAGATGTTCCGGAGCTATTCTTGCTCACCGATACTGTATGTTTTACTGATTGCAATAATTAATATCATGACTTAAAAAAATACTGATTGTTTATTGTGACTGGCATACATTTGCTTCATTGTTTTAAGCCTTATATAATGTAGTTCAGTGTAATAATACACGAATACAATACGTTTGTGAGATTGGAAAGCTATTGGTATATGATGCTGTCTTGTACATGTATATTGAACTTTTTTCGCATCACACGTATAACAAATGCTACACAAAAGAAAGGTATTTGGTTATTTTTTTGCATTAATTGCAGACATCGTTCTATGATTTAGATATGTTGTGTTTGCTTAAACATTGAACAAATAAGTATACACATTTCATTCCAATAAATATGGTTCACTTATTTGATGATGTAAACTGTACAGGGCATATATTAACTCCTGCACTGATTTTTCTATTCTATCTTCATCATAAGGAATTAAGTTGCATTGATTCTAACAGACAAATCCAAGATAATCAGTGGCATGTCCGTCCTCAACAATTCAACACAGGATATCGATAACAGTCCACTACATGGGAAGTGAAAAGTGTTATTGTCAGTGGCCTAAACATTGCTCCGTGTTTTTCTCAGGATGATGTCAAGTCCAACAGAAGCACAGAGGACAATGAAGAGGGAAGTGCTTCCATTGGCTGTGAGTCAGTCTTCCACGCAACATCACAAGATCTGCATTCCTTGCCCACGAACGGAACAATGAATTCCTCACACCAGGAGTATCATGGCACCAGCGTTAGCAACGGACACAATGTGGGCAACGAGCGACTTTCCGAGTCCCAAGACTCGGACGTGGAGAGTGAGTTGCCTGAGAAGAGTGCTGCATTGCGGAGCAGTGGCTATGGGCACGTCGCGAATGGAGGACTCACAAATGGGCTCGGGTTCCCATGGGAAGCTCACCGAAACACAGGGGCGGCACCGCGGGTGGATCGGCAGCAGACTTCCCCGCGCGCTTCGGAAGGACGTAAGGGCAATGTGCACCCTCTCGTCATTTCGCCGACCAATCACAGAGACGGCCAAGAGGTGACCAAGCCAAGGTCGGGTTCCCTGATTTCGCTGCAGCTTGACCTTGGACCATCCATGCTGGAAGACATCCTTAGTGTCATGGAGGACAAAAATGAAGATGCCAGCTATAATCGGCAAAGGCCCAAAACTTACATCATGTGAGAAAAGCTGGTTCTGTCGAAGTGTGTCATTCATTTTGAGAGAGTCAAGTACTGTATTGGTGTTGGCAGTACAGTACTGCCATGACTTTATGATTGCATGGTACATTCTGAAGCTTTCGCACACAAAAACAATACTCGAGCACTCCTCGAATGCCCCTTATCAAACTATTGTTTGTTATAACTTTTGCCTAGAGGTTCCAAGCTTGCCTTTTGTACACTTACAACACATTCAAGCAGCAGCTGTTGTTTTAAATATATATTACACAAATAACAAAGTGACTTTAATGAGCCTAAATATATATTGCCTACCTAAATTATAAACTGCATGGGGCAAACATATATGGAAACACAATAATGTTTTAGCTCCTCGGTGGCTGTTTACAACTCTAGAGGAGTCACGATTGTCGTGCTGTTTTTATAATATATTTTGAAACTTAATTAACAAAAGTAGAAGGATGGATGTTCTTAAAATTAGATGTCCCTTTGTGCGGTAATGGGGGGTAAGGGGAACAGGCCTAAAAAATGCATGACACATGTTACTTTAGGCTGTTATTACCTTCCTGAAACCACCGGTTACTCCTGAGAATGCGGCGTAATATCGGCTTTTGTAGGGTGCATCTGGTGACCCCCACTTCTATTTATGTTCTCAGATTCATTGTGTCCTCTGTAGAGCACTGCGAGTGCACGAAGGCATGGGCGCACGATGCCAAGTGCGTTCCAGAATTGCCGCACAGAGCGCACCCAACACTCTGTGGTGCAGACGCTGTAAAACGGCACGATACAAAGAGCACTTTTAAACTCAGCTGTTTTACAATTAGAATGGCAGGCACGGGCGGATTGCCATCATTTTACAAGTGGCAGTACGTGGAGGAAATGTGGGAACAGGGATGAGGCAAGGCTACAGATGTTATGGATGATTAAATCGGCATCTACTGCATGGAGGAGCTGTTACTAAGGGGATTTGACATGAAACCGCTGTTTGAATCCCTGCCTCAGATTCACTTTGTTGTTTGTACCTCCCCCTTGGCTCCAGTGTACGTATCAGCACTGAGCAATGCTGTTTTTGTTAACGTAATTAATCTTAATTATAATATCTAGCACAGATATTTTGAGGGGAGAGAGTAAAGTTTCCTATTCGCTCCCCATGTCTGTCAAGTGGGGTGGGGGTGGCTAGAGACCCCCTCCGTGTTGCTGCCAACAAAGGCAGATCATCGGTGTTTTGGCCTATAAGTACTAAAAAGTGTACATGAAATACATAGTTAAGAAGTGAACAACATATTTAGCACAGAAAATGAACCAATCTACGTGACTTTACCGAAAGATCCAAAGGATATGAATTACGGCAGTCACGAACACTTTAAGTCGAGTATATAGCACATTTTCTCGGAATAATTTAAGTGGTTAGTTTTGGGTTTTCTTTTTAATACATCTGTGTGTTTGTGTATATGTGAAAGATGGGACTTTTAGAGCTGGAAATAAAAAAAGAGTATGCATTCTTTATTTTTCAAAACCCTTCAGTACTGCCCTCCAAAGTCTATAATATGATTGTTTTCTACATTTATGAGTAGAAGATGGCGCTTCAAAACAGGATCTTGTAGTTACTCCAGTGGCAGTTATTTTGTGTCATCTTCCAGAATCGCTGCTTGCCTCATAACTTTATAAGCACAGTTGTGTAAGTGTACAGGAGTGATACAATTATGATGATGATCATCAGTCAACATCAGTCTACTGCTGGATGAAGGCCCATCCAAGCCATCGCCATCTCTCACGGTCCTGCGATGTAACAGTGCACATTGTCGCAAACTAGTCTCCTCTATTGTGTCATTTTACACTTGCAGTTTAATTAATAGCTGTGAACTCACATTGTTGAGAGTATAGTCTTCAATCATCATTGCCACGAGCCATGGTCTATCCACGACTGGAAGAAGGACTCCTCATGCTGTCGCCACCCGCCATTGTCCTGCAATGCCACAATCCACCTCACTCCTGCACACACACTGATCTCATCGCTCCAAATCATTAAGTAATTATACACGTATAGAATAAGTTAATTATATCATGACTAAAAGGAAAGAATTAAAAGTTGCTAAATAAAAAAACTAATTTTGTTGGTCATTTAAATACATTTTCTGGACCCTTATCAAGAGAAAAAAGTATAATGTTGTATTAGTATTGATGTATTGGGTAATGCAGTACTGTACACATTTATTTTAAACATGCAATAGCTTTAATCAAATATGTCGTTTGCGCGTGCTTGTCTCAACGTACTATATTTGCGTGTAGTGTAATGTATAGAGTCGAAAGGGGAAATATATTTTAATATTCTGTACATATACAGAATGCTGGATTTATGTGGCATTATCTTGCGGTGAATCATTTTACGACAAACATGATTGGCAATATGCGGCGAATGCTTCTGTAATGACTGTGTCGTCAATGCCACTGCTCTTTGCTCTTCTGTACAGAACCTATCCACTTTGAATTACATTTGCTGTGACTAATGCATAGCGTGCGACTGACTTTTGTGTTCATAGAGGCATTAAACCAGAATCCAATACTTCCTACCGCCAATTGCCAGCACGGGAGGGTTGCCACCTATGCGGTACAAAAAACAACTGGGACATATCATGGGAAGAAGAATATCTGAGAATACCTGACGGAAGAGTGTATACCTTTCACGTTAATCTGTTATCTTGAGTGGGGTATTGTTATGCAGATGACAAAAATGGCGCTTGTAATGCCCTTAGGACCACTTACAGATTTCCCAGGGCAGCTATCACAAAAGGAGGACAATACTGGGAAAACCAGGATAGGGTGGCAACCCTCCCCCAAGGGGGAACTTGAGAAAGCCCCTCTACCACACTGGAAGTACTCACACTTCACTCGACCACATGCAGCCTACGGATCGACTAAACGTGGTGTACCCATTCGGTTGGGGAATTTAAGAAACCTGCACCATTGTTTCAACTGCCTGTCGTGCCAGGAGATGGAACTGGGGACCTCTGCGAGGCAAGTCCAGTGTGCTAACCATTACACCACAGCAGCGCATCTCCTCCAGCAAATGAAACTCACTATCATGAAGCGAGGCATGTGGAGGTTGTGTGGTGAGCTACAGCATGTGGGATACCGCTCACGTGGGTTGTGTTGGCTGTGGGAATGAGAGCGTCCCAGTCTCAATGCGACAAAGGAAAGAGAAGAATCACAGCTAAATCCTTCCTGTCCTTTCCCGGCCCAAAGCGGAGGTGCACAGAGGACCGATTGCCAACTAAACCTGCTTCCTTAAACACTGGCAGCTCTTCAATTAAAGTTGCACGCATTGTTTAATTGTGTAACAATGACCGTGCCACAAATGCCGTTCAATTTTTCACGGTTTCCCCTTTAGAAATGATTTCACCATCCCGTGCACGAGCACACTTGAATATCAATCGCAATCTCTGAGCGATGTGTGCGACGTGTTCGCAGGGACAGGACTGTCGAAAGTGTCCAGGCCGGCTCGGTTCACCCTGATTTGAGGCCTCCTCTGGAGCCAAAGACAAAATTTACTAAATCCCGCTCTAATGAGCTTACATGCCTGCCATTGCTTGCCAGGCAGATTACTGGCTGATTCATAAACCTGGAATGGACCTTTGGACAACGTCAGCTGCAGTGGTGATTTTATAAGGACTTGGTGGCTCGGCGGGAGAGTGAGTGGCTCAAATTCAGAAGGATGTGAGTTTAAATCGTGGTTGGAGGTTAACTGCTCCCATCATTCCTACTGGGTCGATAAAATTTGTACCACGTTGTTGGCAAGTCAACAGTGGTTTCTCCTATGGATAGACTAGCCCCCGCTATAGGGAAGTTGAACTTCTACCACTGACTCAGGGTTGTAAACAGATGATGTGCACAACCTCAATGCTCATGTGACCAGTAATTAACTTTAGACTTGTTGACGGGATCCACAAGAAGAACAGCGATGCCTCTCTATGCCCCCCTCCCACTTTATTCAAAGGCAACACCTCAGGGAGTATAGAGAAAGACCCGTCTGCAAGTTGAAGAGGAAAACACACACATATATAGTATGTGATATGTTAGGCAAGGGCTCTGCTTGATCTCCCTAGTATGAATAAGAGTAATTCCCTGACATGTCCTCTACTATCATATTTTCAGTTTAAGGAAGCGTTATTGCCAAATGTGTTGATTTTGTTTTCATTATTTGTGCTTGTACACCACTGCCAGTGCAATATCACAATAACAATTTCTACAATTTGATGATACGGTCAATGCTTTTATGACATATTTCATGCCACCGCAGCTTGCCATCTTCGTGGCACGGACCACGATTGTCATGGGCCCTGGTGCAAGGAATGGCTGGCCCCACACCTCCGTCCAATGTCTTCCCTCTTCGTAACCTGAAACCTGCGCCCCTGCGGTGCACGGTTCCCCGGTGCAGTTGCACCACCTGTGCACTCAAGTGCCACTCGAACCATCACTCACATTCTTCTGCTATATTCTACAGCTGTTGCACAGTTGACATATGCATGTATGTTGAACTTCTTTCACACCGTATGTAGTCACCCGTGCTAAGATGCGGGGGAAGGATAACAAACTAAACACAAAAAAACAGTTCTTAGGAAATGAATGTTCTCCACCATCTCGATTCGCCTTGGTTCCTGACCTCTGGGTGTCACCCCCATGTCTGTCTTAGTAACTCTGCTCCCCTCCATCCCGTGGTATACGAGTGATACACATACACTGGGCCAGGCTACAAAGAGGGGGGGGGGGTGAAACTAGGGGCCCCATTTCACTCTTTGCATCAGGGCCCATTCTAACCATGCTACATCACTGCCTCCATCCGACACATGTGCCACACCCATCGCAACCTCCTCTTCCTGATGATTACATCGACAATTAAGGGTTTCCTGCCACGATTTATTCTGGACTTGATATGATATTTTACGCATTATTTACGTGTGACCATAATCTAAAGCCAGAAGCTAAATCTGTTCTACTTCCTTTGGTAAAGTCTGCCTCTGACCCTTATAGAAGCAGACATTAATCCTGACTAAAATAAACCTGTCTTGACATGAAACTAGACCTCTTTGCTCTCCCAAAGTGATTCATGTTCGCTTATGCTTCTTAGTGTTCACAAAAGAAAAGTTATTTTGGTCTTAAATAGTTGAACTATGAGTTCCCCCATACTATGTTCCGCTTTGTTTACAATGTTAGTATTGACAATCATGGTCGGCTATGGTCTATCCACTGTTGATTGAAGGTCTACCAAAGCCATGGCCACCCCTCATTGTCTTGTGATTCAACAATACATCATGCTCTTGCATAAAAAAACTTATTTCATCGCTCCATCTCCGTGTAAAATGTCTCTCTGGGCATTTTCCTCCTTTGGTTGGCACTACATCAGTCTAGACCATTGGCAATAATCCCTTCTAGTGATGTGATCTGCCCATGTCTCTCTTGTATTTGTTATCTCATCCTTATGTCCCTCTTTCTGCCTCTCATTGTAATCCAGAACACAACTCTCCGTGCTCTTTTGCACATTTTTCAGCTTTTGTTAAATGTTTTGCCAGTGTCCATGTTTCCGATCTGTATGTTGTAGCAAGTAAAATAGATAGATTAAAAACAACTATCTAATTGATGCACTTTTGTATGGTATTTGTCATATTAAAGTTTGGTGTTTTAAAGACATTCCAACCTGCTGTCACTCATCTCTCACCACTCTGATCCCAGACCACCTTCAATAATTGCCTTAGGTATACGTACTCTGATGTGGGTTCCAGTTATGTGTGCCTTTCCAACAGTCTTCAATTGTTGAAGCAAACTTGTTGTACAAGACTTTTGTTATGACTTTTGTTTTGGCAATCGTAAACAACCAATATAAGTGAATTACAGGAAGTGATTGAAAACCACAATGAAGAATGATGCAAAGTTGGCTCAGGATAATAATCAAATGGGATTCACTTTTATTGTTGTTTTAACTTAAACATGCAGCATATAATTAGCATGGCATGCTTATTTTTCATTGACGAATTTGTAGGTTTGCTATTTAGCATTGTGAGATATTTGTCACACAGTACGTACATTTAAAATACTTTTTTTATAAAGTAAAAAATGTTGTCAATTCAATATTAATCCACATTATTAATTCAGGTGGCATTTGAAATTAATTACTATGCAATCTAAATTAAAATAGAGATACAATTTCCACCACACTGGCATATTTTTGTCTGTAATAATATTTTATTTGGATTGCACCACATTCCAGAATTTGGTCTAAATAATGTTTGCATGAGTGATGGCCATGCACCCAAAACAGGTGCAGTTGGCAGTGGGAAACTAAATCCATTGTTGAGTGCTACTCGCACCTTCACCAAACTGATCAAATAACCATCACCCCTCAAGCCTGCACGGCAACAAGGAGCTCCTCGTCTGGCAGTGGATTGTCAAATGGGCTTGTACATGTACACACGTGTGTGATGACAGTAGAGTCAATCTACGGTGTGAGTGGACTAGTGGCCACGGGAGGTAATGACAGGGGAGTCAGCTTGCAGTACGAATGGACTGGTGGCTACGGCAATGATCGAGAATAGGAGCGTGGCCAGGTGACGGAAGAGGGCTGTGGAGTGAGCTGGTGGAGCGAGCGGTCTAGAACCAGCGAGAAGGTTCGGCAATGGGGGCGTGGCCTCGGGCCGTATATGAGGGAGATGGGCGGGAGACTCGGGCCTGTTGCAGTGGGGGTCTGCGTCTGTTCGAGTATGAACACGTGGCTCCTTAATAAAGAAACCATCTCAAGACAAGTGCATTTAACTCTTCTTTATACATGTACAATATTTTAAGCCCCTGTACAGTAATGTCGTACTTTGAATCTTCAACGAACTGCATCATTATACGTGTTTTTGGCTGCTGGATCTTCGAGGGCACTCATATTTGCAAAAAATTGCCTTAGACATGTGTAGACCTCTACCGGTCATATTCAGAACTGTGCTCACAATTGAACGTGTACACGTTAGCTAGCAAACCTTTGCAAGTGTTCGTTCGACTTGATACATTTAAACAGACGAGACAAAATAAATAAACGACACTGTTCGCACAATTCCTATAGTTATAATTTCTGTATTACACTGGCCTTGAGCGATTTTGGGGAACGATGATTTAAATTATTTTACTAATCAACAAAGTATGCGTATACATTAAACGGAAACGGACATATACGCATGAAATGCACCTTCCAAGAACAATCACTTTTGTTTGATAATTTTTGCGAATTTTAGATGTTGCAAAACAATGACGTAATTTGTCATTCATCAATTTGAAATCCAGTCATAGGCATGTGCAGATCTCTGCTGGTAAAATTGTATTACTGCAAGTGTGATGCAAAATATAATCACAACTGGTGTACATTTGGAAATAATCATTGCAATATTATTCCTCTCAAGCATATTTTGCCATGTTACCAAAATATTCCAATGAAATTTATGACATTTCCATAACTTACCTTGAATAGTCCATGGACCTGTATATCACGTTAGTTCACACGCTATGGATATTGCATGAAAAATATTGTTCACAATACTGTATGTGTTGGTTTATACAAAAACATAAAGAAATGCAACTTGATAAATGTGTTTTCCAACAACACTCTGTGCATGCTACGGCTCAATACCATTGTTGATCCACTCTTTTGAACTATATTAATAAATACGTCGGTTTTATGAAACTAAGTAGTTGTACTTACTTGCCCGGGCTTCATTTGGCACCCTCAGAAAGGGCATCTCGCACCCCCAGGCTAAGGACCACTGCTGTACATGAATGTTAATTCATAGTTACAATCTAAATGTCCTATAATATGGAGCATACATTACTTCGCAAATAAACAGTGTGTGATATTGCATGCATGCTATGTATCCTATTAGAGAATGGCATTACGGTGCATGCAGTACTCTGCAAGTCTTAATACAGAGTGATAAATGGCATTTATTTTCGGCACAATTAAGGGACTCCTCTACTTACGGCGAGCTGGGTTCCAGAGGTTGTTCGTAAGTCGATTTGTTCGTAAGTCCAACTTTACTCCTGTGGATTCAAAACACGGGGAATATCTTTAAAAGTTGTATAACACTATGTAACGCACTTTTTGTTCGTAGCTACTAAGCGTTATTTCTTAATTGCTTATGCCTAACAAGTATAGAACATGGCTATTATTATTCCCCACAAACGTTGCTTTGTTCATGTTCTGTAGATGAAGATGCCGCTACCGGCATCTATTGCGCGGTAGTTGAACTTACGACTCTCGGTTCGAACAGGCGACTGGGCATAAGCAAACCTGTCAACCCCTTATCAGTGCCTCCCTTATTACAGACAAATTCACACCTTATTTGTCGTCACCCCTTATACATCTCACCGTCCATCCTACAAAGCCCCATCACAAGGGAGAAACACAAACAAATAGACACATCTTAGTTGTCCGTATTGAGACGGCTGTACACGCCCTGTGGACCTAAACACCCAATGTCCCTGTACAAGAGTAATGCACCGTGTGGGTTGACAGGGATGCATCATGCGGGCCAGGTTTGTGCGAATCTCGGAAAAGTTCGTAAGTCGAAAAGTTCGTAAGCGGAGGAGTCCGTGCAACGTGATTTTATTATGCAAATGAGGTGCCTGTGACGTCACAGCCGCAGAGGTTGTCGGGAGGCCGCGTTTAAAAATCCCAACGGAAATCTGAAACACGGTTTGTATTTCCCACATAGGATGCGCGACGTGGGGCTTTTCCGCGGATCCCCATTGGCTGCGAGCGAGCGCGCCCGCACGAGGCCTGCACGCGATTGGCCCGCGGGACTCGACCTCGCCTATCAGCACTATGGATTCAAAACCGGTGAAGAACGCCCGTGCGGTCAACTTGTCGAGTGCGTGGCGGGTGCCGACTGGGATCACCGTCACAACAACAACAACAACACGACGGCGACAAGAATTACAACAACAATAACTACTAGTCCTAGTTTAGAACTCTTATCTGTGTTGATTACAATGACGAACGTGCCGACGCAGTCAAGGCTGCCCGTGTTGTGCTGCAGGAACGCCGCGCCAAACAAGAAGAGGCTCATCTCCGAGCAGGCCAAAGGTTTCGAGTCTTTAAACTATTATTGTTGTTGTTATTATTGTTTTAGTTCGTGGAGACAACAACTCATTCCTTCACTTGCTAAGCACACGCCACGAGCTGCTACATCTATAAGACTCGGGGTGGTTTGCCGCCCACCTCTCTCCACGTGTCGAGACGTGCGCTGAGACTATAACACAATTAGTTAGTTTGTGCCTACTGAAGCTAATAGCTCGGTGGGCTTGACCCGCTATAATAATAAAACACTATGTTTTGTATTTGTTTAGTGAGTTGCGTACGTTTCCATGCCTGTTAACCCATGCGGGTTATCCCGTATTGTTTGTGCGGGGAAATTAACATTTCAGGTCCATTCGGCGCACAGCCGTTTCAATGCGGGCATTTTTGTGTTTAATTGTGTTTGTTTGTGTTTATTTGTGTTTGTTTGTGTTTATTTGTGTTTAATTGTTTGTGTTTCTCTCCTCGTGATGGGACTTTATAGGATGAACTTTGAGATGTATCACTCACAAGCCCAGGAATTGATGATAAGTTGAGAGATAATAACTGTGACGATAACAGAGTGCGTCACCACAACACGTGCGAGTGTGGTGTGTATAACACTGCGTGTCAAATAGTGGTTCTGGGCCTCCCCTAGGTCGACTCGGCTTCAAATGAGTACCTGGTGCGGTGTGTAGTAAACATCGCCACTGGGGAGACAAAGGCGGCCGGGCGTGGTGCTGGCCACCCACCCCCTCGTGTGCCGTGCCGGTGCTCGCTGACGGCGCTTGTCCCAACAGTCTGTGAAGGCTACACGGGGGATTGTCAGCCATTTAGGAATGACATTGTGTTATATTGATGCTTGCTTTATACGATCAATTGATACTGTATAGCAATGTGATACATAATATTGGCTTATCATTGACGTCGATGACTGCAGGTGAGATACTACCTGATATCACAAACAAGAAAAAACGGTGGGACGTCAACACTCCAGCTGTACCCAAGGTTCAGGCCGCAATAAATAAATCTGTCGACAAAAGTAAACTCGCCAAACCCAAGCCACCCGTGTTCGACACGGCCATGCCCGCATCCTTCTTGTTTACAAAGTCTGGCTTGCAGATGGGAGTCAAGTTCAACACCCGTGCTCAGAGGTACACATTTCACTCGCCAGGCAGTAGTGCAGTTTTGTATGATAATATGGAAATACAAGTTTGGTATGAGGATGGTTTCTACAGATTTAGCACTTTTGTTCCAATGAACGTGCTGCATTTGCGATGTATGTGCCCTTTTTATGTTGTGTTTTGTAGTACTACAGTTTCCAAGAATCCAAAGAAGTTGAAATATAGTTCACGGAGTGCCGCTGCCTTTGGGTGAGTCGATCACATGGTGGTCAATACCATACTTCATGGCGATGGGGATAAACCAAAACAACTCTTAGACCGGAATGAATATCTGAATGCCCAAATACCAAAGTGTGGAACATAGAATACCCATAGTAATTGGGAAACATCTCCATTAATATCTATGAGCATTCCATTTCAAGTTTCAGTGTATGTGAATGCTATGTTATGATATTCGTTTTAGTCTGTCCGTGAAGGTGGTTTGATACCATCATCATCATCCATGGGCAGATGGCCCATACGTGTCCAGCGAACATTTTGTCATTTGTTTCCACTTTCCTCTGTATTGTGCCAATATGTTTAAGTAGTGAACATGTTTCTGGCACCAATCTCTTATGTCTTCAAGCTACTCTGTCTGGTCTTCCTCTCCGGATTTTATAAGGTTTCCGTACAACACACTTTTCATTTTCCTGTTATCCATCCTATACATGTGTCTAAATAGTGCCAGTTTCCTTCTCATCACTGGCTGGATCCGGTATTCTTTAGGAGAATAAAAGAACATGAAGTTAAATTTTGCTAAAATACAAGTGGGATAGCTTGTGTTGTTTTTAAATGAATGAAGAGTAAGTCGATGATTGTGCATGTGTTTCAGTATATCAGCATTGGTGAAGTCTGAGGCTGCACTCTTTGAAAAAACTGACCAGCAAAGTGCCACAATTGAAGCATTGGAAGGAGAAATCATTCAATACCGGGTATGCTTGTATAAAATGACTTAATATACAATGGTCACTTTTATATATATGAAAACCTACACATGTGTACAAGAATTAAAGTGTTGAGACAATTGTACTATGAGTGTTGCAAATGTCCATGCAGAACAAATGTGCATCACAATGGGTGTGTGTAGAAGGCTGTGTAACTGGGGTTTGCTGGGTTTGCAGGCAGGGGTGCTAAAACTTTCAGAAAACGTCGATCACCTGGAAAAGGAAAATCGTGATTGCAACAGGAAGCTCTATGAATACAGGGAGTTCCTCAAAATATTCCATTTGGATCCAGGTACTTCTGAACCTGTGTTTGTCAATGTGCATAGTTGTATAGATCATTATTTGAACGATTTCAGCTGAGGATTTTACTGAGATGTATGACTTGCTAAGAACATCCACATATGTGTCTGTATAAAAGGTGTGCCGTAGTGCATAAGACGGTGCTTATTTGTGAACAAGAGGACTTTCATAAGCAGTTCTGTGATATCTGGGGAATTCTCTAAGACAGGGTGGTACATTGTTCACAGAGTTTGAATATAAATGTGTATCCTAATAACATGCTGATTGCACAATTGGAGTATAATTGGAGGGGGGAGGGGTGAAAGGAACATGCATACATTTATGTGTAATGGTTACTATGCTTGAGAGTTAAATGCACCTTTACTAAAAGGCATTTTTTTATGTTTGCATGAGGTTGGCACATTCGTACACTGGACTTTAAATTCATTTCTGGAATGGGAGTACAGTATAGCACTTTCTATGACGCTATTTTTAATCGGTTGGCAACAGTAGTTAAGGCTTTATTTTGTATTTGTACATTCACAGAGTCAGGCAAGCCAATTGTTAAAGCCATTTTGGGGAAAGATCTGGACACTAACTCACGGGTGAGTAAATGTCAATATTTCAATGTTTAAAAAGTAAGACACATCCATAATTACTAGATGCTGATTTTGTAAACTTTTGCCCATGTTATTGTTTTGTCAATGTTTGTTTTTTTGCCATGTAGAAAAACTGTAGAGAAGTCGTATTACAACAAAGAAGATTGAATGAAAGACCAGAAACCACTATTACATCTCTGCAAGTGAGTACATGATGAGCACCTGATTTGTAATGTTTGGGTGTTTGTGAGAATGGTATGATATAATTAAATGCTGAATTAATCATCTACACCCTATAGACTAGACAACATTAGCTCAATACTCCCAGTTGCTCCACTGCAAAATGTGATCCAAGATCAATTTCTAATTCTGACTATCTTTTAAGATCCTCTGTTGACGTTCCCCTTCCTACTTCTCTATAATTTCTGCTGCTTTCAGTGCACGCTCCACTTCAACAACCAAGGCTTTCTGTCGAAGTCCCGTGTCAACCTTTGCTCTGTTCTCTTGTCTGCGTCGTCTATGGATGCCTCTGAAAATATTCCCATTTTTTACATACAGCTTCTTGAGATGCAGTCACGTTTTTGGATGATTGATAAATCCCAATTGTACCATATGTTGTGCAAAATCGGTTACATTTCAACGATAAATTAAATCTAATAAAATGTGTCAGATTTATTTTCGAACTTTTTATTAAATTGGCTGTTTTTTGTGAATTGACAAAGATGTTTTTCTTTTTGCATAATATGAATGTCCTGTAAGGCAATATGTGACCAGGCGCAGTCAATGATGTCAGCTACAGCCAAGATACACGAAGACCACATGGCTGCTATGAAGAATTTCATGGCAAAAATGGAAATGCTACAGCAAGAGGTCAATTCAGATAACGGCATATTATAAAACGGTGCTGCTTCGTTGTCACTTTGTTGTAGCTGAACACATGTTTGTTGTAGGTCCTTTAAAACATTTCACTTGAAGCAGATGAAAAGGATCGCCTGTTGTGGAATGTCATTGTTAATTTGGGGTTTTGATTAAATAAAATGCCAAGAAAGGTTTTGCACGACACCTGCTATCCTGGGTTCAAAGTATGATGCGGTTTAGGTATTCTTGCAAAATTTTTAGATTTAAAGATTAATGCATACAGTTTATTTTATGTTATCACTGAAGTTTCATTTATTAATTTACAGATTTGTTGAACTGCATCAATTGCATATCAATTGGCCATAAACAAAACCCAATATTTATCTTATTTGGGTAGATAGGTTTAAAGAAAATAACAAAAAACTACGACGTTTCGATCGCACACAAGCGGTCGTCTTCAGGAAAAGGGGGGTTAGCTTCCAAAGGCAAACGAAGGGTTTGAAATGGGCGTAGCCCAAATGTCAGCAGCCAATGTTAATGTAAGTGGTGGGCAGCCAACCCAACGGTAGTTGGTTTTCCACCAATCAAAGGGCTGCCAGGTGAAAATTCGCATGTTAATGAGAGATTAGCATGTTAATGGCAATCTACTCGCGAAGTGGACGTTGGTGTGAAGCTTGTGAAATGGGCATAAAGCACAACTAACATAGGAAGGTGATAGGATGGGAACATAGCCAGTTAATGAGCCTAATTCTCACTGATATTTGAATGGCAATATCTTCAATTGATGTGTGAAACACTTGTATGTAATTGAGTTTAAGATAAGGTCGCGTGAAGGGATCTTGGAGGTAGCTCTGTGTGATGTGTGTCCATGGGCTGTTTTCTCATGAATAGTCGCAATACTCCGAGGCCAACGAATGTATGCTGCCTCCTGATAATGGTAGCACAATAAGGATAGAATTTGTGTAAATGAATGCATTCTATGAATTATACAGTATTTTTGTGTAGCAAGTTTCAGAAAGGCCACGTAGGCAAATGTGATCGGTACAATGACTTCAGCATCTCATTGAAAATTAAGTAGTGTAACCATGAATGACACTTCACATTCTCGTTGTAAATTGATGCTCACTCCAACTTCCGCAGCTATGGTATTTTGCAAGTGCTTGTGTATAAAGCATCTGTCGAGGAACAAGTGTGTTTTAAACCTCGACATTATGTACGTGCAAGATTTGTTCTTGATTAAATGTCTGAAGCAGTGTGTAATTGTGTATCATAATGTATATTCGCTCTATTTAAGCCTGTACTCTTTGGTTATTTCGGTAAAGTCACGTCGGTAGAAAAATGAACAAGAACCAAAGAGTATGGATTCCTGCAGTCACGAACGCTTCAAATCAAGATATATGTTTAAGCCTGTATCAAAAGCAAATAAAGTTATTGGTGTTAATGGCTTGTAAGTACAGCGTAATGTTTTACTTATTTACCTTAATATACCTTTCCTTTACTCAGAAAAACCCATACCAAACCATATAAAATGTTGATGAAATTCAGTGTACGTACAAATATTAATTCAATGCTAAGTTTTTACATACAAAAATACCATACTTGTTATGGTAAAAGGACCAGGGAAGGCACCAACTACTATGGGGGGCACTCCTGTACTGTTAAATTAATTGTACAAATAATTTAATACGTGATAACATGTCCAATTTTAGTGTGAGTGGTTGATTCAGCAGTGCTTTAGTGAAAGGTGTTGCATAGTGAATAGACCTATCAGGACAATGTAACGAGTTACATGTCACGCGTGTAAAATGTTTAGGATAGCCCGCACCTCCGTATACCGCGCAGGGTCTTGTTTTGTTTGTAACAAGTGGTCTACCCCGCGGGTTATATGCGGGAAGATAGGGTAAATGTATATCTGATGTGTCAATGGACAACGTGTAGTGATTGAAAACCTTTAGGCACAAGTGTCAGGCTGTCGGCCAGTGGCGAATGCAGAATTAGATACCCAAAAGCCATCGAACGATTCGAAATCTCATAACTATGAATTTTCACGATTTGATTCACTAACTCATTCGTTCTTGTTTTTACGATCTCATGTACAGTCCCGTTTTCATTGTGTAGTATATTTAAATTGCTGTATTATCTGTATTGAAACGATACAGCCGGTACACCATCATCCCGTGTCCACGGCAGAGATACAGAGACCCGTTCTTTTCGCGAGAACAAATTGCGTGATGCGAATTGTTTCAGGATCGACAGCGTGGACCAACTCATAGGCTTCATACATCATGCCCAGCAATCAGAATCAGACCATGTGTAATAAAAGACTCCGTCAGGCACTGCTGGTCTCCGCTTGTCTTTTATTCAGGTTCTTCTCCGCACCCCACTGGTCTCCACGGACCAGCGTCGTCTCACGCGCGCCCCGCGCACGCTCCCTCTCACGTGCCACGCACGCTCCTCCATTAGCTCCTCCACTCGTCCTCACACCCCGCTGGTCCTGACAAGGGACCAGCGTCTCCTCTCGCGTGCCCTGCACGCTCCACGTTCCTCTCGCGTGCCCCCGCACGCTCCTCCGTCAGCTCCATTCTCGCGCACGCCCCGCACGCGCTCTCCCGTTAGTCGCTCCGCTCCTCCCCGCTCCGCACACCGCTGGCCGACGGTGTGCCGAAGCCCCATCAGCCACGTGGCTGATGGCGCGTCGGCCACCCAACGTGGTCCCGCTTCTTCACTCCATCAACTGGCCCCGATCTCTTCCGGGCTCCCCTCTATATCGTCTCTCCCACGTGACCCTGACTCCTCCCCTTCCGGATCGTCAGATCCGGACTTCCCATACTGCCCTGCTGGCTCCACCTCCGATGATGTCCAGTCGATGTCCAAAACCTTACACATCTCACTATTCATTGTGAACATTGTCTCAATTAAAAATATAATCGGCGACGTATCACATTTATTTTGACGTTTTTCAGGAAGTGTATTGACTTTTTATTATTATTTGTGCTTGTATTACTGTAGCAAAGACTACCTGTCAACCCCTTTTCAGTGCCTACCTCATTACAGACCAACTCAGACCTTATTGGTCACCCCGTGCCCTTATACATCTCAACGTTCATCCTACAAAGTCCCATAATATAGATTATTCTTTGGGGGGGGGCTTAGATTGCGAAAATATATAAACCCGCCACAGCCAACTAGTAAGGGTTGTCACGTAAACAGAACGTGCCAGTTCGTCACTCGTACAGCACACCGGTGTGTTGGAGAGCAAATCCACAACATTTACAATCCGAGTACGACGTTTCGCCACTAATTACAACCAGCTTCGTCAGGCGACAGCCACGTTTGTTTCTGTCGTCTGGTGGCGGGTTTAACGACACATTCACGCGATAAAACCGCACAAAACACCCTATATTATGGATGATATTGGTCGCTAAAGCCTACGTGTTAATTAACGTGTTAATAACCCGTATGGGGTTGACACGGGATGTGACCCCCCGACTCTTGCCCATGCGGGTCATTGTCAAGCCCGTTGAGCCCCCGTGGAGCAGCGTGACAATTACCAAACGCGTTTCCTCCCAAAGTGCGTCCCGGCTTCCGTCATCCCGACCGCCTCTTCAGTTCGCTTCCTCTGCCCGCGTTGGCGACTGACTGCGCCGAGACGCGGCGCGCAGCTTTTCGTGTTTGTTCACGAACAACTCGAGGCGCGGCGATTCGGCGAGCTGCTCGGGGCAGGTAAGGGCACCCGTAAAGCATCGCTGGAATCTTGACAGATGTTCAAAGTGTGGTCAAAACATTTGCGAAAATGTGTAGGCCTCGCTATCCTAGGCCCAGTGCAGGCTTTGCATAGCGTGCCCAGCGGCGCGGGTTTAAAACGTTAATGTTCGTAGTTTATCCGATCGGTTACATTTAACGCGTCTCGTGTTTTACACAGGCGTTGACGTGGTTGTGTTACTTGCGTAACGCGATGGCCGGCACCGTGAGCGCGTGTCGAGTTGACAGCTGCTGCTGCTGCTTCTGAGTGCAGAAAGCGACAAAGTGCAGCGGCCTGAATTGAAATGAACGCGGCCGCGTGCGGCTGATTTGTTACTCCACTGCTGGATGACGGCCCCCGTCTGCCGTGTGGGGTTATTTGACCAGATGTCTGTATGCTGGTCAGTGCGAGCTGGTGAAGATAACAGGACGCCAATTGATGTTTTGCTGCATTGTCCCTGTGCTCACGTATCATCCCCCATTATTGAAAGGGAGACACTTCACATTATGAATAGATATGTTATCTGACCTACAATCGCGGGCTGAAGTTGGCCATGGGTCTCCCACACGAGTCGGCAGCTTCGTTAGTGAGAAGCAAAAACACAGGGAAAAAGAAGCCGTACAATCAAAATAGTGTGGTCCATTTTTAAATACCCTCTTATTGGTTCTTTCGGTAAAGTCACGTAGAAGGGAAGTAATGAAATAATACAAATAAAACATAATAAAATTATCTTGACAGATGTTCACTTTACCGAAAGAACCAAGAAGATGAATCCCTGCAGTCACGAAAGCTTTAAATAAAAATTTAAATCCCCTATTAAAATAATATGGAGAATTTGGAGAAAACATTGTATTCAGAACCTCTACATATCTCCGACGGGTTTCCTCCATGCACTTGTTATTTTAACACTGAAAAATATGGAACCGTCGCTTTCACAATATTACATTTGTTCAGAGGAAAGTTTAATGATTAATTCGTGTGGCATCTTATCACTGTAACACGCTATGGAAACCTTCGCTTCAATGAAGATTGGCCATTGGGTGAAATTTGAGGATGCGTGGTTTTCTATTGCAAGTTCGTTTGAATGGTGAATTGGATAAGTTTTGTATTTCCGGAAGACCTCATCTATTAATACTAATACCTATGGAACCTTATATTGGTAGTAATTTAACAATGCTTAAAACATGAAAAATGCTTACATATTACAAAAAAATATTAATTCAAGGAGTAAACCGGCAATACAAAATGCGGATCGGTGAGTGTGAATAGTTAACGTGAACATTGTGAATAAAGAATAGAGGTTGTGCTAGGAATATAGATGAGTTTTGCCCGTCTTTTTTATAATTTTTTAATGCATTTTTGGGGGTTGGAACCGTGTTGCCTGTGTTTATATTGTCACCAGGTGCCCGAGAAGCCGGGACAGCCATGTCGGACAGTGAAGGCAGCAACTCCTCGGACAACGAGGAGCAGGAGAGCTTCCACGGCAGTGAGGCCGAAGAGGCAGAGGAGGTGAGCTCCTTTATAACAACCAAAACTATTGTTTAACGCACTAGTTGGCAGTAAACGCATTGGTTAAACACATCCTTTCTTACATTAACCTATACACGCATTTTGGTTTGTGTTGAGTTAGTTGCTCATGTCCAGATTAGCAAATTATATACCATTGACTAATATGACAGAGACTAAAATAAAACCTATGCTTAATTAACTTATTCAAGCAGCTTTAACGTTTTCATGATGAGTGTATCCTTTGTTTTAATAATTGTGGACATAACTTATCTTCAAAGTGCTAAATTAGCCACAATTTGTTTTCCTGTTTTGGTTATTACCTCAACTCGTGAAGTCTTTTTCGTGTTGTCATAAAGGATGAACCCTCAGAGAAGGGCAGCGTTACTGGCAGCGATAAGGAAGGAGAAGGAGAAGGCGAGGACTTGGTAGATGAAGACGAGTATGATGAGGAGGAGGAAGAGGATGAGGAGTCGGGTCGGACAAGGAAGAAACCTCGTCACAGCCAGTTCATCTTGGATGAAGCTGGTAATGCACTTTAGCAGAAACACCTGGCTCACATTGACAAATACATCAAATGTAGCATCTGGCAGTTACGAGTTATCATCTATCTTGCATTAATAAAATATGTAATGATTTGTGACAAGTCTGTACTGTTATTCCTGTGCATTACCTGACCCCTACCATAGAAATGTGAATTGTTTTATCTTTGTAAAAACTTCCAAGAAATATTAACACAATAAATGCTCATATAACGGGGGACACCAAACGATTAATTGGCACTGTTAGGTACAATACAAAACGTACTTGTAAAATTAGTTATTTTTAATCTAAATAACTTCATTATTAGTTTTTTCTTGGTGTACTGATGATTGTCAAGTGATGTACATGGGTGTTGGTAAATTTCGGAACACGTTGCAAATTTGCAGTGAAATCAGATTGAATGTTAGTGCTTTATAATCTATAATAAAGCACTCGTTTTTAAAGCTTATACAATAATATGAATCAATCAGCCAATATCAGTGTGATCACATTGTATCTTGGCTATTTTTTTCTGTTGAAATGATGGGATTCATATGAGATGTTGGTGCTTTTCTGCAGATGTCGATGATGAATATGAGGACGACGAACAGTGGGAAGAGGGAGCAGAAGACATCCTTGAGAAAGGTTTGCACAGTCGTGGCGGTGCATTGGCAGTGTATATAGGGTTGATTTGCGATTTAGAATGGATGGCACTAAAACACACTGCGTTTCATTTATTGTGAAGTTAAAATGATGCCAAAGTTTCCATACACAAAAGGATAATTTATTTTGACTTCAATTTGCAGCATTATTCAACAACTTGTTAGCTCTTTGTACTGTTTCAGTATAATCTCTTGGACTTGTACAGTCCCACATGTTGATTATTACTTTGGTAGATTTGGTCATGTACTCTAAACGCAATTTAATTGTGTGTCATGGTGACTTCCATCCTGAGTTATTTGCACAACATTATTTCCCCCATCTCTCTTCTATTTCCTGCACCTTGCTTTGGGTGCTTATTAAACATTTTCCAATCTCCTGTTTTAATTTTTTTTCCTCCCATTTTGCCTTTTTATGAATGGTTGTGTTATTGTGCTGGTAATGTTTGGGTCAATGTGTGATCATCAATCCTGAGCAGAAGAACTTGATGGTAGGTTTTGATTTTTAAATATGTTTTTAACCATTCGCATATCATTATTATGCATGTGCTAATTGATCTTGGACACTTGAGGAATGGTTTGTCATAGATTAAGGTGTTTTTTATACCTTGTTTTTACTTGCATGATTTACTGTGAAGGTTTCGTGCACTTTTGTTCTACGCACATTTGTTTGTCTATAATGACAATACTTGGATAATTATTTATGCTAAAAACTGAAAGGGGTTGTATAAGGCAGAATATAAAAAAAAACTAACCGTTTTTTGTTAATTTTTGCTTATTAATAGAGTGCTCTTAAAAACATATTACCCATATACTTTTAAGTCATATTTTAACACAATCCTTTGTACTTTTTTGTAGCCACAAACATTGATGATGTTCCGATTCGAAATGATGACAATTCTGGTGCGCGGAGGTTGCAGAACCTATGGAGGTAAGCCCTCTCCATGGAAAAATATGTTTTATTGCTCCTTGGATAAGGACACTTATTTTGTGTAAGTTGTGTGTTATTACCATGCAGGCTTATGCAATCGTATCACAATCTAAACAGACAAACCCTAGATGTGCCACCATCAAATAAGTTATTCGTTTATATGAGTATGTGTCTACAGATGTAAGAAGGCATCCTCTTTGCCAGAGTTTTGAATCTCCCAGCCTGTTTTAGGGAATATGGCCCTTTGATGGTTTCTGTCTTCCTCGAGAGATCTATCCTGGGGTTTGGTAAACACATTACATTGAATGTGCTCTTGAAAACCAGCAGGAAATGTTTTACTGATTAACTTTATACAATGCTATTATGGTTCATTGGTGGTTTTTTGCCAAGGTAGGGATGTCTGCCATTGCCAACTTGTAGCTGAATAATTGCCTTTGACAGAGCTCACTATATCTGGCATACTGGCTATTATATTTTTCTGAATTACAAAATAAAATTTGTAATGTACCGTAATTGTTCACTTTAATCTTTCAGGGAACAGCGTGAGGAGGAATTGGGTGAGTATTACATGAAGAAATACGCCAATAGCTCAACTGGAGAACAGTAAGTGTTTTGTTTTAATCATACACCGATACCAATGTAGTGTCCTGAAATATAAAATAAACATTTGGTTTCTTGTGTGAAAACTGCTAATTCATACTGTCTATTTGTGTTTAAAGTATCCATCCAGTATTATAAGAACAATTAGTTGAATCACTTTAATATGTTGGGACGCAATTGTTTCAGCTTTATTTCATATTAAAAGGTTTTTACTGTGATTTTTATATATTTTTCAGCTATGGAGTTGGTGGTTCCGATGAACTATCAGATGACATTACTCAACAGCAACTTTTGCCTGGAGTCAAGTAGGATTTTTCCTTAATTTTCATTCCCTGTTGTAATAAAAAATTGAATTAAAGTGAACATTGTTCTACTTGTGTAAGTGTAACTGTTACATCTAAGTAAAGGCGACCAATACAACTTTTTAATAGATTGTTCCTTTGTTTGTATTTGAACAATAGCTTGGGTTCCACCTATACAAGTTTTTAAATTTGATTTAAATTGATTGTGATTCAGCAAGTATTGCCGATGTCAATTTTATTGATTGACATGATTGGGGGTTGGGGGTTTGAAATACATTTCAAAAGTTATTTTTTGCCATTGTAGTGAAATTAAATCTACAGTGGCTGGAGAGTCTTCGTGAAGAAGTTCCATATCACATACGTTTAAGAAAATGTTATCTATGTAGTGATTGCATTCATATTTATTTTAAGCAGAAGAATATAATTTAAGCATTCGTTACATGCTTGTATTACCTGTGATAACTAATTATGTACCACTTTTCTCACATTATTTTGGCTAACAAACCATGATGTGTTTTACAGGGATCCCAATTTGTGGACAGTGAAGTGCAAGGTGTGTGGAAGTATTGAACATTTACTTTAATTTGCGGATCTTAGCATAACGTAATTTGTCTCATTTGCAGTTTTGTTTAAATTGCTTTGTAATGTTCTGTTCAAGCTTGGCGAGGAGCGAGCCACAGCCATTGGACTGATGCGGAAGTTCATTGCTTACCAGTTCTCTGACACTGTAAGTGGTCTTTATTATCTTTGCACGAAACCACAACTTTTTACGCTTTACAAATGAGCGTAATGTCCTATCGGGTGCATTTCCTGTATCGTTATCGTTCGCCACCATACATATTTTCAAGCCCTCCTACATTTATGAACTGTCGGTATAATATCTTAAATCTGCATGAGATGCCCCGGAAAGTTAGATACACCCCCAAACTTGTGTCCGGTGTCAATAAAGTTTTACAATTCTTGTCTCGCACACACAGTCACATAACTGATTTATAAGACCCAACTTTATAATCTGGAGAATATGGTATAAGTCATTTTTCTGTAGCTGAAAACTATTCACCATGTTACAATATTTGTAAGTTAAAGCTCAGCGAATGCTGTTGTACCAGGGCACAGGCCAGTAACATTTACAAGGACACTTTGTTTCTGCTGGGTGTCTTAATCATGTCCTCTTTTTTTGCTCCATTCACCTCACAGCCAATGCAAATCAAGTCGGTGATAGCCCCGGAGCACCTGAAGGGCTACATCTACATCGAGGCCTACAAGCAGACCCATGTGAAGCAGGCCATCGAGGGAGTCGGGAACCTGCGCATGGGCTTCTGGAACCAGCAGATGGTGCCCATTAAGGAGATGACGGACGTGATGAAGGTGGTGAATGAGGTGACCAACCTCAAGCCCAAGTCCTGGGTGCGGCTCAGGAGGGGAATCTTCAAGGATGACATTGCGCAGGTGCAGAGAAGCGTGTGAAGAGAAAAACAATTGCGCGGTCACTGGCTTCCATCTGTGATGGTACTAGGGAGTATTTGCTTTGTGCCAGTAAACGCTGAATGCACCCGATCTTTATCAGGTCTCGGAAATGATACAGGGATTGAGCCGTGATAGTGCTTGGATGGGAGACGACCACTGTTAGCCTCGAAACGCGCATGGTGTGGGGAGGCCCTTATTTAGCAGTAGATTGACCAAACACGTATACATGTACTCACGCCTATGCATTGCTTTTTCAACCTTCATATTTAGTCACATGGTGTCGTGGTGGGCTAAAAACAGGTGTATGAAAGCTTTTGGTTAGTCCCTCAGACTAACTTTTGTTTATTCTGTTTTAAATTAAATAATTATTTGGTCTATATAGGCATTGTACTCTGTTTGCATATTTTTGCAGAATTAACTTCATTTTATATTAATAATATATATCTCTTAAAATAGTCACTGTTGTGAAATGTACCACTGAACATTCTGGAGTTGCGCTAGAAACGTGCAGTGTGTTGTCCATTATTATGAAGGTGGTGGTGATGATGATGTCATTGTGATCGCTAGGTGGATTATGTCGAGCCCAGTCAGAATACCATTGGGCTGAAGCTCATCCCACGCATTGACTATGAACGCATCAAATCCCGCATGAGCATGGTAAGTAATGTTTTAGTACAGATGATGCTCTATAACATTGTATTGAAACAAGGTAATTATGTGTATATAGTCTAAAGTAAATTTAAAATATATATATTAAACGGTATTTAAATATGTTTAATCCCAAGGGCAGGATGAAGTACTCTTGCAAAATGTAATTTAATGATGAGAAAAACATACCAATGTGTGAAAAGAAGCACATTCTTGATCTTTACCGACCATGGCATGGGTGGAGTGTAACAATGAACATTGGAAGAAAGTGGAATAATATTGAAGATATGCCAGTTGGAAATTACTTTGAGAGACAGAGGAAGACATGGATCAGAGAAAAAAAACACAAAATAGAGACATTGACTGTTACGTAAGGTTGCAAGGGCTTTGTCAGGACACATCATAGGAATGATAATGGACTAAACTGGTGGTGGAATGGCATTGTTGGACCTTAATGGATGGCGACAACATGAGGAGGCCTTCATCCACCAGTGCATAGGTAATATTTGACGAAGATGATGATGACGGCATTGCCAGGCACAATGAATAATTCCTTTTGTTTACACATTTTCTATATGTATTTAATATATTTTTGCAATAATACTCCCTACCGAATGCTTTGTGATTACAGAAAGACTGGTTTGCCAAGAGAAAGCGCTACAAGAGGCCACCACAGAGACTCTTTGACGTCGACAAAATAAGGTTCTTATCAATATTAATATGAGCCGTGTTATAAAATTCAATCGGCAGTGCATAGAATACATGTGGTATAGTTCAATACAAATTACATTTTGAATGCGTAAATTCAGCAGACTTTTGTATGTAGCCTTTCCAAAATTGTGATGTCACCTGTTACATTGCCGCTCAGGTCTTTGGGAGGCGAGGTGACGTCAGATGGTGATTTTCTGCAGTTTGAAGGAAACAAATACACCCGAAAGGGTTTCCTCATTAAGGGCTTCGCCATGTCGGCTGTGGTGAGTTGCGGTGAAGAGTAATACCCTGTTGGCTGCAGACTAGCTACACTTGCATGTAATTAGTTTATTATTATGTATATTTATATGCACTGTGCTTTTTAAGTGTTGGAAGGCAACAACATTGATTGCCATATTTAAAATGTGTGTTAGTGGAGTTAATGAATTAACGCTTGTCTGTAGGGGCTGCTATACTGGAATATAATGTTGAACGCAAGGAATATTGGAAGAATAGAAAACACATTTTCATTTAAATACATTTTTCTTGAAGTTTAGTGTGGTGTTGCGGTCTGGGCAAGTGAGCTTGACTATCTCTGAAATGACGGCTGATGATTCCTGCTGATTGATGCAGATCATTGAGGGAGTGAAGCCGACGCTGTCTGAGCTGGAGAAGTTTGAGGATCAGCCAGAAGGAGTCGATTTGGAGCTCGTCTCTGAAGCTAAGGGTAATGTTCATTGCTTAGTGAAATAATGTCAACATTTGACTCAAGCAATTTCATCGCAGACAATGTGGAAGTCTATAGATTGAACATAAGTTTACTTTTAATGCCTAACAAGTATGTTTCTATATATGTTGATAGGATATTTGATATTTGACGATGTGACCAGTGCCTTTTTTCATGTCACAGTGCATTTATACCTGGCCACTGCTTCCCTTATTAGAGATTTGGATAAACATGTCAAAGATTTCAAATAATAAATACAATGCTGAGAAACACTTAACCTTTGGTCACACCACATCACTTTAGTATGGATCAATGATCCTTGGCAATGGAAACATTAGTGAGCTAGCTTATTTAACATACCCTGCTTGATTCCTGTAAACGTGAACTTTCTTTTTCATTTGACTCTTGGCAAAAAACATGTATTTATCCATGACCAATAATGGAACACATTCCAAATGCTGTTTGTATCAAATTTTGTCCAGATTTGAATGTAGCCAAATGAAATTCAGACTTAGTATCTTAATTGGTGTAACCTGGATTAGAGGAATCCTCTGCAAGTGGTGACTCACACCATGGTCTGTGTTTCTGAGATTAAGTTACCAATAAATGGTTTCCCAAAAGTGCTACATTCATCCTTTTATGTGCATCTTTCCATTGATAAAACTTAACCCAAAAGTAGCAGCAAATTCATCCCATTGTTCGTGTTTATCCGTTGCTGACCAGGGATAACAGGAGTTACTACCATAGATAATAGTGTACACCAATAGCCACCACCCCCCAATAGAGGAGCCTTACTATGTTGTGTTTGTTTATGCATGACAGGTAAAGGTGAGAAGGATCACAACTTCCAGCCTGGAGACAACGTGGAAGTGTGCGAGGGAGAGTTGATCAATCTGCAGGGCACAGTGCTCAGTGTCGATGGCAACAAAATCACAATCATGCCCAAGCACGAAGACCTCAAGGTGACGGGAAATGTTCATTTATCTCCCTGAAAAGTAATTGATACCGTGGTGTCTTATAAAGGAGCAGGACAAGTATTTAGCTATCCTTAGCCGCTCTATTAAGGTTATGAATATTGTGTATACAGTCTAAAATGACATAAGGGAATAAACCCCTTGATTCTGGTTCTATATCTGGCTTGGTAGCAATCAGAATGAAATTGCGATTGCATTAACATGATTGTCACATTATCACATGTAGCAAAACATTAATAATTTAGATTAAAATGACTGCATGCATCAAATAAAACACTAAAATGTCAACAACTGGAAATAAAGTTCGAAAAACAAATGCTATATAAGATATTTCAGGATTGCTGTAATGTCAGAAGAATACATGAACGATTTGAAGCATGTCTTGAGCATAATACTGGCAGCCCACACCTCCCCTCCAGCCAGTGAGCAAATCTTTTTTCAAACATAGTATGGTAGGATAACCCATGCCTTTGTGTGGGATACACGGGCTGGGGTGCAGGAGGATGAATGGGGAGAGGTGTAATGTAAGCACACACAAACCCGGCTGAACGCTTTGGGATGCCGGTAACGTCATCACGAAGACGTGCGTGTTGACTATGCCACCGCGCACGCACGCTTACCCGCGTGCCAGTAATCCAGCCAGGCAGCCAGCAAAAAAAAAGTCCAAAATATAGTTTTATATTACTACCCATTCAAGTCGATGCAGGTATTGTAAACCAAATGGATCTTGTTTGCATATAGGACCCGCTCGAGTTCCCAGCGCATGAACTGCGCAAGTACTTCAAGATTGGCGACCACGTGAAGGTGATCGCGGGCCGATACGAGGGCGACACAGGACTCATCGTGCGTGCAGAGGAGAACTTTGTCATCCTCTTCTCTGACCTCACAATGCACGAGGTAATTCCTTTCGCAATTCCAGTGTTCTGCTACTCTGATACTATATTGTTTTAAATTATGAGACGCATTTTCCCCTGTATTTTAAAGCACCTTAGAATCTTCAGATTACGTTTGTCTACCAGAATAGAGTTGCTTGGAATTCTCTTTCGCAAAACGATTCCCCGTCGCAATAAAATAACACCGAGAGGATTCGACAACAGAAGACATTCAGAATAATCTACCAGAAATACGTCGCGAATGCATTTTAAAGCAGCTCATTCATAATCATTTCATAGAAGGTGGTTCTTTATAGGAATTTTTATTTAACAACTTTTTTTTTCCAAATAACAATTTGGAGGTGCGTCTTACTTTCCAAAGCATTTTATAATCTGGAGAATACAGTATCAGTAATGTTGCCATTGCACTCATTGATGCTCATTGAAATATTTCTGCATATATTAAACCAAGTTTGCATTTTTGTGTACTTTATATTTAATGATATTGACTGATTTCATGCTCATTTACTTGTGTAAAACATGTTATCATATATGAACTACATAACAAATTCGGGTGCATTCCACATTCCAGATGTTTTCGTTTCAAGTTTAAATGTGACATATTATTGGGTTGCTGTGTGAGAGTCTGAGCATATTGCAGCTTGCTTTACTGATGAGCGAGTGCCGCCTCTACGTCATCCCCCCCCCCAACAGCTCAAGGTGCTGCCACGTGACCTGCAGCTGTGCTCGGAGACGGCGTCGGGCGTGGACTCGGGCGGGCAGCACGAGTGGGGCGAACTGGTGCTGCTTGACCCACAGACCGTGGGCGTCATTGTGCGCCTGGAGAGGGAGACCTTCCAGGTCAGCCGAGCCACGACTTGCCACACAGCAGCGGTTGATGTCGATGGCCGCTTTCTAGATGTCAAAATGTTCAACCCTGGAGGTGGCCACGTGGCTTAAGTTGCTAAACACCATGTCGGAAAAGAGAGCTGGCACCACTGAATTACTGGTTTCGATTTCAGGCAGTGTTCAACATCCCAGTCCTCTTTCTAACTGTTATGGGTGTGACCTTTGTGCGCCCAGGTGCTGAACATGTATGGCAAAGTGGTAACGCTGAAGCACCAGGCGGTGACGAAGAAGAGAGACAACCGGCACGCTGTGGCTCTTGACTCGGAGCAGAATAACATCCAAGTGAAGGATATCGTCAAGGTTATTGATGGTCCCCATTCGGTACGTTTTGTCCATTTGATTGCTACAGAAATTTATATTAAATATTGTTGGAATTTTACCATTTACGGATTAGTTTCTATTACTCTTCTGACATTATTTCAAGACAGACTAAGCATTTTTTTATTGAGGCAATTTTGTATTATTTTGTTTAAATCAAGAACCACATGTAAAGTATGCCTGACTTTAATATATTTGAACTTTTTTTTTTAAATTGGGTTATTCTGGTTTGAAATTTTATTACACTTTCAATTTATGTTATTTAAATGAATTGAGAACCAAATGTGATCGATACATGTTGCAAAGAAGACCTCGATGTGATATCCTCGGATCTTATAGAATTTTGTAATTAAGCCTTGTTCCCTTCAGAAGCAAATGCCTAACATGTGCTGGATGATTGCCCAGGGAAGCCTGAGAGAGTGGATAACAGGATTGGTTATCGGTTTGGTTTGTCTGCTGTGGCAGGGCCGAGAGGGGGAGGTGAGGCACCTGTACCGCAGCTTTGCGTTCCTGCACTCAAAGAGGCTTGTGGAGAACGGAGGCATGTTCGTGTGCAAGACTCGGCATGTGGTGCTGGCTGGTGGGGCCAAGGTAGGAATCTTCTCATTCGTTGTTTGGTTTCTGTCATTGTTTTACTGCAATGGCACCTGTTTATTGTTCCAGAGAGGAATGCACTATGCTAATCTGACGGGTTTGAGTTCATTGCATATTCGGATAAATCCCACACAACAGTATTGTTGTGTACTAATGTGATGTGATTTTCTGACTTTGAGAAGTTACAATGGGCCACATAAAACTGTATTATAGTATTAAAAGCATATGCGTGTAATACCGCATTGGGATATATTTTCTTCATTGAAGAAAACGAGGTTGTACAGTGCTACGATTTTGTACTTTTGGTTGATGTCTTCACTTACATTTGCTGCCCTTGTCCACTCTGTGCAGCCGAGAGATGTGACCAACTTTTCAGTCGGGACATTTGCCCCCAAAAGCCCTCGCCTCGCCAGTCCCATGCATCCCAGCGGAGGAGGTGGGTGCAACAACTTTTTACATCTTAATCAACAAATGAATTGGTCAACACAGCTGTGTTGACTTGCAAGACCCTGGAGTTGAATCTACATTGCTATGTTTGATTTTTCTTTGGCATCTTGAATGGCACAGGAATGCAGAGAATGCAGCAGAACATGGGCCGTGGGAGAGGCCGCAGAGACACGGAGCTCATTGGGCAGACGGTGCGCATCACCCATGGCCCTTACAAAGGTAACGGATGTGTATTATGAAAGAAACTAAAAAGAGGGCTCAAGTTTTAGAAATTATGTCTGATAAATGGTATACAACCCTTTATCAGCCCATTGGTAGATTAAGGTCTCCAGACATTGTGTTGAATGTGGAAGTGTTATGACCTTAAGTCACCTCGCTGGTTAATGTTTGCTGGTTAATGGCCCAGGACAGATATCACTCGCCACTGATGTTATCCTTGGCTGGGAATCAAAATTACGTCACCATTTTTAGAGCAATACACTTAACTGTTCCACCACCGCTCATCTGAAACAAAGATGGGTCATGAATGTCACAAGAGCTGCCTTGGCAGGCGCACGTGAGTGCACATCATGTGCAATGCGTGTAAATGTGGGTTAATTACGATGGCCAGTTGCATGAGCAGCTGTTGCAAGAGGTGTTGCACTCTTTCCTCAGGATACATTGGTGTGGTCAAGGACGCGACGGAGTCGACCGCTCGTGTTGAGCTGCACTCAACGTGCCAGACCATTTCAGTGGACAGGACCCGCCTCCATTCTATGCGGTGCGTTTTGTTTGTCTTATCGAATACATTAACCGCACTGTTGAGGGAAACATACTCTTTGCATATGTACACACATTTGTAATAGACATCAAAGACATTACACAGCTTGCTGAGACATTGATCACATCATGCCATCATAAGCAAATTAATATTCATATTACAGTTTTTTCACCAAAGCAAAACATTTTATTTCACAATGAATCATTTACAACCATTTTAAATCCACTGTTGAATTAATTTCTTCCCACACCGTGATGGTTATATGACCTCGCTTGCCAGAAGTTTTATCTGTGGTCAAGAATTGACCTCTAGTTGTCAGTTTCATAGCACAGTGCGTGCGCTAACTACTGCCAACACTTCCTCCCATTTACTGTAGAGGTGGTGTAAAACAAAATATCTGGTCATTAATTTTTCACGAGGTGGGCATTACCTCGTGTTACCATGAATCATATTTTATATTTACTATCAACTACTAACCACCATAGTTCCACCTCTTTCACCACCACATAAGTCTGTTAAATCTTTCATATTGTATGAGCAGCTTGTTTGTGTGGTCCATGTGCATGTCTAGGGATGGGATCAGGAGGACTGGCCAGACATCCACGTATGGTCGCACACCCATGTATGGCTCCCAGACTCCGATGTATGGGTCTGGCTCACGCACGCCAATGTATGGATCGCAGACGCCCCTGCATGATAGTGGTAAGCCCTGTGTACATGTGGTGTTTTTTTCATTTGTAACTTTAATGAAGCTTTGAAGACTGCTGTAATAGGTGTGGCTTATAATAACGTTTGCTATAGCTTATGAAATAATAAAATCGTACATTTTATGCAGTGCCAGCTGTCAATTATGGAACACGTCTGCATGTGCAAAGTCAGTTTTCTTTTTATTTAGCATTTTGCTCTGTGTTTTGATAACTGAAGTTAGTAAATGAAAATATCAATTAAATTACAAGATATATTTTTAGTTGCGTATCCTTTCCCAATTTTAATGTGCGATGTTTAATGTAGCCGGCAACAGGACGCCGCACTATGGCTCCCAGACACCACTGCACGATGGGAGCCGTACACCGGGACAGAGTGGAGCCTGGGATCCCAGCAATGCTAACACCCCATCCAGGTACATTGAGTCACTGGTGCTTCATTGTGTCAAGAACAACAGTGGTGATGAAACAGGAGTGTAGTATACATTGAGCATTTTGCTATAAAATGTAAAGCCAGTTCAATATCTCTTAGAGGTTAATTTTGGCATCCACCAATTTGGATACCCGTTTCCACAACTTGGGGAATTTAAATTGTTAAGTTGTCAACTCGGAAGTGTTTGAATGTTTTGCAGAATGTATTTAATAATAAATTATGTATCCAGGAAAGACACAGACTTTTAGGACTTTGTCATGATAATTAGGTATTGTGATATTTGTGTATTTCCACAATTAGTATTTTGCTTTTGGCAGGACACCACAGTACCCAGAAAAAAACATGCATGTTATTGGATGACTTTCAAAATATGCACAAATTTATTAGGTCTCCTGGCTTCCTACATGTTGTAGGTTGGGAGTTCACATGTATGATCCTCTCCGTGTAAGCCACTAGCTCCACAGGTGTGCGACACCATGCTCGGTGACTTGAAGAAGCTGGAGAGTGTGTGACAGTTTTCTCTGTTTGTGTTTAGGCAAGATGACGATTTTGAGTACACATTCGATGAGCCGTCACCGTCTCCACAGCCCTATGGGGGCCAGTCCACACCGCAGACGCCAGGGTACACAGATGTGCCCTCCCCTCAAGTCAACACCACCTACAACCCGCAGACGCCTGGCACACCGGCCCTGTGAGTCGTCTTACGCTGAGCACCCAAAGCCCACACGTACACTTTACAGTGGCACTCCACGGATTGGTAGCCAAATGTAAAGATAGCGATTATGCTTTGTGTACATTCGTTGTGGGGGTTATGAAATCTAGGTATCTATGCCCTTAAAATGTATATCGCAGGTATTTCCATCAACTGCTCCAGTCAATTTTAAATGATTAACTGCACATCCTTGAGTCGTTATTTCGTTGCTTACATCTTACTCTTGGTAATTGAAGTGTGATGAGCAATTATATATTAAAATAATATTTTTTGTCAACCGCAGTCAAAGCAGGTAATCGAGTGGGGCAACAGTATGTTGATTCTTTAATGATCTCTTGCTATGTTTTTTATATGAAATTAAAACATGTTTAGAAGTTGCCTAAAAGTCAATCGATTTGATAATTTCATATCTTATAATTCCCATGCAGCATACAGCTCATAGCACTTGTAATGTACTAAACAAGGACCAGTAATAACATCTTTTCAACCTTCCCTTTTACCGTGTGTGAAGGTACAACACGGATCAATACTCCCCGTACCCGACGCCCTCGCCGCAGGGCTCGTACCATCCGACGCCGAGCCCACAGAGTTTCCATCCAGCACCCAGCCCCATGGGTTACCAGAACACGCAGTCACCTGCCAGCTTCCATCCGACTCCATCTCCCATGGCATACCAGGTGAAGATTGGGAGTGTGGCAATTCACAGTCCACATTTTCCCGTTTGAGATGACTTGACAAGTGAACCTTATGGCAGGACCCGAATAAACGAAAGTCAAAAATCGTAATTAATAAAAAAAAAATTTGTGGACTCCGTCCCACCGCGCACATAAATGCCGCGACCCGCCTGGCGCGGATCATTCTGTTGTCATGTCCAAGCGCAGCGAGGACGGAATACGCAGAAAAAACAAAACTTTGAAACATTGATTAGCGCATCGTGTAGAGCTCGTCGAGAGGAATAGATTGCCCTGTCGTTCGCCTTCAACAGACATAAAATGACGTCACAACGCAGTTTATGCGAGAGCCGGGGGCTTATGGGACCCCGGGGTCCCGCCATAAGGTTCAAGTGCACTTCCACCTATAGACTATCACGCTCCCAATAGCCTTCTGAGAAAGTTAATCGTAATAGTTTAAGTTGCACACAGCCATTGCTTGTGTGGATTTCCTTACGACTGAGATGTCTGGCATTAGTATATCGATTTTCCACTGCGATCAATGATCTATGTCAGTGGATAGGAGTGTTGCCGAACTGCTCGAGTTTTAACAAACATCACGATGCCTCCTGCTGCTTCACAGTCGAGCCCCAGCCCGAGCCCGCTGGGCTACAGCCCCATGACGCCGGGCGCAGGCTCGCCAGCCGGATACAACCCGCTCACGCCAGGCTCCGCCATCGACCCCAGCACGGCCGATTGGCACACCATCGATATCCTAGTGGGCGTGCGCGACAGCTCGCCTGATACCCAGCTTGTGGGGCAGAAGGGAGTCATACGCAGCATCTCGGTGAGTCACCCGCTTCTCTCCCCCACCCCCAGCCTCCTGTGTTTACAGGCTTTGGCATCACACCTCACTAACGCCACTATTTTTTTGTTACTGATGAGGATTGTATATTTTGAAAGTGTTTAGCATGGGATGTAAAGCTATTTTATAGTAGGTTGACCCTGCCCTATGAGTAACATTCATTAACCATTAGATTGTATTATGGAGGCCCAAACTAGGTTTTTTGGGGAGTTTTTATTGTTATAATCATAGACTTAACTATATTTGTTTGATATTTCAGCAATTCAGCCCTTCTTGAACATCATGAGTATTTACATCAGCCACCCATCCAGTTATGTATATTTTAGTTGGAGCGTTTGCTATCTTTGTCTGGTTTGAGTGCTGACTGCATTTCATGAAGGTACAGTAAAGACTAAAATCAAGCATGTGTTGCGATGCAAACGCCAACACCTATTTTTGTAATTGTCTGGGTTATTTGGCAAGTGCTGGAGTCCTTCATTTAGAGAGCGTTTGTCTGATAGCACCTCTCAGTAGTTCTGTAATTAAACTTTTTTACACTAGATATTGACACGGTGGCATTTGTGAATGTTTTCTGTTTTATTAAATAAAGGCAAAATGTAAACATGAATCATCTAATCTGTAAGAATTGTTCCGCTCAAAATGTGCCCCAACCGGAGATTAAGCCACCTTGTTCAGTCGTAACTAGAGTGCCAGGCCTAACGTTTGCAGCTGGTGCAATGTCAGGATGTCAGGTTTTATAGCCCTCGTATAGTTCATAGTTTTATATCCTTCTGACAAGTGAGAGCAGGAGTAGGGGGCCAACAAGTTATATTCCTCATTCCATCTCAAACGGCCCCAAACAACCTTCTCCAGTACTTGCGAAGAGACTAATTCAAGAGCTCTTATTGTTTGACTGATAATTGTTTTATTCCTTTTTCAAGTGCTTTGAGGTTTTGGTCATACTCAAAATGGTTTTCTTTTATGGCTAGCTTGCATTTGTTTACAATAGCCAACTTGTTATTGTCTAAAGGCTCAAAGGCCAGACAACACACCATTGTATAGGTTTTATAGACTAATATTTACCATATATCCATAATACAGGATTTTGGGGTTAGATCACGTAAATATATAAATGTGGTGTTAAACCCGCCACCACCCGACACAGCCAACTGGTAAGGTTTGTCACGTAAACAGAACATGCCAATTCGTCACTAGTACAGCACACCGGTGTGTTGGAGAGCAAAGCCGCAACATTTACAATCTGAGTTCGATTTTACGCCAGAAATTACAACTATAGCTTCATCAGGCGACTGCCAGATTGGTGGCGAAATCCTCCTGTTCGGTTCCTAAAATGGTGGCAGAACATGCATGCCAACAAGGACGCTAAATTTATTTTGAAGTTCTGTGCAAAACTAGTTCCTCCTGGCCAAGACTAATTAGATCATCTATAGAAATTGAGAGAAATAAAAAATAATTTAACTGTTCCGATATTCACAGACTTAGTGTTGCTTGGAAGCGAATCATCAAATAATATAATACATTTTCCTTTGGAAAATAAATAATATAAATTCCTGCAGTCACGAAAAAACTTTAAGTCAAAATATAAAACATTGTTTAAATGCATGCCTATACTGGATGTATTTTATTCATTGTCAGCTTAACAGGCCACAACCTGCTGATGATACTCGGTTAAATCGGTTGGTTTGAGGACATTCGGTTAAATCCTTGATGTGACAATCGCTACTGGGTTACGCCGATTATGAAGGACTGTTGCCTTGAAAATTAAACTTGATTTCATTTATATGATTAAATCCAATTGTCTTTTACGTGAATGAGTGGTATCAGACTTTGTGAATGTAAAATGTATTATTAATCACTGCTCCCCATCTCTCTGCAGGGTGGAATGTGCTCAGTTTACCTCCCTGACAGCGACAAAGTAGTGAGCATTGCCAGTGACCATCTAGAGCCAGTTATCCCTGCAAAATATGACAAGGTAAGAAAACTTGTAGTCTGCGTGAGCAATCGAGTGTTCAGTAAGGGCTTGACATGAAAAGTGTTGAGAGAATGAGTAATAAAATTCAACTAAGTTGAAATCCACAACTCCTTGTATCCACATGTTGTGCAAAGAAATCATCCTGTTATCCGTGGGTTATTTGCATTTTGTTATTCTCAGATAAGACGAGTACATTTTAAGATAACCCTGCGGGTAACAGATAACAGTATATGCGGTATTGGTCCCCCATAGCACTTGGGATAAGAGGAGTTCCGTAGGTTTGTTTATTAATTGTTTTCATCTTATTTATAATTACATTAGAATAAAAACACAAACATTTAATATTGGTTCCCAAACATTCACAAACCTGCAGCGACTCGCGTGGTCAAGTATGGGTCACGGTGAGGCCTTCGTCTCGAAGTAGACTGATAAAGTTCTGTAAGTTGGTAAAAAAAAAACATTTACATATCGATAAGATATACAGAGTTACGTGACCAAGCACATGTTACAGCTCTGTTTGGGTTTAATTTTGACAATCGGTTTGTTATATAGAATGAACGAGACTTTTTAAATTGAAGTGTGCATAGATTTTTTTTCCCATCTTCTCTTCTTGCAACTTCAACGACCATTTGGATGCTTTTGGTTTCAGGTCAAGGTGATCCTGGGCGAAGATCGTGAAGCAACTGGGACTTTAATCAGCATCGACGGAGAGGATGGCATCGTTCGCATGGAGCTGGACAACCAGCTGAAGATCCTCAACCTGCGCTTCCTGGGAAAACTGGAGACCTAACCCAGCCGTGCCCCCACACCGAAGCAGGCGGCACATCGGTTTGTGAACATAGAAATGTGAGTGGGTCATAGCCCCACAAATGTTTAGGTGGTCCCCACTCTCTCCCCAACTGTTCCGATTCTTACTTAGTGTTGCAATAACAAAGGACATGTGATTGTGACCGCATTTCAGAAGCACTTCCTTGCAATGCACCAGTAAATCTGATAAAGAGCATTTTTGGAAGGTATTGTCCAGCTTTTTGGACAATACATGGCCACACTTTTTTAAAACTCATAGTTATGCCTGATTTTTTTCTTTTTCAGAGCTTATATTTTTCAGAGCCATTATAATGCAGTTTCAAAATATGCTCTTGTAATATTTTGATTTCTTACCTGGTCTTGTATTAAATTGCAAATGTATACAATGTACGGATTATGGTATGGACAGTCCTAAGGCCACACATTCTATTCAAATCGACTTTGTCAACTCATGTTCATCTAATTGCTTGGGTTGTCCAAATTCCCAACTTATGTGTTTATGTATTTGTGGTTGATATGCACCACGGAATATAGCTCCACAACTTTTTTCATTTTACCCTTATTGTACACGAGACATAAATATGTTCAGAGTGGGGTGAGTGGGAACATGGTTGTTGTAAAGACTAAACAGTTGGCAAACTTGTTTATAAAACCTATCCGAGCATGTTTGCCAAAAGGTCCTTGTTTGATAAATTTATGTTCAGAGCTTCAACATTTTGATTACAGCTTTGGTCGTGACCTTGCTTGTTTAACAAGCACTGATCTTATGTTGAAGCAGAAGTATTTGTTCCTTTGAATATTGCTTGCTTTCAAGTTCATTTGTGTTTGCATCAAATCATTGCAAGGCACATTAACATTTAACGTGTGAACATTTCTCTTTCTATTGCCAGTTTGATATTAAGATAGAATACTTGTCTTGATGAAAGCCTAATGGGAAAACCTGCAGTCGAAGACATAACAATGATGCAATTATCAGTGGTATGTTGCATTTTAATTGTTCTCAGAAATGTCACCATACAGTTCATAAGGGAGTACATAATTGTGTAAGTTACAGTAATTACATTTGGGAAGCATTATTCTAAACAAATATAAACTGAAAGCATGGTCCACTTGCATTATGGTTCATCTCCCAGAAACAGTGCCTGCTGAAAAGATGCCATTTGTTAGAATGAGATACATTCAATGAAAGTACGTTGCAAAATAGTTCGTGTCATTACCGAAAAGTACACAGCAATAGTTTACCCGGAAGATAGAACAGTTTCTGTAAATGTTGCAGTGCGACTAAAACCGAACTAAATTTCAATGTCCAGTTTAAATTATCAACTAACCATTGTAGAATTTGGTGCCATTTTATTTTAGAATAGTCTTGTATTTAGAGCTGTAATTCACATGATTTTTCTTTTGACATGTAATCGTGTGCTCTGTTATTTGCTTATAGTGTACCAGTGGTAGTAGCCATTAACCCTACGTGTAATGTTGTTAAAATACAGCATTTGTCACAGAAGTTGCAACATTGTAAAATTCGTCCCGATACTGTTTTAAAGCAAGTACAGTAAAGTGCTTTGGCCGTCTAATATGTTGAACATGGTGAGCTGTAATTAACCTTGGTTAAGTCTGTTCACTTATAACTCTGGATGTATAATAAAACAATAAAACACATCATGACAAGCGGTGTGATGTTAATCGATAGTATAATTATTCTGTGATGCGTTCAGTTTTTCCCCAAATCGTGAAGTGCACATACTGTGACAATCGCCCACAATGCGCCCGATCCCGTCTCACCTCGTAAGTTAAGCAGGGTTTGAATCTGCAAAGTGCTTGGATGAGGTGACCACCATAGCCCAAGGGAAGGTGTGTGCTTTGCGTATTCGAGCAGTACGGCCAAAGTACACAGTTGTCTGCCGCCTTCAAAGTGCACCTTTCAAATAATTCCGAATGAGGCGTTTATTGTGGATGTCCCCGTTTATTCCACTTTGTTCGCACAGCGGTAGCGTTCCTCCGGGTCTGGGTTTTAAATTCTCGTTTAGTGGTGACAGCAGTGGAGTCTCCGAAGGGTTGGTTTGGATCTGGGATGCAAGAGGTCGTGGGTTCGATACCCCGACCCTGATGGCTGTTGTATATTTGGAGTTTGAATGTTTCTCTCCCCTTTGTCGCGTGGATTGTTTTTCTCCGGGTCCTCCAGGTTTTCCCTCCACATTTAGAAGCGTGCGTTTAGAATATTTGGCGGCGAAACATTTCCACATGATAAGCCACTTCGTTGAGCTATCATTTGTGGCCAGGTCGCTTCTGAAATATAACTAATAGCTCAATGGGCTTTACCGAGTAAATAAAATAAAAGTTTAGTTTTAGTTTATTTTAGTGATTTGCTTTCCTACACTTTGCGTTCCGCTCGGGTTTAATTTTTATGTTTGTGGTAACTTTCTGACCCGCCCCGACTGGACATTTGTAAAAAAAAGCTTCATATCTCATGACATTTCTCCAGTCTAAATAAAGAATGAGTGAAAACAAGAGCTTCATCGCCCTTCGGATTTCTCCAGTCTCAATAAAGATTGTGATGGCGAGGAGACTACGTGGGTCCTGGCTCCCACAGCAAGACCAAGACGGCAACGTGTCGCGTGGTGACGTCATCCCCCCCCCCCACCATCTCCACCCCCCCCCCCACCATCTCCACCCCCCCCCCACCATCTCCACCCCCCCCCCACCATCTCCACCCCCCCCCCCACCATCTCCACCCCCCCCACCATCTCCACCCCCCCCCCACCATCTCCACCCCCCCCCCACCATCTCCACCCCCCACCATCTCTCCCCTCCCACCATCTCCCCCCACCATTTCCCCCCCCCCACCATCTCTCCCCCCCCACCATCTCCCCCCCCTCCCACCATCTCCCCCCCCTCCCACCATCTCCCCCCCCCCCACCATCTCCCCCCCCCCCCCATCATCTCCACCCCCCCACCATCTCTCCCCTCCCACCATCTCCCCCCCCCATCTCTCCCCTCCCACCATCTCTCCCCCCCCCCCACCATCTCCCCCCCCCCCCCACCATCTCCCCCCCCCCACCATCTCCCCCCCCCCCCACCATCTCTCCCCCCCCCCCATCATCTCCCCCCACCATCTCCCCCCCCCCACCCTCCTCGTGGGCGGTGCCACCCCGGAACGTGTTCCGCGTGCTGCACGCGGCACTTCCCGCCTTTGGTTCCGGGTTGCCGTCGTCAGCCGGTGCGGGCGGGCGGGCTGCGTGAGCCGCAGTAACTCGCGCCAGGGCTGCGTGGCGACTTGTCGGGGTTTAGCTTATCACGTCTCTCGACATGCCGTTGCCTTTTTAGCGGATTTTACACACACACACGTTTACTTTGGTAGTGTATTTATTTTAAGTTTAATTATGTAAGGAGGAAAAGTGCTTGAGCTAGCCCCGTGGGGATATCGAGCCGTGTTTGTAGTTTTATCATTCGACGTGGCTGCCCGTGTACAGTGTGACGAGCTTGGGACGCATGCGGGTTTACAGCGGGAGCTCTGTGAGGCCAGCGGCCCTCTCTCTCGTGCTCACCACCACCACCACCAGCAGCACCACCACCACAGCAGCAGCACCACCAGCAGCAGCAGCAGGGCGCCTTGCTGCGTGTGAACTTACGGGGTAAGGGGGGAGGCACGACACGGCCCCTCTGGCGGGTGAGCTGCTGCGAGGAGGGGGAGGGAAGCCTCAGCCCAGTGGGGCTTGTCCCAGGGTAGGGGGGGGTGTCGCAGGTCATGCACTTGGTTGTCCACAAAGGATTTAGCCACGGTTAGAGTCAGTCCCATCCCTGGCGAAGTGGACCCTGACTCGGGTGTAGTGAGCCCCACAGCCACTTACAGCGGCGTACAGGGTCGGTTTCAGATCTATTGTGTTGTTTATCGTCATCCTTGCTCAAGCCGAGCCTCCAGCTGGGTAGTGGGTGCCAGCTCGGGTAGCGTGGGACCTCGGTAGAGTTCCAGCGAGACGACGTTCCCAGGTAGAGTAGCCGAGGTTGTGTGAGTTCCACGCAGAGTGCAGCTCGGGTAGAGTTGGGTTCCCCATCGCTGTCAGAGTGAATCTCGTCCCAGCAGGACGGAGTGGTACCCCCCCCTCACCCCTCAGGGCCGTGATGTTGACGCGTCCACCTCGTCCGTGAGCTCCACCACGAGGCCCCTTCGGGGTGGCGAGGCGGACGGCGGCAGAGATGAAGGCGACCCGCCAGGGGGGTAAGAAGCTGTCTGCGGACGCCTGTGAGCACGAGTCGTACGAGGACCGGCAGGAGAACGAGCTGGAGGTGCTCACGGCCATCTACGGCGGCGAGTTGACCGACCTGAGGAAGCAAGACCCATGGAAGGTGCCGTGACAGCCCAGCCCGCCCGCCCGCTCGTGGTGCTGCTGTTTGGGCTGTGATGTTGCGCGCCTGTCAACCTGTCGACCCACACGGTTCACTCTGTATTGTTGTGCGGGGAAGTTGAGTTTGCAGGTCCACACGGCGTCAAGACGTTTCCATACGGGCAACATTTGTCTATTTGTGTTTCTTTCTTGTGATGGGACTTTGTAGGGTGAACGTTGAGATGTATAAGGGGCACGGGGTGATCAATAAGGTCTGAGTTGGTGTGTAATGAGGTAGGCACTGATCCGGGGTGGACAGCTGTGGTGTGTTTTGGGGAGGTGTGGCAGCGGTGTGTTGTTTTCGGCATGGTGTCCCGACGTTTCGCTCCACGCCCCACCCACTTGCTGGGAGCTCCTTCTGAATTGAACACGTCACTTTCGATCAAAGTACAGGATAGGGTTTGCCGGCTACTGTTGGTGCTGTTGTTGTAATCAACGCCGAGCCACGCGCGGTACAACCCGAGTACACACATCACAGCGACACAGCGCAACCGTGAACACCCATTTACCACACTCGTTGATAGCTTGACATAAGGTTCCATTTCATGGTATGATTGTGTATTTAAATACACATTGTCCACTCTGGTGCATTGTGGTCTCCCACTTTGTGGGAACTAAACGTCCCGTGACCTGTGGGTGAAACTGCCCCCACAGGCCATAGTAACGTGGAATTTCCACAGCTGACACAGGGTCATCCGTGGAGTTAGCAACGCCCAGCAATCATTTGCTAATGCAGAGAGACATTACATCATGACTGGTTTTTGGGCATGAATCATGGCCATGTTGCATGTGTGCACGATTGAACTTCTTTCGCACCGTACGTAGCTCACCGTGCGAATCGGAGGTGCGGGGTCATGCTTACATTACAGGAGCACATTTTACAATCTTATTTGTATCTTTCGATTCTTATATCTCGTTTGTACATTTTATTCACTCATAGATTGAATGCACCATTGGCCTACCGTTTGCGCATCATTACCACAAAACGTAAATAAAAGAATCTATAAATCACAGTACATGACACCAGTATTGGTCTTTATATAAAAAAAACTATTCTGTAATGGGAAAACTAGGTTTCACAACTTTAAAAAGTACGTTTTACTTTAAATCAGCCGAGTCAAGCGAGGGAATGTGCCCAAGAGGACATCTACCGCAAACGTAGAAAAATGAAATTGGCTTGCGTGCAGGCTGGGTGAATTATCGCAGGACTGTGAAAGATAGCGATGTCTTGGGAAGCCCTTCATCCAGCAGGGCATTGATCATGGCCGATGAGAATGATGAAGCCGAGTTATTTTCTCAACTTAGTGAAAACCCGGTGAAAGACAAATCTCGGTGTCTCCCCGTGTGTTGGTGGTGGTCGTAGCGATCAACGCGTTGAGTTTTGCTGTTTCTGCAGGTGCGCCGCCCGCCACAGGTGTGCATTTCACTGGCACCCCACGATAGCGCAGGAGGTGCGTGCTACGTGACGGTGGACCTCACAGTCCGCTGCCCTCCACGCTATCCGGACGAGTGAGCACCAATGCTGCACTTCACTTAGGACACAGCCCACAACACTCCCGCTTAAAGCTGTTCAGTCAAACCACGTTCACACTGATAAGCTCAGGCTGGTTACCATTACGCATTGAAGGTTGCTAGAGCAACCTCCTTCAGGTATTTATTTAAAAAGTGAACTGGCAGCCATTCAGGGTTGGGGTTCCACAAAAGAAGGATTCGCTATGAACTCCGAAGCAACGGTCACACACAGCTGGACACAACGCATGATGCTTACATTTAGTTAACTCCATTGCCGTGGTGTGAACATGTTTCACGTCACAAAAGACACTTGACATTCACTTATCCTAATGATCATATTTTAAACTTTTAAAGCACCTTTCACCCAGAGGCCACAACGTGAATAATTACATATTAAAGATACAAGCATGCAGGGTATTTATAATAAAAAAACAGTGTGAACGCACACCTAAGTGGTAATTACTTTTTTGGTGCACATGAAGTGATCTGACGTGAACCCGACATAAGTCGTTGTATGTTTTACTTTTCTTGTAGGCTCCCAGAAATTGAGCTGAACAATGCCAAAGGCCTGTCCAATGAGAGTGTGAAAGAGCTGCAAGCCCAGCTGACAACCCTGGTATCTGAACTGCGTGGAGAGGTAAAAACCTGCACATTTCATGAGTGCATGTGTGTTCGGAGGGTCGGCTCACAGATGTTTGTGTGGCAGCAGAATGCAACACACTGCAATTTTAATTTAGAAAGTATCCAAATATGACTGTGTTTTGTTTGATTATGGGATAACGATAAATATGATGCATTTAAATAGTTTGCTTGATTTATGTTTGGAAGTCTGGATCTGGTAGAAATTGTTCTAGTCGGCACTGCTCAATAATGCTAGTATAATTTATTTTGCTGCCATTAGGCAAGGCTTCGTGACACACTACAGTACTTGAAAGCTTTATCGAGACAGATTAAGATATATTTGGTTCACCCGCTGTCAATTGGCAAAGAGTATATTTGCTTAACATGTGTTGCCTTGCGGTTGCAAGGTGAAGGTTGCCCTTTGGTCATATTGTCGCAACCTCTGTGTTCGTGTGCTTATGGCTTCACAGGTGATGATCTTCCAACTGGCCCATCACGTAAAGAACTTCCTGATCGACCTCAACGTGCCACCGCCGTGTTCTTTCTACGAGGAAATGCTGCGCAATCAAGCATTGCAGCAACAGAGGCTGGCTCAGGAGCAAGAGACGGCGTTCCGTGAAAAGCTGCAACAGGAGGAGAGTGAGGTCAGTGCTGCCACAGCTGCAAATAGCGATGCAGTACCATTGACATTAGCGTCAGTCGTGATTTGCTGCTGGATGGAGGCCTCCCCAAGTCGTTCCGTCTCTCACAGTTACGTAATGTAGGCATCCGTTTAGCACTTACATGAGGTTTAGGCCATGTTAATGAGATAATAGACTTCAAAGTTTAACTGTTGTCACCAACATGGTACTCGTGTGCGCTTCAATGAAACGTTAATACAGTGGCTTCACTGGAGCTCGATAATGGAAAACCTGACTAACACGACAGTGTTTACTTATTAAGGCATCTTCAGCCACGGTATGTATCTACAAGTATAAAGTATTTTTTTTATTGAGTTATGTATGCCTTCAAATAAACTTCTGACATGTTTGTATTAGAGTAATTATTATCCATGATGGACTTTTATATCAATAACTTGATACTGAAATCGATATATATAAAAGTTAGTAGTTTTGTGCGTGTGTCACAGTAACGCTCTTTCCGGCCTGTTGATTGGCCAAAACAAAATATAAAATCGGGGAAGTTTACACAAATAAGTCTTTTTTTATTTAAACATTTGAAAGTTTAATTAGAATTTAATAAAATAATTTATCTGCAATTGCTGTAGCGAAAACCCACGGAGAGAAACCATTATCACCCACAGGGGTGATTGTACCCCATTATTTCACAATTTTACGAATAAAACTTAACCTTATTGCGTTTATTTATATTGTAATTTGTTAATCATTGTACAATAATAGTTGCAGTGATTTTATAATGCCGAGTCTTGCTTTGTTTATTATGTTTTAAAGTATAAGTACCATGCAAAAGTGTTGGTATCGTTCCCCCCCCCCCCCTCAGTGAGTGGTACATTCCAAACAGCAATGTGGATCAAAGCAGATGGCGGTAACGCAATTTAATCTGATTGCCGACGTTAATTTGGCATGACTGGACTGACGTACATCAGAATCAGAATATTTATACTGCAGGAGGAATCCGATGAGCTGTAAAGCTCTTGTTCACTGATCTCCAGTCGGGGCACGGGGTCAGAACGTTTCAACAACAAACAGTACAAAGACACGGTAGTAGTCGTGCAAGTAAACAACTCACCCAAACACATCTCCAGTATTTATTCAAGTTAGTCGTTCCGTGCGGGTGTTTACATTCGGGGATTGCCAGAAAGCGCCTGTTTCTGTACCGTGTTGTGGCGAAGGGCGTATGATGAGTCTATGCAATGTTGATACATCGCTGCTTTTGTTACACAACATTAATGGTTGACACCTCATCAATGTCTCTTCCATTTCACTGTGTACGATTTATCACCTATACAACTTTTCTTTGTATACAGCTCAGATATAGCACACAGTGAGGGTATGCATACCTGTCAACCCCTTATCAATGCCTACCTCATTACAGACAAATTCTCAACGTTCATCGTACAAAGTCCCATTACAATGTTTTTACTCAATTTCCCTGTATAAGAATACGGGTAAACCGTATGGGTTGACAGGTATGGGTATGTAACAACATTACAGACCACACTATACAGCACATTATGTACCGTATACAACTCAGATATAGTACATGGTGAGGGTATGTAACCACATTGCACACACGTGTACTATATCTGAGCTGTATACAGGAGATAATAGTATGATGTGTAATGTTATGAACAACCTCATACCTTTGGTCAGGGTAATGGAACCCCTCGGCTATTAATTGTATCCATGTCAGTCGGCATTGTGTTTGTTGTACGTATTGGTGAGTTAATTTGAGCTTTGGGTGATCGGAGCTTTTTGTTTAAAGTGATTAGCAAAGTGAGAACCCTGGTGCTCATTGAAAGTGGGAATATAAATAAATAGATCTTTAGCTTATTTAAATCATCGCACCAACACAGCAATAACTGAGAACGGTTTAGGTCACCAGCTACAAACTGCAGTGACGATTACTGTAAGATTCTGGTTGAAAAATGTTAATCCATTGTGTAGATATTGAACATGTGGGTTGGGAGTGGGGATGGCAACAGTGATTTTTTTTTGTCATTTAACTTTGCATTGTGGTTAACACAAATAACACATTGCTATTAATCTGTTCAACTAAAAACTATGAAACTAAACAATTATGATTTTACCAGGTCAGACCCAATGAGCTATATAGCTCATTTTTAGAAGCGACCTGTCCACAAATGATAGTTCAACGAAGTGGCTGATCATGTGGAAATGTGTAGCAGCCAGATACTCTTAAACGCATGTTTCTAAATGTGGAGGACCTGGAGAAAAATCTATGCGTCCAATGTGGAGAGCATGCAACCTCCAAATATACAGGCGTCAGGATCGGAATCGAACCCACGACCTTTTGTATACCAGGTAGTTAACATCTCGCCACTGTGGCGACCAGGCTGTATTGTTGACATGCCTGCCCATCCTGGGATGTGTCTCTAATGCCAGATGCCTGTTGTCAATGCCATGTTCCCATTGCTATATAATACGAGTGTAACAGTTTGCGCCTTGGCGATTCGATGTGTCGTCACAGTTCAAGGTCTCATTTTCTTCCACTGTGGCGAATGTAGCAGCCTCTTGATACGTCAATTATCTCCATTACTTACTTACACTGCCCTTTGTCAGTGAAGTGCCGGATGAAGGCCTCTTGTGTGACTATATTTGACGACTCTTTTCAATGCGGTTTGTTGAAGGTGGGGCAGGGTGCACCCAGCACCGGTTCAGATTACTCGCCACTGATGTCAGCCGTGGCTGGGAATAAAGCTCAGGCTGCTGGGTTCATAGCACAGTACACAAATCACGGCACCACTATCCCCCCTCCCCCATATGAGGTGTGCGAATTGAAATAATGGATTCTTGGAATAGTTTTGAATTGATGAATCAATGCATCATTACACATCTGTTGAATACCCATTGTTGTTGGTGTGTGTTTGATCATATGTTATAATCTTGTGTTTTTAACCAGAAACGTGCAATTGATCATGAACTCATGCGACGAGAGGAAGAGAAGAGAGAGGAGAGGAAGAGGAAGGAATTGGCTAAGCAGGTGATTGCAGTATTTAAACAAAATATTTAATTTCCTGTTTATTAACAGTCTACGGTAGTTACTGGATTTCAGTTGGAAGGAATCTAATTGTTGATTCGATGCAAATGGCCTGTCCAGTGAGCAAAATGAAGATGTATTTTGTAATATTTTAAAATATTGGCATTCGGTTCTGAAAACCTGTTCTAACAGTGGATAGCATGAATGTTCACAAACTTTCCGGCAATGTATGTGGTTTTTTCATGTTCCGTGGCGACAGTTTATTTGGAATTGTGGGTTGTGAAAAATGATGGGCAGGCATGTGCATGTCTGTAAAGAATGTAGCTGTTAGCGTGTGTGAATTAAACAAGATGCAAAGCTGTGGGTGGAAAGGGCAGTGATGCGAGTGATTGACGGCTTTACTGCTGCAAACACATTCTCTGTGTGTAGGTCGAGCCGCAGGGGAGATATTTGTAATGTGTGAAAAGTTTTCAATTAGTCAAATAATTTTCTCAATTTTGTTAAATTTCCACGAAAATGTTATATATAAAAATAAAGATTAGTTTTACTGTCATGTGACAATCGCATCGCAAAGGCTTATGGAAAAGTGCACCCACTAAATGTATTAACGATAGAAGTACCATTTTAAGGATGTTTCAGGAGTGCTTTGACGAAGCTATTTCTGAGCCCTTTTTCTGACGCACGCGGCACCCTGCGAAATTTACGGATGCAGTAAGTTGTGGGAAAAAGACATAAAAGAGGTGCACTGCTCTTGACTTGCCATCCCAGATCCAAGCAGGATGGGAGGTTGTCATGCTTGATGCAACCTGCAGGATCCACCAAGCCTCAGTCAAGGCACTAGATTATATTTACATGCCACCGTCGTCATTATCGGCTGTAACCAACTCCTAAACTAAAACTCTTTTTATTTTACCAGGTAAGGCTCACTGAACTATATAGCTTCTTTTCAAATGCGACCTGGCCACAAATGAGAGCTCAACGAAGTGGACATTTATAATAGCCAAGTACTCTAAACGCATGTTTCAAAATATTGAGGGAAAAATCGGAGGACCTGGATAAAAATCCACGCTACTATGGGGAGAGCATGCAAACTCCAAATATCCAGGCGTCGGGGTCGGGGACCGAACCCATGATCACCTGTATACCAGGCGAGTGAGTTAACACTCGCCACCATGGCACAGCAACCCACTACCAGATTAGGCCTCTCCAAGCTTTCTCACGATCCTGCCACCATGCCTCGTCAAATGTATGGCGGTGCATGTATCATTATTTATGTTATGTTCCTGGCTGTGCATCACTCAGCAGGAGATGCGCGAGGGAATGGCGGGCAGCCCCACGAATGACGGTGGCGTGAGCGGCCAGCCATCACGGAAACCCACCGTGGGATCTGGGGAATGGAGCGAGGGCGAGGGCTCGAGTCGCACGCGGAGCCGCTCTGCGAGCCGCTCCAGGTGCAGGCTCGCAATACGCGCACATGCGCTCACGAGCCTCGCTGCTGAGCCCTGCTCACCCTTTCGACGAGGGAAACCACAGAAGACACTGTTTACTCTCCTGTGTGTGTGTGTGTGCCTGAGGTTTTTAGGTTCATTGTTATCCAGTGGTAGCATATTCAGGCAAATTGTGTGAAAAGCTGTCAAAAAGTGACAAGACTTTGTTTGGCGATGGGGGTAGTAGGCCTACGTACTTTCGGAGTAAGCTGTTTGGGATGGAAAATATGAGCCAGCGATGCCTTAACTTAGCCCTTGCCACACTAACCAGACTCAAGCCCAAACCCTAGTTGTATTCACACTTGCCAACCAGATACTGGTCTTACTCTAGCCCTAACTGCATTTGCTGTCCTGACGCGATTCCTTGCCCTAGCTTCAGTCACACTAGCCAACCATGCCCTATCCCCGAGCCCTAATCAGACTCTCCATCTAGCTCCTGGCACGAACCCTAAAACACAAGTCCCCCTCGTTCTAACAAAAGTAGTTGTGAGCACCTGGTAGCAGCCATTCCACGAAAACGAATCATAACCCCCTTTTTCACTGTTTGTTTGCTTTACACTTTTGAATGTCTCACTGCTGTGACCCAATTGATGCTGTCGTCGTGTTTTTCTTTGTCCGGTAGCAAGAGGGAGCGTCTCACATCCCTTTGCAGCAGTGACAACTGCAGCCCAGGAGCGGAGGTGCTCAAGTTCCACACGCAAGGGGAGCGCTCCGTGTACCGCGGAAAGTGCATCGGTACGTGGTGTGCTCTGTACGTGTCTTTGCTTCCGATTTTCGTTGGATGAGGTGTAAAGGTGAGTTCTGCACTTTGTGCATTTATCTACCAGTGGCTGGACCCAGCTGATTACTCACAGAGTTCAGGTTAAGTGATATTTTCACGTAGATACCTGGTCTGATAAATCAAGCTTAGTCAGGCAGTCTTGAACAACTGGGTTAATATTTAAGTTAGCAGACGAAAGTCCGTCCCTCCACATAGATTATAAATATGTTTTTTATCAGTCCATAAGCCTTCTGTAAAAACAGCATTTTAAGCAGACAAACTTGGGATTGGTTTCAATCATTTGGGTCAAATCATCAGTCAATTGTGTTGAACAAATGTTGCTATAAATACCAGCTGTTATTGGCAAGAACACTCCACTTCTGCTATGGGGCCCATTCTGTGCAAAATTGTTACAATAATGTGTCATAATGTGCTGTTTTTGAGTATTATTGGTATTTTCTACAATCTAGACTAAACCTATCTAAGCCGTAGCCAGCTGTAAAGCCTAGATTAGCCAAACAATGCAATTTAGCCAAGCTAAGCTAAATCAAACAGTGAAGCCAATCCAGAGAAAATCCACTCCATGTCGCTGAAAGATGTTTATTGTAAGCCATGTTACAATGTTAGTTGTGATTTTAACTTTTAAAAATGAAAAATATAGGTCATGTTTCTCAAACATTCATTTTTTCCTGAGTTTGACCAATGCCTGAAATAGTATTGATTGTAATGATGCATCGATTCATTCATTGAAGTGTCATTTTATGCTCAAGATAATGCGTAACATTGTGCATGCTTGTTGGTAAATGTTTGCATAAAATTGGTCAATGTAACCCTTGCAGCCAGTGGAGATAGCATATTCTTTATCATTAGCACGAGGCATGATCTCGCCACTTGTAGATGACGACCTTCCCAAATTGTCACCATCTTTCTTGGTCTCACAATGCACAAATCTCCGTCTGCTCTGCACACAAGCCGATTTCATTGCTCCATCGCTGGTAGTGGAGGGCGTATTCCCTCCATTGGACAATCACTGCATAACGCGCTTTGAGATGCGCTTCTGCGGCCTTCTGGAATGCTCTTCCTTGCGATATTAGGAAGCCATTGGAACTGTGCACTTTTGAAGCTAAATAAAAAACAAATTTCCTGCTTTTTGTGTTTCGTTTGTTGTCCATCCCCCGCACTTCGGATGAGCACAGCTGCCTGTGTACTGTGCAAAAGAAGTTCAATATATATACGTTGGAAATACTTATTTTGGATAATAGTTAAAACAAATAATAAAATATTCAATTAAACTGTGATTGTGGCATGAACATTCATCGAATCGCAAGTGCAGGAGATCAATCGTTCCATGCCTATAAATAAGCCGATGATGCAGCGAGCGTTGTGAAACAACGAGGCTGGCCCTTGCTAACATGACGGTTCTGCTGCTCGGCAGGTGAGAGCACTCACTTGCGCCGCCAAGTGTTCAACTCGCTAGACAACAGCACGGGCGAGCTGGTGGTCGTGTACGAGTGGGTGCTGCGCTGGCCGGTAGGACACCCCGACCTCCGCACCAGCGAAGACAAGGAGCACATGGAGAAGTGCCGCAAGCAGGTGTGGGGACCGATGGAAGCTCGTTAGCCTGGGACAGGGGTCGGCAACCTACGGCTCCGGAGCCGCATGCGGCTCTTTACAGGTTGCTCCTTGACGATATGTACGTATGTACAGTATGTACTCAGATGCATTGCGGCTCTTGAAATACTGAATTTTGTACCGAATTGGAAAGAAATGGCTCTTCTTGTTATTTTGGTTGCCGACCCCTGGCCTAGGGGAATTAGCGGATAAAAATCTGTGGAAACTCGTGGATGATGTGGGTCTTTATAAATGTGCTTTGCCATAACGTTTGAGGCTCTGTGCATATAGGCCTCATCCCCCTGAACCTTCCACTTTGTCGTGGTTGGTACACTGAACGACAAAGCCTGTTTGATTCCCTGACAACGCTAACATCAGTGTTTAGTTATCTTAACCAGTCCTAGACCTCTCCTTGGTCATACCAGCCTTAAACTAGTTCCGGGTGTCGATGTATAAACATAAGTACTGGGGAGACAAAGGCAGCCTGGGCATGGTGCTGGCCACACGATCTTCTTTTATGCCGTAGCTGCATTTAGAGGTGCTCGAAAACAGTACTTGCCACAACAATCTATGCAGGCTACACAGGGGATCTTGGCCGTTGTGCTGATGTGTGTATGTATGCCTGCTTGTCCACGAGGTGCAAGGGGCCAGTGCAGAGTTACAGTCGCTGTTGAAACTGCGGCACGAGGCGCTGGTGCCGTACCTTGCCATGGAGAGCCAGGAGACGGAGACGGCCCTCAACGTGCGCCTGCTGGCCGAGCACGTGTCCGGCACGAGCCTGGCCGGCCACCTTGCCCGGTGAGACAACGCGGCGGTATCCCCCCCGACACTGAACTATGACCGCTGGCATCCACTCACTTAATTTTGTTATTGTTGAAGATGTCATCCCATGGTGCTGGGGATGCTACATCACTGATCATCCTTGGTTCAATTCTAGGCAACCTCCTCTGACTAAACCGAGTTTTTACGTGGAGTGAGTCGACACTCTTTTGTGCTTTCAAATGGAGAACCAAGAGGTGGACAAGGATGAACCTCCTTTGGTTTACTTGGCCGAGATAGCGAGGTGGCACCATAGTCAACCATGTTCGTGTGCTTTTCTTCGTCAGTCAACTACTGTGTAATAACTTCCCCCACACTCTGCAGGATGTGGTGATTATTTAACCATACTTCACCATTCGGGTCAGTCTTGATTGGTATAGACGGGGAGCTTAGAACTGGAACATAGAACAATACAATAATGGATTTTGCTGCACATTGTTCTGCTACGCGCCACGTCGTCCCGCAAAAACATACGACACCTGTTTTATTCATGGTGGGTGCCCATTAAAGCATCCAGGTTCAACCTTGCTTACCTGCCAAGAACTGATGCAATCAGACGCATTCTGGGTGATTTGGTCACAAGCTAAAGGCCAATCAGATTTAGGCTGAAACCAATCATTTTTGTTTAAATTCTCCTGCGGCAGCACTGGCCCCTTGCCGGTGGAGACGGTCCGCCAGTACGCTTCCCAGCTGCTGCACGTGCTCGACTACCTGCACGCCAGCTCGGTGGTGCACCGTGACCTGCGTCTGTCGAGCGTGCTGCTGGACTGCGCGACGGGTCTGCTCCGCGTCGCCGACTACAGCCTGGCGCGCCGGCTCGCCGACGCCTGCGTGGCGAGCGAGCGGCCCAGTCGGCCCGGCGTGCCGCGGGTCCACTTCGTGGAGCCCGAGTGCGGTGCCGGGGCCGGTGCTGCGGCGGCTCGCTCGCAGCCGCCGAAGACCGGGAAGAAGGGCGACGTGTGGCGGCTGGGCGTGCTGCTGGAGCAGCTCGCGATGGGACGGGAGAGCAACAACGATTCGCCCGACACGCCACCTGCCGATCTCCCCGTTGACTTCCGCGAGTTCCTGAGCCGGTGCGTTGCCCGCGTTCGTCCAGCGGAAGTTGGCTCCGGGTTTGGAGGCTGCCGAGCATTGCGTGCCAACACTTCCTCTCGGTGCAGGCATTCAGGATGTTATCCCATCACCATATCGGGCTTTGTCTTTCTTTCTGTTGCCATTCTTGGTGGTAGGGCTTTCCGTGAGCCTTGCATAATGTGTACAACGTGCCGCCTTTCTCTGTTTAACTACATTGATTAGTTTATCAACCTAATTACTTTTGTAATTGCATAGTTTTCAAGTTTAATGGAGGATAATTAACGTTGAGGGCCCTTGGTTTTAAGAAAGATGCCTTTCAAAAAATAAAAGATTTGGGCATGGGGAGGGGCGGGCACCGCTGATATTTTTAACATAATTTTTTACATAAAAAAATAAAAAAAAATTTCCCCCGTCATTCGATGAACGTTGAAACGAGTTGCCTTGATGTCCATTGTCGTGCAGATGCTTGTGCGTGGACGACAAGGAAAGGTGGAGCACGCAGCAGCTGCTGGAGCATCCCTTCATCAAGTCGCCCGTCTCGTGCTCGCCATCCACGAGGCCACACAGTCCCGATGGTGAGTGTCTGTGTACGTGTATATGTGTACGTGTGTGTGTGTACGCGTGTGTGTCTGTGTGTGTGTGTCTGCGTGTGTCTGTACGTATGTTTGTGTGTACATGAGTGTGTGTGTACGTGTGTGTGTATGTATACGTGTGTGTCTGTATGTGTGTGTGTCTGTGTGTGTATGTCTGTGTGTATGTCTGTGTGTATGTGTACATGTGTGTGTGTGTCTGTACGTGTGTGTGTCTGTGTGTATGTGTACGTGTGTGTACGTGTGTCTGTACGTATGTCTGTGTGTCTGTGTGTGTCTGTGTGTGTCTGTGTGTATGTATGTACGTTGCACTTCTTTCGCACCGTACGTAGCCAACCGTGCTAAGCGGAGGTGCGGGGGAAGGATAGCAAAGACGGTGATGGCAGCATCCACGCACTCACGCACGCCCCAGAACTGTGTTCAGCGTTTCAGTAGATGAGAATTGTTTAGCCATCACAATGGATATACACAGACTTTGGACACATTGTGATGGTATTGTCACAGGTTGGTCCTGTTTGCTAATTTCAGGCACAATTGTCGGAAAACTTTACACGCCCTTACAGAATTGCGTGCGGTGTTCAGCTGCGTGATTGCATAGCAGCCTGATTACATTTGTGGCAAAGATCACCCTCGTTTAATAACGAATTTAACTTGGGTAACATGTAGCAATGGGGAAGTGACTTTTGACGAACATGTTGATCAGGATCCAGCCAGGATGCACTGTGGCGAGGATGTCAGACTCGCAGTCGGAAGGGCGTGCATTCTCGTCGGATCGATTCAGCAACAACAACAACACGGGACAGCTGGAAAATAGACTGGAGGGGAAAACTGATTTTCTCTGTCTTGTACAACAAGCGTCTGGCCCGTGGAGCGAAGCTGCTTATGTTTTGTTCTGCGGTGTTCACGGCGGCCGCAGATGACCTGAACTATGCGGAGGCCCTCATCCCGTCTCGTGATATCCTGGGCATGTGCTCCCACCTCGACTCGCAGCGCCAGCTCTCCCGCTACTACACCGAGTTCGAGGAGCTCGCCCTCCTCGGCAAGGGGGCCTTCGGGGCCGTCATCAAGGCATGCAAGAATTCATTCATTCATTACAAAACTTTAGCCTGTGATCAAATTACTCTGAATGAGTTTGCTCTTATGGATCCCAGATGCCAAGCAGGGCTGAGCTTCGTTGACACTTGGATGGGAGCGTGTCTGAGAACACCAGGTGTTGTGTTCTTGTATTTATGTGTGTGGAGCTGTGGGTGTTACCCCTTTGTATGAGTGGGGTGCTTTGATTTCCCTACCACGTAAAGCCAAACGTTCATGGTCGTGCTGTATAGCTGTATAGTTGTTATCATTACCATAGCGGTTTGCTCTCTGTGCAGGTGAAGAACAAGCTGGACGGCTGCTACTATGCCCTCAAGCGCATCGCCGTGAACCCCACCAGCCGGCAGTTCCGCCGCATCAAGGGCGAGGTGACCCTGCTTTCCCGCCTCAACCACGAGAACATCGTCCGCTACTACAACGCCTGGATCGAGCGCTACGAGCTCTCGCCGTCAGAGTGCGCCGGGCTGAACAGCGGCACCGTCACCACCACCAGCAGCAGCAGTGACAATAACAACCATAACCCTGATGCAGCGGGGAAGGCGGAGGCTGCCAAAGAGACTCCCGACGTGGCTAACGTGCGGGGCAGAGGGCCGTCGATGCATCTGAGCCGCCTGTCGGGCATCGCGGGCCTGGACGATGTGGAGGCGAACGCGCCCCCTCCCGTGACGGCGTCGACGCGGACGGTGGCGTCGGGCTCGGTGGAGTGGAGCATGTCGTACGAGCACTCGATGAGCGCACGCTGCGGCCCCTCCACGACCGGAGACAGCTCCAGCGACTCGAGCGACGAGGACGACGAGGACGACGCCGTCTTCGGACGGTCCTTTGTGTGAGTGCTTGATACGTGGTTGGAGGGGGGGTGGGGGGGGATTCCTTGGCTGGAGCAGATGTTTTTATTCCCCGATTGCTGTTGAGCAGCTGTTCTATAATTGGCCAGGGAATTATAGCACACATTTGTTCGGTTTAAGCACGTGACTTGTTGTAAACATTTCCAAGAGTAACAATGTATAGCCGTTTTTAGATTATGAATTTGGGCTTTAAGGGAAAATCCATGAGTTATTAATAGCTGTCAAAATCTCAGGTGCGTGGTTAATTATATTTTAATGGTTGTGTGATTTCCTGCGACTGTGCCACCACTGATATTAGCTTTCTAAGTTTCATACATTACCATTGAGTCTTAGAATCCTAAAACGGCCTCTGCCTTGCTCTGTGAGCCTTTAGGGCATGAACAATCTATCATAACAAGTGTATAAAGGTAGCTTAATCTGATTCACTGTAAACTATTGAATCAGTTGATGTGTGTTTATGGATATGAGCAGTGACAATGACTACTCATGATGTAACGACCATATCTGTATTTCTGGCAAAAGACGCAACGTGGCAAAGCATTGGAGGGAATAACCACATGCAATGCATTTATTCGCTAAAGTACAGACCCACTCCATAGCTGAAAGCGGCAGAAGGTCCTTGGCTGTAGATTTGATCTGGTGAAGGAAACGATAATGAACGATGCGCACTGGAAGTTGTCCTGCATTGGGATGTTTGGCCGATCCATGTTGGGCAGTGTTAGGGATGATGCTCAAAGATGCACGCGGTTTTGTACACAAACCCATTGACTGTGCCTTCATTTACTGTCCAACATGCAGCCCATGGGTTTAATAATTTCATAACTCTTCTGTGTTCCCCAACAATTGCCCCCAAAGCGATTGCTGGATCAGCGCCATATGCCAGCAAACCCAGTACATGTGCATTGGTCACTGAATTACTATCAGGACTCTATAAACACGCATTGATTGAAATTTTTACAATTTGTTGTTTGATTCGAAAACTCCACCAGCTTAAAGTTGGACCTAAAAGAAAATAAACACCCCATTTGAGGTATTGACAAAATTTCTGCGAAAGCGAGACTTTCGCTTGCTCCCTGGTCTCGTTTAACAACTGTTCACGAGTTCAACAATGCCACCCGGCACAACCACTTTTAGTGCTCTCCCGTTAACAAAACACCTTTTTGTTGGCGAAGCAGTATTTTTGTCCGCCCACTTACATCGCAGTTGTTTTGTTTGCTCAAGTGATGTGATCTTTTCTCGGGGTGTGTGATGGGCGTTGTGCTGTCCGTTGTTGCTGCAGACCTTCAGGCAGTGATTCTGACTGCGACGTCGTGTTTGAGAACTCGGGTGAAAAAAACCAGGTGAGAGTGATGCTTCAGCTCGGCATTGAACACATATCGACTGGCAGATGTGCTTAGTCTTTATTTTTTTATTTGACGGATACATTGCCCTGCCACCTTTGTCTCCCCAGGAATTTCTTTCACACATTTTCCTCTCCTCCTCAGAGAGCAGTGGGGTATGTTGTGATTGCTGTGGACAAGATAAAAGAGCACCTTAATTATGTATTCTCAAGTTTGTGTGTGTGTGTGTGCGTGCGTTTATGGAATGACTACAAAGACATTTTGGCCTTTGCTTTCAGGGTGTTTATGCATAGATATTTTGTCCATAACATCAATGAAATAACATTCGAATGGAGTAAGCCGGGTTATGGCTGCGTATGGTGCAATTTAAGTTGTAAACTGCGATTGGTGTTTGAAACGTGGAATTGCTCTCTCCAATAACCCTTGACCAGGCTGACTATTCACTCATTGTCCTCCTACGCAATTAACCGTAGCGTGTTCCGTCTCATTCTATAACACCCGTGCTCTTCACTGTTGGTTACGGTTCTGTGTGCTAGCGCTTGCACTATCCTGCAGAGTTTGGTGCATGCAGCGCACCGAGTGTGTGGTTTGAAGTTTGTTGGATTAAAAAATTAACAGTTTGCACACACGTGCAGTGTTCTTTTTATTATTCTGAAAAGCGCGCACGCTCACGTGGTGGGCGCTGCAGTTGTGGACGGCTTGCTCTTAACAATGATGGATGTTCGGCGCCGTCAAATAACCCAAGAAAAATGTGACTTGAAATAAAGCCACCGAGATATGCAATTACGTGCCTTTGAGCGAGATTGGCGATCCGGTACACTTTCATAAATGTTGTTCCCAGGAGTCTCATGAGAGTTCACTGTCTGATAAAGAGTTGAGCACAAACCGAGCGCCGGTCTGCCAGCCCACACCAACAGTGGTCCACCATCTCTTCATACAGGTTTGTGGGCTGTTTCATTCAATCTCTATTGATACACTCCACTTAAATTCGCGACGTTATATATTCTTAGCTTTGTAGCGTTAATGTTAAAATCATTCCCAATGCTTTCATTCGTGACCGACTTGTGTACATCACAATGCTGGGATTTTAAGCAAGCGTTGATATATTTCACAGATGGTGAAGTATTCAGATTTTTATTTTTATTTAAGCCTCATTTGCAAGTGTAACCGGAATAAAGATTACTCTCATGGGAAATGCACATATCACAGATTGTCATGTGCAGGAGTGACACTTTTGACATGAAGGCTAATACAGATGAATCAAACTTCCTTGTTGACTGATTTACTTTCTTAAATGCATAATTTAGACCACCCACATGAATGAAGATGACAATCTGCAAGATTAGTGTATTTGACGTTTTCGTCGCTGCTTTGAAATGCCGTGTAGCGAGTATTGACTTGAATCTGTGCAAGGTGTTATCGCGGAGTGACGTTTAGTAAGTGTGTGCCTCTGCCGGCAGATGGAATACTGCGAGAGGAGCACTCTACGCGACACCATAGACAAGGGCCTGCACATGGAGACGGATCGCATGTGGCGTCTTTTCCGTGAAATCCTGGACGGGCTGGCTTACATTCATGAGCAGGTGCTGGCAACTACTGATAGCCTTCGATATGACCGTCGTCGTTATCGTCGTCGTCGTTATCATCGTCATCGCTACAATCATTATCACTATTGCCTCCACGGTGACCATTACCATCAATAAAATCATGACCGTCATTACCTTTGTCATAATCACTCACCACCATCATCGTTGTCACCGTCATGACCATCTTTTAAATCACAATTACCACTGCCATGCCAGCTTTCTGAAAAGGGATCCACAGAACTTAGCACGGAGATATGTAAAATAAAAAAAATATTTCTATATTGATGAACAGCGCTTGCTGCCGTGAGTCTGTAAGATTAAATGGGGGGGGGCATTTTTGTCTTTGCAGGGCATGATCCACAGAGACCTCAAGCCAGTAAATATCTTCCTGGATTCTTCAGACAGCGTGAAGATTGGAGACTTTGGTTTGGCTACAGATCACCGGCTCGTTGCAACCGTGAGTCGCATATTCGCTCACCTCTCATGTTAGGGGGTTATTCATTTCACAGCATTGTGTGATAAAAGTGAATTCTAAATACAATCTTGATGGTTTTTGTGTGTTTTTTTTTAGGAATCAAGCAAGATAGATGTTTCAACTACAAATATAGAACTTCCCACGGAGAATATGGATGTAACAGGTAATCCATTGAAAACCAATATTTGCACAATGTTGAGATTGCTTTCGTGTATAACACAGGCAATTCCGCACCTCCAATTGGCGCGGTTGGCTACGTACAGTACAAAAGAAGTTCAATATACATACGTACAATTGTAATCGTTTAATGTTGTGCACCTCTGATGATCGGCACGCAACTTGCGTGCGAGTTGTACAGGTGGGCTCACGGGGCAGATTGGCACGGCACTTTACGTGAGTCCGGAGGTTTTGGGGAACATCAAAGCGGTCTACAATCAGGTGAGGAGGGATCTTCTCCCATGTGACACTGGGACCAAGGGCAGGCAGCAGCATTTGAACTAAGAATCGACTCCGATGAGTCAAAAATAAATCTCGATGAAATCTCATCGTCCTGCGCTTGTGCTGTTGAGACAGAACTGCAAATAACTTCGTGGGTAGTCGGGGGTAGCTGCTTCGTGGTGAGGCTGGTTCACAAACCATTGGTACCATCAGCCGTAATGGAGGGATGTATTTGTGTTGAACTTCTTTCGCACCGTACGGAGCCAACAGCGCTATTCGGAGGTGCGGGGGAAGGACAACAAACTAAACACAAAAAGCAGTTCGAAAGGAAATGAGTTTTCAGTTTACTAGATGAAGATATTTAGAAGAAAAAAAGCCTTAAATAAATGTAACAGCTCCACTGAGGTTGCATGGCTGAAGTACCGAAATGGGAGACACGCTTTTGTAGTTATTCAAAGCGGCATTACCAGATTTTTTTAGGAAAATTATATTAGACAAACAAAGGTATACATGTAAACAATTCTATCCATAGGAATGTGGAATTTCCACGACTGTTTGATTACCACTAATGGAGATGATAATTTTAGTATTGTCCCACTTTCAATTTTTTGTGTGTTTAAAATGGCAAATTGTAAGGTTTTGAGGTGTCTGTGTTTGTGTCTGATATTTGTAGAATTATTAAGTGTGCTATTACTACATTGTTATGTAATTAATGCATCCTGTGGTACAATGCTGCATTGCTTTAAGCCTTTAAATATATAATCACACTGGGTCTAGAATCGGGCAATGTAAATAAGCAATCGCATGTATGAGCACATTTTTGAAGAGAAAAGTTTAAAAGTGGTGGATGTAATTTCAATAAAATAAATCTTCTGCCACATTTTCTCGCAAGACAGCCATTCAGGATTGCTTGTGGGATCTCTCTCCTGCTGCCCTCAGTCTCTTAGGGCGCCATGGTGGTGAGATGTTAGCTACCTTGCCTGGTATGCAAGAGTTTGTGGGTTCAATCCCAACACTAACACCTGTATATTTTGAGTTTGCATGTTCCACCCCTGGTCGCGTGGATTTTTCTCTGGGTCCTCCGGTTTTTCCCTGCACATTTAGAAACGTGTGTTTCGAGTATATGGCTGATATAAATTTCCACGTGACAAGCCGCTTCGTTGAGCTATCATTTGTGGTTAGAACGGTTTTGAAAAAAAAAAGCCGTTATAGCTCAGTGGACCTTACCTGCTAAAATTTAAACTAGTTTAGTTGTTTAGGCAAACAGGTGCTTCAATGTGTTGCTTTAGTTTGACTTTTGCAGCATTTGACATTTACTCTTTATCGTAAGATCCCTCAACATGGTCTGGTGTGATTGAAGGCAACCCCCACACATGTTATAAACACCGGTGAGAAGTTATTTATTTTCTTTGCTTACTTTACTAATTCGTATGGTTATTTTGTATCATTAGTATTCACGTGTCTTGGTAGAGTACCATGACGTGCAGTGACTTTCTCCTCGACATGTGAGATACCGTCATGGTGCAATTGGAAGATTCTCATCTTTATTCCTCTTGTGTAAAAGAGGAATTATTCATTCACAATTTATTAAACTCACATGTGCCAGCAGATTTGAATGGCTACGTCACAACTACAGGCTTAATGTAAACCTTATATATTTTTTTATTATGTATAGACTAAGAAGATCGGGATGCAGATGTGTGATGATCCCGCTGAATGCATACTTGTTTACCCATACAGTTTACCCGTACTCTTGTACAGCGAAATTCAGTTTTCAGGTCCATACGGTGTACAGCCATTTCAATACGGGCAAAAACACATTTGCTTTTGTCTTTGTGGTTCTCCCTTGTGATGGGACTTTGTAGGATGAACGTTGAGATTTATAAGGGCACGGGGTGACCAATAAGGTCTGAATTGGTCTGTCATAAGGTAGGCACTTATAAGGGGTTAACAGGTATGTGAATGTATAGTCTTTAGTTATTTCGATAAAGTCACGTAGATAGAAAAATAATGATAAAAAATAAAGTGAATAAAAAAATCAAAAACCACTAATGTAGACTCTAGCCTGGTTCTTAACCTCGGTGAGCGTACTGGCAGTCTATAATGTAGACTTATTATTGGTTCTTTCAGTAATTAAAATGTAAAAAACTAAACCGGCAGTAGGTCTACAATCAAAGGGCCGCCAGGCAATCATTGCACCTCGCTCTACACACCCACACTGCTGACGGTGGAGGTTGACAAGAAAACACAAATCAAGTCATGACCCAAAGTGGTTGATGACATCTTTCCAATGATTGCTGAGTTTATAACCATCCTCTCGGTTGAAATTGTTGCAGTCACGAAAGTTTTAAGTCAAAATTTAAGTGAATGTATAACTGTATTGGGAAAAGTCATGAAAAATGTGTTAAACTGACTTATATTTTTCTCAATTTTAGCTATGCAAAAATGCAGAAATAGAAGACTAAAAGCACTTATTCATTCATTACTTGGCTGGTAATATGTTCATATATAGACAACTGTAGAACTTGGGGGGAATTTGGCACAAGGTCAGCGTCCGGCTGCCATTCCTGCTGATCTGTGGTTCCCCATGCATCGGAGTCATTCTTGCTTCAAGAGTGAGTGAACACTGTGCGTGTTAAAAGTTGAAATTATCACAAACAATTCCTCCTTAACTAACACAAGCATACATAGCAAGTGGACACTTTAGGTAGGCAGTGGTTCTTTAGAGCATAGGAACTGCGCACTTTATGCATCGTGCTAACACAGTCCTTGAAACTTTATTTGCAGAAAGTAGATCTGTACAGCCTGGGCATCATCTTCTTTGAGATGACCTACCATCCAATGACGACGGGATCAGAGAGGGTGGCTGTTCTGCAGAAGCTACGCCTGGTAAGGAATTTCAAGCTGTCCACAATGTCCTATTAGCGTCGTCATATGTATAAGTAAGATATACTCGAATACAGTAGTCCCTCGGTTAACAGTGACATCGGTTAGCGTTTTTTTTCTTTCTGTTAACGTTTCGCCTCCCATAGGGACCCCCCAGGGTTTGGACTAACAGTGGAAACAGCTCTCTTGTAGACTCATGTAATTCCTATATTCGATTAAATAGTTATTTTGGTTAACAGTAGTTTTCGTGGAATGGATTAAAAAACGTTAACCGAGGGACTATTCTACACATATATATCTCAATGAGCATAAAATCTATAGATCTAAATCAGCTCAAAACTCCAGAAAATGTGTGGCCACCCCAACACTGAATCCCCTCCCACCTATTTTCCTACCCCCTTGGAAAACAGCCGCTGCTCCGTGCAGCTCACTTCTTACTCCTCCTCTCCCTCTCTTCCCCTCTCGTCGCTGACATCTTGGCCCAGTCACTCCTCCTCTCATCCGTGACTGATGCTCCTTTCTTCCTCGTGCTCATCTGGAGCCATGCCCTCTTTGTCCGCCTTGAGGATTTACATCCCAGCATCCTTTCCTTTTATTTTTCAATACATTACATCGTTGTCTCTACTCCCCTTCCCCCGATGTGTCACGGATAAAACTTTTATAATTGTAAAATCTCTTTACAACAAATTATGATGGCTTGTTCATACGTGTCACACTAATAAGAGCATTCACTTTTAGCCGTTACTTGTCCATAGGGTCGGTGTGTCGCCATCATTGGCATGACAAGAGATGATCCTACGCCACGTTCTGTGTTAGTCTTTTAACAAACATGGGTAACCCATGGGGTGAGAGGACATTATTGACACCCAGTACAACGCAATCAATATATCGGTTGACGTAAGCTAGGACAAATACTACCTTTTGTTACATTTTAAAATGCGTACATTTTTTGTTGTTTTCATGTAGCCGACCATACAGTTCCCTGAAGATTTTCATCCGCAAACACTAAAGCAGCAGGTGAGTGCTCATGTGCTTCTGTGGACAGATGAGAAGTGACGCGAATGTCACAGCGACTCCAGTTAAACACTCACAGTGGCAAGTGTCGTGTTCTCAGTTGCGTGTCTCAATGCAGCTTCCTGGAAAATTAAATGTATCTTGTTACGTATGGCACAAGTGGCTTAAGCGTGTGCGGTCGTGTGTGATTGTGTGTGTCTGTGTGTGGTTGTGTGTGTCTGTGTGTGTCTGTGTGTGTGTCTGTGTGTGGTTGTGTGTGTGGTTGTGTGTGGTTGTGTGTGGTTGTGTGTTGTTGTGTGTGTCTGTGTGTGTTGTTGTGTGTGTGTGTGTTGTTGTGTGTGTCTGTGTGTGTCTGTGTGTTGTGTGTGGTGTGTGTGTCTGTGTGTGGCTGTGTGTCTGTGTGTGTCTGTGTATGTGGTGTGTGTGTATGTGTTGGTTGTGTGTGTCTGTGTGTGTGTGGTGGTGGGTGTGTGTGTGGTGTGTGTGTGTGTGTGTGTGTGTGTGGTCTGTGTGTGTCTGTGTGTGTGTGTGTGTGTGTGTGTGTGTGTGTGTCTGGTGTGTGTTGTGTGTGTGTCTGTGTGTGTGGTTGTGTGTGTCTGTGTGTGGTTGTGTGTGTGTGTGGTTGTGTGTGTCTTTGTGGTCTGTGTGTGTCTTTGTGTGGTCTGTGTGTGTTGTGTGTGTGGTTGTGTGTGGTTTTGTGTGTCTGGTGTGTTGTGTGGTGTGTGTGTGGTTGTGTGGTCTGTGGTGTCTGTGTGTGTGTCTGTGTGTGTGTCTGTGTGTGTGGTTGTGTGTGGTTGTGTGTGTCTGTGTGTGGTTGTGTGTGTCTGTGTGTGTGGTTGTGTGTGGTTGTGGTTTTGACACAAACTTTGGTCCCATTCTCATTGGATGGAAAACGAGAACGTAGAATCTCTTTGTGAGATTTCTATTTGCCGTCCTTTAGCACACTCAAGATCCCCCGTGCACTTTTCACGGAATGGATTATTTTTGTCGGTGTTGGAGCCAAATGCACATGAGCATTTAGTGCAGAAGCGTCCTTTTACAGCCTCAGTAACGATAATATAATTATTTAACCTCCTCGAGGGCACTCTGATTTTGGTTCTGCATTGGGATGATTGGGCAATTGTGCAATGGGAGTTTGCGTAATAGCACTTAACTTTCTTTATTGGGAGGGAACTTGAAATCACCTGAAACTAAAATGGAGTACATGGTGATAAATTACTCAGGGAGTGTATAACATTTGCACGTAGCATTTGAGATAATTTAAACAGTTTTATTACAATTTTAGCCCATCTTACCAGGTTTTTTTTCCTTTATAAATGAAAAAATCGCAGAGGTTTGAATGATTATTCGAGCACTTTTGGGCCTCATAATAAAAAGTGCTGCACTGTATTTAAAATAAATAATATTGACGATAGAAAAAATGCTGTAAAAGGTGCCCTTATAAGATTCTTAAACAAACGTTCCTCTTCTGTATTATCCTGACGTGCATGTACCCCTCTTTACATTGCGTCTTGGTGGGGTCATTTATAGATGTTTTATTAATCCCAAAAATATAGGAACAGACTATATTTTTCCAAGTTTTATCTGGCTGGCTGGCACGTGGGTGGGCAAGTGCGCAGTGGTGATCACGTCACCCGCATCCAAGTTCATGCATCGTGCTGGCATCACGCCTCCCACTATCCACCCGGGCCGTGGATCCCGCGCATACGCGTGCGCAGTACCCGTACTGAAATGACTTGGGACGAGGTCAGCGACATAAGCTTCTGCGTCCGTTCGTCTGGCACAGGCTGATACACTGCTAGCTGCAAGAGTTCTGAATAGGAATTCCTTCACCCTCATGGCATGATGTCGACAGCACAATTGGAATAGAAATGGGGGGGGGGGGGGGGAAGTATGAAAGAAAATCCTTATTTAACACATGTTACTGGGATTTTCCTTTGACCAAATCAGCCGGAATGCATCTGAGCTCAGTCACGAAAGATACCTGGATGGTGCTCAGGTGTGCGACCACCGTGCTTGACGCGGGTGTAATGGATTGCTGCGGGGCTGCATTGTCGGCAGAGTTCAACGCAGCAAACTCCGTTGTTGTACTGCACTATGCTCTCAGCATCTTGTCACGTTAAATACCATCCCCACATGGGGAGGCCCTCATTCAGCAGCGGATTAACAAAACAAGACTGTCCGTTGACGCGTGTTCGATAACGACATTCCCGCGGGGGGCGGCAGGCGTTCATCATCCGCTGGCTGCTGAACCACGACGCGGGCCAGCGCCCCACGGCGCAGGAGCTGCTCAAGAGCGAGCAGCTCCCCCCGCCACAGCTCGAGGAGTCGGAGCTGCACGAGGTGCTCCGGCACACGCTCGCGAACCCTGACGGCAAGGCCTACCGCTCGCTCGTCGGGGAGCTTTTCTCCCAGCGCGTGGCGCTACCGGCGGACTTCACCTACGACATCGACGTGCACAAGGTGCTGGTTAGCGCGGTTGGTTGGTTACGTACGGTGCGAAAGAAGTTCAACGTACATACGTACGTGTGCCGCTGCACGTGTTGTTGTTGGATGGATCGGCGGTGCAGCGGTTGACGCATTGGTATGTGAACCTGGCGGACTTGAGTTTGGTTCCTAGCGATGACGAGCCGTAACCTGATTCTGTTCCTGCCTTCAAACCCTTCTCTTCTCCCTAGCCAATCTGCGGCTCCGGAGCCAAATTCCGCTCGTTTAGGACTGCTTCGTGACGTTTATTAAGGGCCCCTGTCTCATATTCACGTGCATTGCGGCTCTTTAAATATTTTCCCGAATTCAAAACAAAATGTTTCTGGTTATATTGTTTGCCGACCCCTGGTCTGGCCTCTCCTACTGCTACTCTCTACCTCTGCCCTACAGCTACAACCAGCAAACCCCCCTATCATCCATATCACTACCCCTATCACTACCCCGACTGCTACTGAAAAACAAGAATTGAATATTAAACTGTATTTTAGTTGCAGGTGTGGTGATTGCTTCATATTTGAGTGAACAATATTTCGCTTCACTTTCATTTAGTGTTTCTATAATTATGAAATATTACGATGGATTGGTTTGTCCACCCTATCATTACAATATTTTCGTCTTGTATTTTTGTCAGGGGAATTTTTCTGCCACTTCCAGCATGGTGCAAAGCTACGTTTACCAAACTGTCTGCAAAGTCTTTGAGAGGCACGGTAAGTTCACCGTACGTTTGATTTTTCCATTATATAATGTAAAAAAAGCAGACGTAAACTTTGCCGAGTGAGTTAATCTGCACAAAGTGGCACTGTTTACTGTGTGCGTAATATGTTGGGGATGGTTTCACATCGCATTGAATGCGAATGCATTGTTGAATGTTTATTCAGCTTTGTTTTCCAGAAAGTATATCTTCAAAACACAAACTTAACGTCAAATACTTGCTCACCTTTCGGAAATGAACAAAGTCACCCGCCACTGCACTTGACTTCAATAGCATAGTGGCATGAAGCAAATGCTCCTCCAGTTGGTTACCTTCAGCAACAAAAATGTTTCACAGACTTTTATAAACCGGTCTTACTGGTCCTGCTATTTGGAACGTCAGCGCATCGATTTGGCATGGTTCAAATACACATTAACTCACTGCACCATGGTGTGCAGCCTTCTACAAATGCCCACGTGATGATCAGCCACTTCATTGAGCTATCATTTGTGGTCAGGTCGCTTCTGAAAAAGAGCTATTGAGGTCAGTGGGCGTTACCTGGTAAAACAATTATAAATATGTTTAATAATTCGTTCCTATTCAAATATATGTCTGATGATTGGCACACTCACTAGGTAACGACTTAATTTAGATGTGAACGGAGGTAAATGTTGGTGAATTCAAAAAGACGAAGCGTGTGACGGTCATTGAGGATTTGGGAAACCATTTTGTAGGTAATGGCATTCCCACTAACTGCAGAAAATTAATCAGAACTTCATTCTTATATCTGACAAATGCATGGTGCATGTATGTTCACTATCTATGGTGCAGAGTGCATGTACACGCACCATATGTTTCCTGAGGTTGAAAAATTACCTGCAGTTGCCTTAAAGAATGATTCACAAGTTTGATTTTATAGAAGTTTGTGGCAGGCAGCTGTCATCTCGGTGACTTGATGGTAAAATTGAATTGTTCCTTTCTGGCTGCAGGTGCGGTGAAGCTGCACATGCCACTGCTCATGCCCAAGAATCGGCACCTTTACGAGAACAACGAGGCAGCGACATTCATGGACCACAGCGGCTTCCTCGTGCTGCTTCCGCATGACCTGCGGGTACCTGTGCCCCATCCCGCGAGGGCGCGTGCGGCGCTTAGGACGTTGTCCAGCCACAACAACAGCGACAAACCAATACAGAAACGTTTAATGTTCTCCCGGTAATATCCGGAGATGTGTGTGTATGTTGAACTTGTTTCGCATCGTCCGTAGCTAAGTGTGATAAATCAGAGGTGCGGGGGAAGGACCGCAAACTAAACACACAAAAATGCCTGGTCATTGCTGGGTATACTCTTTGGTATGTGCCACGTGGTGGAATTCAATTCACATCACTATTTTTTGGAACTGACACAAAGAGTATGAATGAATATAACTGTTTAGAATTGATGGTATGCATTTGGTCATCGATGTGAATTACGATAATTTAATATTACGGCGGCTTTTATATGCCCGCCATGATAGCGCACACGTTTAATCCCGCGTTTTAGACGTATGGGTTGATTGATAATGCAAAATTGTGTAATTCCCAAACAGTACAAACAAAGGGGCTCATGAATAGATCTGTATGCAACTTTTCATTTCCCTTGTGTACGCACGGGTTTGCCCATGTACTTCAGTTGCTTCCCAAATACAAAACACCTCTTAAAGGGAATTGGCCAAACATCCAAATGCAGGTGTGTGCTGAAAAAGTTTTGAGAATCCGTAAGGCTTTCCTGATTAACCACAAACAACAACAAGTCTCTTTTACAAGGCAGTCCAAGGATGATAGGTGTTTGTTGTAATCCTACATGTGATTTAGAGTTTATTCTTGAAGATTAATAGGCATAAAGATGAATAGGTCTAATCGAGGTCTTAAATATTTACTTGGCACCTGGCACGAGTGGGTTTTAGTATTTATAGCTGGGCTGGTGAGTGCTCCACAGAGAAGCACTTAAGGGGAGAGAGGCTGTAGAGGCAATGTAGTTGAGCACAGAAATGGGAGAGAGTCCTCTTAATTTGCAGCAGAAAGGGACGTGTTACATCTGCAGTTTAATTTTACAAGACAGGCATGCACTTCTGAGCTTTTGAAAAGGTTTTGTGGAATTTTCTGGAGAAAAGCATTTTTCAACTTTTAATTTGTATTCATTTTTTTTAGGTTCCCTTTGCACGGTTTGTGGCAAGAAACAATGTCACCAACCTCAAAAGGTCAGCTCCAGGCCATTCAATGCATTTTCCTCCTCTTCATAACTAACAATACGGTGTTTATTTTCGATGATCGTGGAGTTATTTTCATTCCCAAGATCATAGTCAGACATGACATGAAGACATACAAATAGTACATCAAGGCGGAGTGGTGGCATAGTGAGCAGCGCAATCTGAACCTGGCCACCTGAGTGTGATTTATTGTCTCGCATCAGCCACGAATGATATCTGAACTAGTACGGAAGCCTCCCCTTCACCAGCCTGCAGTAACCGGTTTGGTGAAGTATAGTTAAACAGCCTCCGTGGCTGATATGGTTCAGGGAGGCCTTCTTTCACTTGCGAATTGACAAAGGACTGTAAACGATTATTCAAATTATATTCTTGGATCTTTTGGTAAAGTCACATAGAAGGGAAATAATAAAATAATGAAAATAAAACATTCAATTTTCACGACGTTTCGGCTATAACACAAGCAGCCGTCCTCAGGTGAAGAACAGAGCTGTCGGAAAGACAGCGCTCCAATGAAACACTGCTCAGCTTGGCAGCGTATTCGTATTATTTTTTTGTTCGTGTCGCAACCTTTTGTTTGCAAGTCGAATATACAATCAGATCACCACCTGACTGTTGCCAATCCAAATCCTGATTGTGATTGACTCAGCCCACCATCTACCCTAGTCAGTCTAGAAAATTTATATCAATGAGTGGAAAGTTAACACTGTTTGTCCTTTGTAGAGACTGGTCACTGCTAGAGTAATGTAACATTTATACCACTGTCACCAACAGAGATGAGCACTGCAAAAGGCTTAATTGAGCAGTGAAATGCACATTCAACTGTGGGCTTACCTGGGCATTGGGAGCTACCATGGTGTAATGGTCTGCACACTCGACTTGCAATCCGGAGGTCGCTGCTTCGATTCCATCTCGTGGCGCAGCAGTTGAAACAATGGTGCAAGTTTTTTCAACCCCCCCACCTCTGTATAAATGGATACATCACAGTCGATCGGCAGGTTGCGTGTGGTGAGATAGCATGTGGGGCACTCCCTTTTATCCCAAGATATCTCTCCAGCATTGAGGCCCTTCTGCCAACAGTAGCGTGAGCAGGCAGTTAACAAGGGCTGCACCATTAACTTTGTTAAAAAAAAATATATGCGTGTAATTTTGTATGAGGAGCGATAATGTTTCTCCCAATTCTCTGATTGCGCACCACCTCGGCAGGTACTGCGTGGAGCGTGTGTTCCGGCCCAGGAAGCTGCACCGCGCGCACCCACGCGAGCTCGTCGAGTGCGCGTTCGACATCGTCACGTCCGCCGGTGGCTGCCTCCCGGACGCCGAGATCATTTACACCACGTCCGAGATCATACAGGAGTTCCCGGCTCTGCAGGCAAGCGCACAACTTTAAAAGTGGCCATGGTCACCTCTGGAGAAGCACGATACACCAGGGCAAATTCAGGGCTATTGTTGGCGGAAATTGTCACCTGCAATACATTTTTCATGGGCAGTTGTGCTAACTCAGTATGGCGATGCAAGTGTGACCTGCGGATGATTTCTGTCTCGCCAATTAAAGCGGAGTTCATTGTAAAGTTGGGTTTCGTGAAAAATGATTGGCCTTCAGAGCGCACTCCCCCCGGGTAGTCACGTGACCTCTGTGATCTTATTGGAAGGAGCCATAGCAGTTGCCCACTACTAATGGGAGCAGCAACCAGATTCGTGTATTACAATAAAACATTGTGCAGTTCCCAGAAGGTGCCAGGTGGCGTCTCGCTCATTTCTGAAAAGGGGCCTTCTACTGGTGGGCTACACAGAGGCGCCCCCACTCTATATTCATAGCAGCCCTCCATCCCTCTGCTGGTCACGATCCTTCAACAAGGACCTCCTAAATGTACTCTGATCCTGGGAGCCCTCCCTGCCTTAATCCATTACTGTGCACACCAATGTCGCGTGTTACACGCTGAGAGCTCTTTTGCAATTATTCATCGTACAGAATGTACTGTGCTTGTATTTAAAGCAAGCCTAAAACAAAAGTTACATTAATACAGAATTTTTTTGTTCATTCTTAATAAGTAAGCCGCAGAAAAAAAAAGCGAAATGGTCTTTTTTTTAAAAGAAGCGCCGAGCAAATTTCATTTATTTTAAACGGTTTAAATAATTTATTTTGGATTAAAATGTAACAGATGACATTGCAGCACGCGGGCATGGGAGTAATTTCATTCGTGTATTAATTCCTGACATTTGCTGTATTATAAAAAAAATACTAAAGGCAGTTTTAAATTACTTTAGATGGATTAGTTTTTTTTGCAGTTTTTTATCAAATTGCCCTGCATTTATTGTCGGTCTGCATCATGGCAGTGTTGATGGTTTTTAAACAACCAATAAAAAGTTTCTGCTCAAGTGAGTATGGAATAGGGCTCAATTTCCGTTTAAATCTCTAAGCAAATTCAACATTCCTCTGATAGGGGTAAGTTTCTGATTGTTCCCAAATCAGGAATCGACCTTTACACCTTTTGATTACCAGCTGTGTCCTCGAACTACTGTGCCAGTGAGTGTGCGAATCCGATATGAAAGCAGGCTAGAGTATTATACGCCACACAAGCATGGTGTGCATTGCCTCTCGCAGCTGATGACTACGTGGGTGTGCTGGGTGTGTGGTTACAGGATCGCAACTACTGCGTGCATCTGAACCACACAGCCCTCATAAAGGCCATCCTTATCCACTGCGGCATTCCAGAAGACAAGCACCACCAGGTTTACGGCATTCTCTGTGACACCATGGTAAGGCAATACGTAAATACGTAAATAAAAGGGCCTAGTTTTGTATGCATAACCTTGTACCACATGTCTATGATGAATAAATGTGCATGTAACAGCCATTTGTGTCAATTCACTTCTGGATGAGGGCCTCCCTACGCCATGTGGCTTGTGGGCTGTCCCACCACGTTTCTCCATGCTGGCTCGTGCCGCTTGGAGGAAATGAGAGAATATGACAATACAACAATGAATGTTTCTGTACTGCCTTCTGTTGCCCACAATGTATCATCAGTCCTGGTTTAAAACTGTGGCAAAGTAGAGGTCATGTTTGGTCCAGAAAGATGCAAAGCAAACCTAAAATGGATTGTATCTTTGAGATGAATGCACAGGCAGTGTGTGTGCCTTGGCCTCAAATGAGAGGAGACTACAATCACAGTACAAAGTACTCCAGTCCTGTCACAGCAATGATGTTTCATGAAACGGTTTGGAGATGTTTACATAGTAAGAACTTTCTATCATTGCCTTATTAAATTCACTTAGATGTTTATAAAGTCAAAGTGAATAATACTACGTGCAGCATCCTTGTTATTGCTCCTGATATCAGTTGTTAAATACGTTTAATTACCACGGAGCCGTCGTATGTTGTTTTATGGAAATACCATCCCTTTAATTGGACTTTTCCAACAGAGAGAGCGCAATGCTGGAGTGAGTCGGAGTATAGTGATGGAGTACAATCTGAAAAGGAGTATAGTTTTGGAGTACAATCTGAAAGGTTGGATAATGAAAATGTGATATTGGCTGCACAGGGACTGCTTTATATTGGCTTAAACAAATGTATCTTAGGAAACGAAATAAGATCTCTCTTTGAAAAAAAGACTGCGGCTCCTGTCAACAATTTGTAACGAGGGTGTGTGCTTGACAAACAAAAGTCACGGAACAAACAAGGAATGGAGAATGGTTTAAGCCAAATGTGTGTTATCTCTGGGTGTCCTTTGTGTAAAAGCCTAAATATTTATCGTAACTGGTTTCCACTTTGACTTTGAACTTTTTTGTGGTTTTAAAGAAGCCGCTTCCATGAGTCTTATATATGTTTGTGCATATATGTCAGCCCATTTGGTTTTTTAAACGCAAAACAACTTAATAAGTTTCGGTTTTACGTTTAGTTCTGAAAATTGCAAAATATTTTTTTTAGTTTTTTTATGCGAGGAACATCTCAGTTGCAGGACATGCGAATATGAGAAGCTAAAGATGTAGCACCCCCGAGTGGACGTTAAAAGGCTCTCACACCAGGAGTTCTGATATCCACCAGAATAATACGTTCTCTACCATGGTGTTATGCATTGCTTTGTGCGAGGGTTCAAACATTTTACATGTCCTTTGTCCCGTGGCATGACACTAATATGCACAAATGGAATATATAATAAGAATATGTTTTTCAGAGTTAATTTTCATGCGTTTTTACACAAACGTATGCAGTGTTGATCTAAAGGTGAGTCCTTAATTTGACTTGTGGTTGGATTATTTTTGTTTGCAGAATGAGAAACGAACAAAGCAGCAGATAATGGCAAGTCTGTGTAGCCTGGGCCTGCATCCCGACACCGTGAGTCACACTCGGCCATTACAAGTTCACGCACGCGGATTTTAATGATGCTGTCCTATGACATTTAATTCTCCCATAATTCGTGTGATGTGACTGCTAGGTACCACAGCTGTATGTTCCAGCAACCTGAACGGAAATGCCAAGACTGTACTTAATTTGTGCTTGTGTTGTTTTTAATGAAGACTAAATCAATCTGTAGCCCTATTCGTGTCTCCTCTCCCACGCTTCCCCACTCAACGGCACAGCTGTACACTGCATCCTGAATCTATGATGCAGAATGAAATTAAGGATTTAGCGGTAACTAAGAATGGGGTTATAAATCCAGTTTAATTTCTGTAGCCAAATAATCCAGAATGCACCCATCAGATCTCATGCGTTAAGCAGCGTTGGACCTTGATTGTGCTTAGATGGATGACCTCCTGGGTACCAGGTGTCGTAGCATATGGCCCTACATGGTGGATGGCAGAGGGCAGTCCAACAAAATGTATTCTTGTACCACACTTCCATACTCCTTCGTCAATGCTCCTCACCTTTACCAACCCACACTGACTGACGTGGCAAAGTATGGGCCATAACCCTACGACCCATACGGTAGTGGGAGGCTGTCATCCATTTCTTGCAAAGGGCTGGATATGGACTTGTACACACAGTACAATGCTGCTTTTAAAATTGTAATGTACACTTAATTTTTTGTTCATGTGACTACAATCCTTTGCGGTCATGTATCGACACTTGCGATGTATTGATATGTCTGTATGTGTGATGTCTGGGAAAACAGAAGTGTCGTGTTGGAAAGCCATTCTTTAGGATTCCATAACTCCTATTTGGTTTCCAGCAATGCATATCATGGGAAATAGGTAGTTACACTTGTAATGGGTCTCTCCTAAGTTGACTTGACCTGAAACACATGTTTGGCCCAGTACGTGAGGCTCAACACTGGGAATAAAAAAATGAAGACAGTATTGTGCTGGCTAAAACTATCCCCTCGTATACCTTGCAACTTTAATAGGTGCTCACTAATACCCTTTGCGACAACGGCATTTACTCCCAGGTCACCTTTTAAAAAGATAGCAGTGTTTCTCAACTCCATTCTTGGTACCTCCGATTTAGAACGGTTGGCTACTTACCGTGCTGAAAAAGTAGTTCAAGATACTTGGTAATTCCCCCCCCCACCAATCTTTATATTCATATGCAAATTAGTCCACTGCAAGCACCTGATGGTGGGATGGTGGGTAATCACGGAAAGCTGTAGTTGCGGTGTGGGGCATTGCGAGGGCTGCAGTTGAGAAACGCACTGGTCTTTGTGACGAAAAGGGAAATCATTGTCTCTCCGCCTGTCAACTCCTGGCGATAACACGAGCTCTAGCCAATGAGCACAGAAGTCAGGGTGATTGGTCCAGTCCGCCCACTCCTCTCACAGGTCACGCTGCTGTTCCACTTTGTGGAGCGGCGCGGGAATACGATGGACGTCTTGGCGGCACTCAGGCCGCTCGCGGGCAAACACTCCAAGACGGTGGGGCTGGTCAAGCAGGGGCTGAGCTACCTGGAGGAGGTCATGAAGCACCTGGAGTACATGTGCATTCGGCATCAGGTGAGCTGGGTTTGAAGTGCATTCAGACGATGAATGTTCCTTAAAGACAACGATTTGCCCTCCTAGAAATTGTAATGATTTTTCACCCTTCATCGTCGTAATATTTCACTCAAGAATCGATTGATTTTTTTTAATTTGTGGTGCATGTGGAAATTATATTTACTGCAGTGGCCTTGAAAGACTAATCTCCCTTGCCAAAGACCTCTGCCTCTGTCCCAGGACAATCTAGTTTCCAACAAGGCCATTCTATAGAAACTGCTATCCCAAGTGTGGTATATGGCCTTGTCTCTTCAGACCATGGATTACAATGAGTCCATCACATTGAGTCAGGGACTAGCTGTGACTGACTTTACTTCATTAGTATTATATTGGTGTAGTCATTGGTAACTTTGCTTTTGACACCTTATGACTGCCAAATTTCAATTCAACAGTGGTGTATCAATGTTTTTACATGGACATTGGCCCTCAAAGCAACCCAACCCTGAAAATATTTAAATGAAAAAAAGTACTGAAACATGTCATTGTCACATGGTGGGGCCATGCGGTGTGGGTTCGATGTGACTGCGGCGCAGGTTGTGATAAGCCTCGGACTCGTCTACAAAGTGCAGCTTCACAGCGGACTCATCTTTCAATTCACCAGCTTCATCCGCCGCAAAAACAAAACCGTGCTGGACATCCTGGCCGCTGGGGGGCGCTACGATAACCTGGTGAGGACAGCCAGAAGCTTTGGGTCTCCGCTTAGTTTATTATCAAGTCATGAACACGGATATTGAACTCATGCCGCCAGCATTCAACAACTGTGCCACCACGCGCGACAAAATGTTTTTCTTTGCAAAATTTAAATGATGGGTTTTATTTTATTACAAATTCTCATTTATATATCGTTTGAACAGCTTTTTAAAAAGGCAATAGGCATGCTTCCATGAGAAACAAAGATGATTCACCTGTGGAGGAACCCATCGGCATGTGGTAGTCGGTTGTGGATTGCCATTTCTACTGAGCGTTATATGCAAGGAGACAATAACTGAGCCATGGGGCCCCTGAAAGTTATACAAGTATACAAACTGGTAATCGTGCCATAAACGTATTAACCTGCTATCTTACTGCAACTGAACTTCTTGGAGGTACCCTTTTGCATCCTAACATGCAGTCTCGCTGCACGTCACCAGCAGTGAGTATTCCCCAGTGTTTGTTCAAGTCACTGTATTTTCTTTTTATTTGGTGAAATTGTGAACAACAGCCATACCAGACATTAGTACAGCTAATCGGCGTGATGATTGGTTCACTGCAGCTCAGTGACTCCGTCCTACAAGACGTGTGAAGCTAGGAGATGGCCATGTGCTCGGCATTTGAAGGCCTGAAAACCAGAATTGGTCATTTCACCGACAATGTGTCCAGGGAGGCAGCTCCATATCTGGACAGCAGGGTGAAGGGAGCTTCTGTCCAGGGAGCACTGGGGGGCAGCTGGGGGGGCAAGGGCGTGGCTTGGCAGGGTTATGCATAATTGGGTGGCAACTTTCATATGGGGGTGGAAGCATGACCTGAAGGTCTGGAGGCAGTGGTTGATGTGCATTTTGTACAGGACAGTGACAACAGCAACTTTCTATTTTACGCCACCTACATTGACAATCACTGTATAGACTTGTGAATGCATCCACAGCATTATCTGGGCGCTGGTCTCGTGCTTCTCTCCGTGTGCAGATTTCAATGTTTCGAGCACCGCAGTCATCGGGGCCTGTTCCCTCTGCGGTTGGGGTGAGCCTGGCGCTCGACAAGATCACTTCAGCCATCCTAAGCAAGGAGGAGCCGGTGAGGGCGGGGGGTGGCTTGTGCATGGACACAGCCATCAAGCCTGGGCTTGGGTTAAACACCGTGGTGCAACATTCAACACCGGCACTGAAAGAAAACCTCAAACATTAATTTGATTTGCAGACTTTGTGCACTGACGCTGATGGTTATTGGCAACTTCCATATATTTTTTTCATCCAATTATATTCCAATCGTGCTATCGACATCATGTCAGGAGATGAAGCTTGCCATTTGGAACTTGTGCAGCTTAAAATCGCCTTGTTAGAGAGCAGTCCTGGAACACCGTGTGGCCAATTTTTCATTCACTTAATTCTATTAATCCATATTAGGGCCACGTTTTATTACAAGCCTGTCAAAAGAGTGTTTGTAGTATATCAATGAAATCAAAATGTTTCACTCTCAAGAGCTGGAACATGCTTAAGTGTAAAATCTTAATTTTACTGTGTTATTTTTATTCTTCCGTCATTGGCAACAGGGATGAGACTTAAACTGGCTGCACTAGATAATGCAATTTAATCAAGAGTCGCTGCCAGTCGCCATATTCCGGGGACTTTTGTATGATTACTTAAATATGGTTCGTTCTCATGTGATTATTGAACCAAAGATTACAATAAATATTTAAACTGGTATTCGCAATATTTTTACAAGCGTGGATATAGTGCATTCATTAAGTAGTGAAAGGAAATCTTGTCCTCTGCATTTTATTAAGAACCTATATTGTATTCGTATGACCAGCAAAGTAGGGGAATCATTTTTGAGGAATCTTCACGATTAAGTTTGAGTAATAAATGCAGACCTTAATCAGTGCTCACCAGCCAATCAATACCTGTATATTGGTTTAAACAATCCAATCAACAAAGTCAAACAGGACTGACTATTCAAATGCAACCATTTCATTGGTGCTGATAGACACTGCTAATTGAGTGAGTAATTAATTATAAACTATTGAATGCAGACCCTTAGTCCACTGTTGGATGAAGGCCTGCCTACACCATGACTGACGAGGTGTGGCTCATGGTGGATGTCTTACCATACTTCACTACGCTGGTCAGCGTGGGTTGGTGAAAGGGGATGGGCCCAGGACCGGTTAAGATATCACTCACCACTGATGTTGCCGGAAATAAAACTCGGGTATATCGCGCTGTGCCCTTTACACTGCACGACCACTCCCACCCCCTTAGTGGACGCAGTGAATCCTCGTGTCGTGTCTCCCAGTGGTGCTGTCTTGACGTCAACGGGGATTCCCACACTTTTACAGCCGCGCTTCAACCTGTGCGACGTTCTGGTTGGCGCTGTCGGGGACGCGATGCGTCCACGGGCGTGCTCCTTGGTCAAGGACATGTGGGCCGCTGGCCTCCGTGCCGGGGTGCACTACGACGTGGCGCAGGTGAGAGAGAGAATCGTGGTCGCACTGTACATGCAACCACGTGCACCATCGGCACAAGCTGTATGCACATGCACAGCCCTTTTGTCAATCCACTTCTGGATGAGAGGGCCCCCCCCCCACACTGCACGGGCCGTGGAGGTTGTTTAACCCCTTTCCCGTTCCGATGACACACGTGTACATCATCAGAACGGAATCGGAAGAAATGTTTTAATCAAATAACTTTATAGGTACTGAGCCTTCCACGAGACCATGCGGGAGAGCATGTGACACAGTTTGGCGCCAGCTATCATAGCGTGTGGTCGTGTCGCTTTGGTTCTCTGCGGTGAGTACAATGTCTTTAAAATCAACGGCGCTATGCCTCTCTAAATAAAATTAACGTTGAACCGCTTGCGCGTTCTGAGATTCAGCAGTGAACGGGACCCACCTTGCAACAACTGTCAGTCGCCTCAGAACGGGAAAGGGTGAAATATGTTTTGCCATGCAAGTCGGTGTGCACGGTGAAGGAGAGCATCGATGCGAGACCAAAGAAATACAATGCGATGGGTTGTCTTGCACTCCCCCATGTTGCCCACCACATAGCCCCGCAGCAGCCTATAACATCTGTTTTTATGCAAGTTGGCGACCTATTCAAGCACTAGCCAGGCTCAAACATACTTAGCTTTTGTGATTCAATGACATTGGGTACATTACAGATGATTTGTCATCGGCAAGATCTATATAATTATCAATGTATGAAAAATAAGAATAGGTTTTACCCTTTCTGGCGATAAAACAGGTTTTAAGATGTTGAAACACCAAATATAAATATTTTGCAAGGAATCAAGTTTGTTTGCCTGTTCACCACGGGTACGTGTGGTTAATGCACTTGATTCCCATTTGTTGTTTGAACATCTTAACATCTGTTTTATTGCCAGAAAGGGTACAAAAACCCATTATTTTTTATAGCTATATAGTTCTGGCTAATACTATTGTCCCAACTTCAGTGGGACCAGTTGAGCTTGTGCGTATGCAAACACGTTGGTGGTGCCCTCGTGTCGTCTGCCACTTGAAAACTGGATTGGCGAAAATCCCTCAGAGATCGTCATTTTTTCTGACACTCCCAATCTGCTGGGCTGTGATGTGGCCAGCGGATGGCAGTCGAGCCATGGGTTTTCTCTCCTGCGTTGCATCTTGGGTACTCCCAATTCCATCCTTTTTGCAAAACACTCCTTACGGAAGAACATGTTTCTGTCCCGTCTTGCCGATGGGATGATTTCAAAATATCCTGGATCACAACTCAATGGACTGCTTTACAAAAGATATCAGATCTTGTACAGCCTCTTTATGGAAGCCGCTAGGCCCATGAACTTCCGGCAGTAGGAGTCCTCAATTGTTGGTGATTGTCAGGTGTTGCCAATATCCCAACTGTTGCTGATGTTTCAATGTCATTCCTGTTCGTTTCATTGCATGTTCCATGCCATCAGATCGTTTTTTTCTCGACTGTCATCTGCCTCTGTAATAAATAAAGAGATTTCAGATGTTTTCAGGAATCTGCCCTTCTTCACAGAAGGTCCATTTACCAAAACGTAGCCTATTATTTACATTTTTCCTTTCAGGCAGTATGATTGATGGATGTATTTTTTTCGTGTTATTTGTGCTTGTGCACCACTGCCAATACAGTGGCACCAAATAATTTGTTGAACAAAAATGGCAATGATTGATAAAGCTCGCATGTTGTCTTCTTCAGTCGCAGGTGGACCTACACGATTACTGCAGGCAAGCAGACATCCCTTTCCTGGTGCTGCTGGAGTCTGGGACTGTGCGAGTACGTGGACCTCTGTCTTTTAATCACAATCATTGTGGTGTTAATACATTTGTGGTGGATGCCGATGATTTGGTTAATTTGGTTAAGGCTTTAATGTGCACCTCAATTGTGGTGATCACTGTGGGGGTCTTTTTTTCTTACGTTAGGTGAAGGCCGTAGATAAGGAATGGCAGTCGGAGAAAAAGGTTGTCGACTTTGAAGTTATCAGCTTCCTTCAGCAGAATTTGAAAAGTCGTGCTGCAGAAGAAAGGAATTGCAGGTTGGTTGGCACCTTGTGTGTGAAGTCCTTGTTTATGTTACCACCACATGCACATCCAAAGATTTTTTTCCTTGCAATTCCAGTTTCCTTCGACGTGCAAAAATCCTGGAATGACGTCGTCAAAACATTATAACTAGGCCTCGCCTGAAAAATAGTCTCAAGAACATTTACATATTCCCGTGACCACTGGGTAGTGAGCCAGCCTGATTCACGAACCAGGTTAACTGGGTTAAGTTCGCATTCCCAATGTAGCCTTGTCGTGGAATGGCTTTGGTGTTTAAAAACATGGTGGAAATATAAAGCTCATCGTTATTTGCTTGAGATAGCCTCGCCAAATCCACAGAGAGATCTCCTGCTGCATGTTTTTGCGGTCGTGCTTGATAGCGAGCTCTCTGAAGTATATTCTGGTTGTACCGCGTGTTGTTCAGCAAGATGTCTGACGTTTCGCTCCTCATGCTAGGAGCTTCTTCAGGAACTGAAGGATGCATCATTGATTCATTAGAGCGCTACCAAGTGTACCTTGGTACACTTAAAAAAAAATGTTTTTAATCAAAATCGCTTCCTCCTGCTTTGGGAGGAAAGGAGGAGGGGAGAGAGAGCTCGGGGAGCAGAGCCAGAGTGCCCAGGTCCATGGAGCCACATGGCTTGGCTCATGCAGCATTGGGGCACTAAAGGAACAATAAAGCAGCAATGTATGCTTCCAATGATCATGAAAACGCACCGTCAGTGAATCCTTTCCTGGGTAAACAATGGCTGTGTGTCACACGGTGTCACGCGTTGGTGTCTCGGCAGTTTCGTGAAGTTGCCACGTAAGCAAGGATCTATCATCGACAGTTTGTTCACATTTTTTTGCAGAGATACATCAGAAGGAGTCATTGTTACAACTCAAAAGGGACCAACTTTTAACAGCACAGGTGAGGTTGTGTATTTGGTCTAAAATGCACCAGCTATCATCTGCTGAACCCGACGAATGTTGAATTCAGCTCTTTGTGTCCATATCGGTATTCTCCCGGGAGCACTTACAAGGCCAATATTAATATTTAAAGCTTCAATAGACCACTGCATAAAAGATGAAATACCTTTGCCAGGAGCTTTAAATAAATTACCTCAAAAACGTTAAATATTAAATTCACATTCTCCTGAAATGTAGTAACGTGGTGAGCATCACCGTCTCATTCATTATAAACTAAACCAGGCTTATTGATAGGTCAGCTTGCAATTCGTTTGGTGGCTTGTTTATGAGCATGGTGGTAAACGCTACCTTGTGGTCAGACTGAATACATTCCTGTCATTTTTTTTTATTCACAGGTGCCAGTGAAACGTTTGGAAGTGTAACGGTGCCTAACATTAACTTCGTCACAACTGAAAAGCTGCCCTACAATACCAAGAAAAGATATGAGGCACAGGCAAGTTTGACTCGCTCGATAAGTCGCACGATGTTATTTTCATGATCAAAAATTACATTGTTTAATTGGGTTGTTTTCTAATTTATTCTTCTTTACCAAAGCTTGTTTATATTGTGCTTCAGATTATTTCTCGGATTCACACAGTCGTAAGCAACATGTTTCATAAACACTTGGATGTTGAAGTGATTGCGGTAAGTTCTGGACATTACTATCATCACGATGTATTCAATGGACACTAAAGCTAAAAAACATTTAATATGCTTCAAATCAAGATTTGTATACTTGTGTTTACTATCTGACTTCTGAATTCATACATTGTCTTTGTTCCCAATACCAGGTGGATCTACCAGGAAACATGATGAAGAATTTTGCCCATTTGGAGGTATATAGACTAAAGTAATTCTAGATCATTGCACTAGGATATTATAGCCATGTGTGTTTGTCAGCGTCGGCCATGATTTATCCACTGCTAGATGAATGCCTCTAGACATTGTTGCCATTCTTCATGGTATTGTGTGATGGCACAATCCATCTCGCTCCTGCACATGAGCTCATCTCATCACTCCATGGTGGTTGTCCCCTCGGGGATGGTTTCTCCGTTGGCTGCTGCTCCATCATCGGTGCCGTCTATGGGTCATCATCCATTCTCGCTGTGTGACCTGCTCAAGTCCACTTTTCTAAACGACCAATTTGTGTTCTCTGATCCATGTCTTCCTCTTTCTCTCTCCATGTCATTCCCAGCACACATCTCTACATGCTTCTCTGTGTACGTTTCGGCTTTTGTTCCATTTCCTTTGTCAGTATCCATGTTTATGATCCATGTCACAGCAATTAATATGTACCACTTGGAAATGTCCTTATTTATGGACATTGGTCTGTTGCTCTTAATCAACTCGTTTCTTTACTTTGACCCTGGTCCCTCATAAATAATTGCCGTGGATTTTTATAATACTCGTGTTACCGAATCACTTGGAATGCACCACACATTTCAGTCCACTCCTCCACAATTGGTGTTAATTCTTTACTCTTTCTCTATTAAATAAGGAGCTATCCTCCTTTCTCTTACCTTGCTGATACCATCTATGTCCAATTTCTCCCAGTTCTGTCTCCATTTCAACAAGATTGATTCGCCAGAGTCGAAGCGTTGTAAGTCGCAGAAGCGAAATCCAGGTGTCCAGTTTGTACCCATGTATTTGTAACCAACGAATGCGCTTCTGCAGTCATCTGGAACGTCATTACTTCCGCTATTAGGAAGCCACTAGAGCTATGCACTTTAACATTCAGATTGAAAACTAATTTCTGTAGAACTGCTTTTTGTCTTTTTTGTCCTTCCCCGCACCTCTGCTTAGCACGGTTGGCTACGTACCGTGAAAAATTAGTGGCTAAGGGAAGAGATCTATCTACTTATTTTTAAATCATTCTTTTCATCTGAACATGCTCAACCAAACATTATTTGCAGGTAAAACATCCATTGGGTGCATTAGCGGCCACTGCATAACTGATTTGAAAGCTCCTTTGCATCAGACTTTGTCAGCCTTTGGGTCTTTTAAAAATCCACTCTGTGGTCCGTAGAGTTCACACTAACATCTGTGACAGTAATCACCAACACATTCCTCTATGTTCAGGAGACAATACATCTGGAAGGGATACTTAAATGCAACTTAACTTTAGGAGAGGTGACTTCGGACTGTGTGGGGTTTGCCTTATTTAATTGTTGTTGTTTTTACAGTGTGAGGATGAAGAGTCCTTTGAAGAGAGCAGAAAGGAATTAATCGTCAAATTGCCAAAGCAGCGAAAGTATTTGGAGGATATCTGCGATCAAATCCATGAGCTGAAGATAGAAAAACGGTGAGTGGCTCACCAGTGACAGATTAAATATCAAATTCACACTATTCATTGTGTTCTACAGGGTATCCATTGAGGTGTCATCCATGATAATTAGATTATCTAGCCATTTGAACGGCACTGTTTAAATATTCAGAACATATTCCTTTTCTACTTGGGTATTTCTTAAACCAAACAATAGGATATCTTTAGCAACACATAACAGAAGCAGAATAAGCAATCACAGCGGAGGTATTGAAAAACACCTGGAGTTCTTTAAAATGTTGATACGATTGTGTGTTGCCGACTCCTTGGCGGACATGTGGATATCGGGGGTGATGGTACTTGTATGATAAAATATTCATACCACCAAACATGATAAAATATTCATACCACCAAACAAACCAATGTCTATTCTTTTCTAATGGAGGACACCTTTGTGGGCATCTTACATTTAGCAATGTGTTTAGGTTATGATAGGTAACATGTTTCATATTTCTCACTGTTGAACGTAATGGTTGCTTTAGTATTGTTTATTGTTGCTACTTTTTATGGATATGATCATTTATTATTTTATCGGATGAGATTGAAACACACTCCTCTCATTGAGAACTATTTTCATTAAATGACATTAAAGTTTGATGACATTTGAAGTTGGTTTTGGATTCCATTCCAAAGTATATTTCAGTCAAAACATTAAAGTAAATTCTGTAGCAATTTTTGTTAATGTTAAAAGTTCATTAATGCACATCTGACCATTGGGCAGTGTGTTGGTGGATTCGAGCCTGAGGTGTAAATTAAACATTCCTACGACAGAGGTCAGCATCTCCATTAAGGCAACCACTGTTGACCCCCTACAAAGTGGTACAACTACCAATTGTATCGACCGATTAAAGATGATGGCTGAGATAATACCCAGCTGGGATTTTTACTCAACCTGACTGGTTCAAAGGTCAAGATACAGCCCAGCAATTTATTCTGTAATCCACTCCTGTATCTGTGTAAAGTCCTTCACTAGAGGGGGCTCTAGAAAACCCCTCAATTCAGTATTGGCCTACTCTTCCAAACTGGCCAGAAATCTTGGAAGAGGTGAGAGACTTTACCCCACCAAAACCAATCCTGTGGTGCACCCATTTATACCACCAGGTGGACAGAGATAGGGTTATTGTACAGCCCCCATACATAAGTTGTCCACAGATCTTTGTCAAGTTGGCAGATGGATGCTGCCAAACACAACTGACATGGATTGTCGTCTCGTTTTCAGGGTGCCCATAGTGATTGTTTACAGCTACAGGGATGACGTTCACCGCTTCATCTTCTGAGCAGCGCACAGCTGCACACGTCTGCCTACCCACCGTTGCCATTCACTGCGCCTCCAGCAGTATTACTTGAACGCAGGCGGTGGGGAAATCCAAGAGATGGGGAGAGGCAGCCAGGAGAGGAAGGGCACACATTGGCATGGGACGACCGTGTATTTCATATGAAGTGCGTTAATGCAAAGAGCCCCTTAAGCTGCACGGAAATGTCACATTACAGATACTGAGCCGATCATTCATGCAACAAAAACATGAGTTTTTCAATAAAATGTTATGAAGATAATCGTGCTTTGTACTGATGCTTTTCAAGTATACATAAATGTACGTAATTTCATGTTTTGTTACTTTAGTGAAAAACTTGTATTCAATGCTTGTTAGATTAGGGGAATAGGATACTGTTAGTCATCAGCCTTATTCAGAGAAAAATCAATTATGCATTTAGAGAGGACTTTAATTGAATTCATGTACATTATAAAGGTGTTCACATTTGCCTAATAAGAGTGATTATAAAAGTGTTAGATTTGAGAGTTTATAGGATGAAAGAATACTGTACAAGACTGATAATGTTGACGATGTGTGAGTGCACTTTAGTCGTGTGTAAGTACGCTCGTCATGCCTATCTCAGTAATGTGTAAGTCTACAATGTCAGCTTTAAACGCTGTTTTCCCTCACTTGCTGTGAAGTACCAGGAGTGTAACGATCCATCGATTAATATCGATTATTATCGATTCTTAGCTTCTTATGCCATGCATAGAAGTACCTTTGTTTTGATGCATCAATAATAATTATCTTTTGATTCACGTGCTTGTGTATCATAGATAATGTGACTTGAGCCACAAGGATGCTGCCACGTTCACCAATTTGTAAGGAAAAAAGGGGTTCTTGGACGGAGTCTTGGAACGTGGTTCAATTAATGTTGAATAGTTGCAGCCTTCGCTCATACGAAGACTTCTGCTTTATATCTAAAGTTCTTGCAAAAAAACAATTGCTGTGCAGCTGAATGTACATTGACAGTTTGAATACTGCAGAGAGATCATTGTATATTTTTTGTAATGGCTTATTCGTGTAATGTTGGACAATGTGACATTCTAGCCAGGGTCCAGTCTCTCTGGTTATGATTGTGAAACCAAAAACGGCAAGCTCGGCAGTTTCAATAAACTTGAATTACGTTTTTTTACATTTTATTTATTTTAAACTCAATGTGTGCATATATTATACAAAACTTGTATAATAAATCATTGAAAAAAGTGTACAGGGTCGAAATAATAGCTACAGAAAACCTACGTGTTTTACATACGCCTCAATTCAAACGATATTACATAAACTATCGCTTAACAGACTTAAAGCTTTCGTGACTGCAGGAATTCATATTCTTTGGGTCTTTCGGTAAAGTCACGTAGATAGGTTAAAATTATTGAAACAAAAAACTACGTTTCGATCGCAACAGAAGCGATCGTCATCAGGAGGGAAAAAGACGACCGCTTGTGTTGTGATCGAAATGTCGTAGTTTTTTGTTTATTTTATTTTTATTAATTTGAACCTATCTACGTGACTTTACCGAAAGACCCAAAGAAGAATATCGCTTCACTTACGAGTGGAAGAAGAGCCTTCTGCGTACGTGGGTCTAATTCTTGAAGTCAGATTTGTGATGAGAAATATAATTGGGGAACCATTCCACGATTGAGTCTCTTGTACGTAAATAAATTAATCACTAAAGTCTTTTGCAACATCAGGAAATGTAGCACCCAACCAACTACATGAGCAACCGAGGTTTAAGATGGGTTTCTCCACGACTGACCATGTTCTCTGTACATACCGTCAATCATGTTCTGGAAAAGACAGATGAATATTGTATTACAAATGGCATAGCCTTTGCAGACTATTAAATGGTATTTGGCTCGGGGGAGAATTGATGCAGTCCAAGCTTTTACACAACCTAAAAATGTATAATTTCTAAGATGGTTAAAGTGAGTCAGAAAATGAACTATGATTTCATGAGTTATTCAGTGCCAGTTTTTTTAAATATTGGATTTCAAAAAGCTAAAATATAATTTGACAAAATATAGTGATAGCAATGGGTAAGTGTCAGAATATTGTAATAAAGGATGCAAAGCGGATGAAAGTGAGTACAATAAAAGGTACCAATTTTAGAGTTGCAGAATCTCCGGGACAACTTAAACACAGCCGGATATACACCTGGGAATGATTGAATGCAGACCGGAATATAAAAAAGGTGCACACGTGGATGAGAAAGTTTACTGTTGACGGATCAGATACAGGGATTGAAAGAAAATGAAAAGAGCGAAAATATAAATTATTTTAATTACAATTAAATATAAACACGTTATTAAAGGTGAATATACAATGTATGAAGAGCACGTTATTAAGTTGGATACATTTTTTAAGAATGTTTTATAGAAAAGCAACTCATCAATTCCCCCCCAATATTTTTATCGAATAATCAGCACCTACTCCATACCAAAAAATAAGTATACTATTCTAGATGTACTATTCTTTGGTTCTTTCGGTAAAGTCACGTTGATAGAAAATAAAATACAAATAAAATTTAAAAACTCACGTTTCGATCGCAACACAAACGGTCATCATCTCCGCCTGATGACCGCTTGTGTTGCTATCAAAACGTCGTGAGTTTTTGATTTTTATAAATTAGAAAATGTTTATTTCTATTATTTATTATTTTCTATCGGCGTGACTTTACCGAATGAACCAAAGTATAATAATTCCTACAGTCACGAAAGTTTTAACTAAAAAAACAAGTATACTGCTAAAACTAGCAAGTTAAGTAATTGCTTCAATTAATTATAAATGTATAATCAACTGAATCCACTCGTGTTCATAGCTGAGCCATGCACTATTCAGAATTGTATAAATAACTTTTAAATTTAGAGGTTAAATCCTCAATGCACATTTTCTGGAAAACATGAAAGGATGCTCATATTCACGAGTGGAGCATTTCTATTATTACTTCTATTATTTTTATTCTTCTACTTACGTGACTTTACCGAAAAAACCTAAGAGTATGAATCCTTGCAGTCACAAAGCTTCAAATTTGGAATCATGCATGAGTGATTGTGTGCATGCCATCCAACCTGGAAGAGTGTAAACCAACAGAGGAATGAGCAAGACCACACGAACACACCCCTCGTCGTGGCCAGCAGACCTCGACATGCAGCTCCTCAACTTATTGCCGACACAACACAAGGACCAGAATGGTACAGGATGGTAGAAGGCTGCCGAAGTGATAAGCAAATGCCACCAACTTTCAAAACTCCTTTTTTTACGCTCGAAGAAAACCAGCAGCCATTCCAGACACACACTCACTACCTATGCAACAACACTGAACCGCTTCACTGAATCTCATAAGCGCGACATCAACCCCCGGCACGAGACGCAGCGAGGGCAGTGTTTGTTATGCTGCTGCTGCTGCCACGTGCTCGCAGCAGCAGCAGGAGCCACGTGCTCACAGCAGGAGGAGGAGGAGTCACGTGATCACAGCAGCAGCAGCAGGAGCCACGTGATCACAGCAGGAGGAGTCACGTGATCACAGCAGCAGGAGCCACGTGATCACAGCAGCAGGAGTCACGTGATCACAACAGGAGGAGGAGGAGCCACGTGATCACAGCAGGAGGAGGAGGAGCCACGTGATCACAGAAGCCTGAGAAACACGGCGGTGACGTCATCGCGGCGAACATGGCGAGCGCGGTGGAAGGAGGCGGCGGCGGTGGTGGCTCCATCCCCTTCTCGTTCACAAACAACAACAACAGCAGCAGCAGCAGCAACACAATGGCGAGGTTCGTCATCGTCTTGCCTGCACCGGCGGTAGCGAAGCGATCCTCGCTCGCGTTCGGTCACCGGCAGCGATCGTCGGTCCCGAGGGCCGCGTGGGGGGGGGTGGGTCTCGCCTCTCGCCTCTCGCCCACCGCGTGGATGATGCCGCCAATGCCGCTGCTGCTAAAGCTGCTAAAGCTGCTGAAGTGGCCGTGGTTGTGGTTCTCTTTGTTTAGTCCGGGGCACTGGGATGCCTCGAACGAGTGTCAACTGCGCGTGGAAGTGTTGGCTCGTTGTGGCGTTTGGCATCCGACCTCTGCTTGTTATTTCTGTCGAGGAGTAAAACCAAGAATTCATCTCTCGTGGTTCTTTGCTGTTGCACTGTGATTGTCAATGTCGTGTTTCTGCTCTCCTTGTTACTTTTCATGATCCAGCTCAGCTTTCTAAAAGCACGGTGGGGGGGGGGGCGACGCCGCTTTCGGCCCGCGACTTTAAAGTTCCGACGGCCACAGGCCACGTCCGAGGTCTTCTCTAAGTGGTGTTCATCTCCCTCTGACGAGCAGCTTGGCTGCACTAATCGAGTACTAGAGGGGACATTTCCCCCCCCCCCCCCACATGGACACGGTTTCCCATGTCAGCCATCTCGGTCACCTGCTGTCACTTGCATCTGCCTCTTGCAGTTACAGCAGCAGGCACTTTTGAGGGATGCGTGCTTTCAAAGTTATCTTGAAAGTTCAGTTCGACCCTCGCTACGGAAAAGGTTCGACATTCTCGGCCTGTGCAACGCCTAGTCCACCCACGGGAATGTGGAGTTTCCACCGCTGGTGCAGGGCCTGCCTTTTTGACATGAACGACCACCCCAGAGACAGTTTGTGTGACTTTGACAGACACTGTTATGCTTAAAGTGCGTGTACACGATTACATTAAAAAAGCTCAGAAACCATCGCCTTACTCTCTTAAACGGCTTGAAAACCATCATCCGAACATTGCGGCGAACATTGTGGTTAAACTGCCAACCTGACAAAGTTAAATTTCGATTTAAAGCTTTCGTGACTGCAGGGATTCATCTTCTTGGTTCTTTCGGTAAAGTCACGTAGAAGGGAAGTAATAAAATAATAAAAATAAAACATAATAAAACAATTCTCACGACGTTTCGGCCACAACGCAAGCAGCCGTCCTCAGGTGAGGTCCTCAGGTGAGGACGGCTGCTTGCGTTGTGGCCGAAACGTCGTGAGAATTGTTTTATGTTTTATTTTTATTATTTTATTACTTCCCTTCTACGTGACTTTACCGAAAGAACCAAGCTGACAAAGTTAGTTAACGAAGCCAGTATGCTGTGTACAGCCCGCAGGAGGTGCAGCGTGAAATCAAGGCCTTCTTGTCGGGCATGGACCCGGTGCATGGGAACAAGCTCACTCTGCGTGACCACGCCAAGTGCGCCCTCCTGCTGCTCAGGTGATGCCTCGGTTGTTGTTGTTGTTGTCTATTGTTGTGCAAATTGCAGCTCCGAAAATTCGAACACAGACGCATACATGCTCTAGCCTCTGCATTGCAATTTTGCAATGTTCACACTCCATAGGTTTTAGCATTGTTGGTGTATTCGGTACGTTAACACACTGTGAATTTGTGTTGTCTTTTATGCGTACACACTAACCATTCATACAACCATTATCTTGTTAACATTGTTAATTTATGAAATAACTGTCATGTATTCCAGTGAATTGCTATTTTGAAGGTGTTTTATGACTGCCATTAGTGGAGACCTGCAATGGGTTTTCAGGTTGTGCAGTGTTGTTTGGATTAATGAGCACCATAGCGAACTGAACGTGGTACCACCAGAGCACACGTCGGAGACTTGTATTGTGGTCGTGGTCGCCTCCATGTGCACGCAGGCACCTGCCGGCGTCCCGCGGCGCGGTTTTGGAGCATCTGTGCGGTGTCTTTGACGAGTACGTGGGCAACTATGTGCTGGAGATGGACGAGCAACCTGGACATAGCATGGGCGGAGGCATGCAGAACTTGGGCCTCAGCCTCAACCTGGATGACGTCGTGACGGACGCTCACCGCACCATCGCCGAGTTTGTGCGCGTGAACCCGCGAGCCTGGGCCCCGCTTATCTCAGCCTGGTGCGTATGGTCCAAGGGGAAGCTTCTGAAGCTGTGGTTGTTGTGATTTACTGAAACAACTGTTTGGCGTATTGGCTGAAATTGGGCCAACATGGTGCATCAACCTGGAGATTTGGTAATTTTTCTGCCAAGAATTGATTTGTTTTTTCCTTCCACGAAGGATGAATGAGGCTTTGGAAAGGCATTAAAAAAAATGGTCCTCCCAGCAATTGTATTGTTAGAATTCTGGGTTGAAACGTTAATGAAGAATTCCTTCTGTCTTGTTTTTATTATCTACATCTGTTTATCTCATTCAGTTTGCTGCAAGAGCCCAAATTAAACCTAAACATATAACGTTCATATAACGTGCATATATCGTAAGTTAAGCTTGCAGCGTATTGCGAGTGTAAACAAAACGTCCATATCATTTATTAATTGCTCAGCCTACTTTGTTATGAAGACTTAACATTCTCTAATGCGTAATACTTCCACTGGTCCTGCCGCAGGTCAGTGGAGCTCATGGGCCGGCTGAGCAGCAAGTATGCGGGCCGCCACGGTGTGCCGCACACGGGCTCGCTTAACGAGCTGCTGCAGACCTGGATGGGCTGCAAGGCCACGCGCACCCTCATGGACATGTACGTACAGTGCCTGGCATCGTTGGATGGACCCTCGCTGGACGTGTGCGTGGGCGCGCTGCTCGACACGTCCGTCCGGCACTCGCCGCACTTTGACTGGGTGGTGGCGCATATCGGATCGTCGTTCCCCAGCACCATCATCAGCCGCGTGCTCTCCTGTGGCCTCAAGGACTTCTGCCTGTCCGGAGTCGGCACGCAGGCGGTGGACCCTGTCTATCAGGTTACGACTCGGGCTTGCCTTGTTGCCTTGTTGTGAAAGGGGAAGGAGTTGAATGCAGTTAACTCGCAATTATCAACGGGTGAATTATTCGGGTTTGCGGGTTGACCATCCATTATCGCAACCTTTTCTAGTGCAGGTTGTTGCAATTATGAGTTGCTCCTCACTCATTGTGGGATCAGTGACTCATTGCCCATGTGACAAAAAACATTTCCGGCAAGTAAATCTTAAATAAAAAAATAACATGACATTTTACGTCAACCCCAATTTAAGGTAATACATACGTTTTTATGACCTGATATTTAAAAGTTTTGATGAAGCTTTTTTTGTTTATCCAGTCCATGTTTCCTGTGTCAGTTACCCTGGGAAATTGAGAATTGACTGCACTCCAAACAGACACCCAAAAGTAGCATTTCTCAAAGGCTCGACTTTGCATTGACAAGAATGTTTATTGCATTAGTCTCCTAGACTAAAAAAAAATACTAAATGATATCCACAGACTAATACATGACTAATATTACATAGGTTGTCATCAACTAGACTAAGACTGTGACCAAAACAAAATTAGGAATAAACTAATACCGGCTTGCGCGTCTTAGGACAAGCGTGTGGCCAAGATCGGTTCGGTGGTGGGCATCCTGGGCCACCTGGCGGGGCACCACGCTGACAGCATCAAACAGGAGCTGCTCAAGCTCTTCCACGAGAGCCTCTCGCCTCCCGACGGCGACGGGCGCGACCCGGCGGGCGACGTGCGCCTGCGCGCGGCCACCGTGCCCTTCCTGCTGCAGCTGGCGTCGCTGTCGCCGCCGCTGCTCGGCGCCGTCTCCTCGGAGCTGATGGAGGCGCTGGCGCCGGCCGCGGTGCTGCAGCGCCTGCAGCAGCAGCTGACGGCGCTGCCGCGCGACGAGCTCGACAACATGCTGGGCATGGCCGTGCACCTCGTGGGGCAGACGGGCGAGGCCGGCGCCTACAGGTACGAGCGCTGCCTAACGATCCACGGTCTCGTGATGTGGTGATCCATGATGCGAACTGTTATCGTTACTACAGCTCCGTGGCGTTGTCCTCTTGTGCGTGTTCCTCTGGCCGCCACTCAGTCATTAGTCCATCCTAATGCAGTGACCTGCCCAAGCCATTTACTTTTCGTAACGGCCGATGTAATGCCTAAATGGCATTTGATCTCTGATCTACTTGTTCTTTTTGTCTCGGTGTAATTCCAAGCATGCGTCTCTCATGGTTATTTGCTCTTACATTGTAATTGTCAATGTCATGTTTCTCTTTCATGTTACTTTTCATTATCAAGTTCAGCTTTCGAAACACACTCTGACTCGTGTTTGCTTCTTTATCTATTTTATTCTGGTCCACCATGAATAATTGTCCTAGGTCTACATATTCTTCCTCCCACACACATTTCCAATTATTTAACGAACTTGTTCGACGTGACCTGTTTTGCCTTTGTTTATCCTGAGCCCATGTTGCAGTGACACTTTACCTTATACAAATGACATTGATATGAATGTGTGTGTGTGTTATGTTGACAGGGTCTTGCAGTTCCTGGTGCGCATGGCCACCCCCTCCTCCGTGATTTCGGTAGCCGGGAGTGGCAGCGGTGGGGCCGGGCAAGATGTGGCGGGGGCAACGTTGCGTGGCGGTCAGCACAACGTGCCGAGCGGCGTGCGCGACACGTGCGAGAGAATCCTGCAGTTGCTGCTGCTCAACCTGCACAAGATGGTCTACAACCGGCCAAACAATCGGTGTGACGCACCTGCCCCATTATTGGTGGAGAGAAACTTTGGGGACCAAAAATGTACTCTGCAGAATGAGCTGTCATCATTTCACTTGATTGTGTGTGGTATTATCAGTCAAAGAATGATGAAGGGGGTTGAACGATGGCGTAGTCATTCACACCTCCTGTGTGCTTTGCAAGTGACGTGTGCACGTCTTTAATTATCTTTTATTTTGTAGGAATTTACATTACCCAATGCCATAGATGGCATTAATAGTTTAACAATACTGTAATATCTATGTATTATATTTGCGTGTCAGGGTGACGAGCACACTGCGCTGCGATCCCGGTAATCCGAGTTCAATTCATGGCCATGGCTAACGTGAACAATAATACCTGAACCCGTCCTGATCTTCCCCCCCTGCATTCACCAACCTACACTTACAAGATTGGTGAAGTATGATTCAAAAACCTCATGTGACTGACTCAGCCTCAGGAGACCTTTATCCAGATGTAGATTGACAAAGGCCGTATATCATCAAAGTAAACGTTTCGCTTAAATGGAACAAGGCATTTATTGCAATTTTGACAGCAGTAAAACTACGCCTGACCAATAAATGACATTTAATTAATCCTTGTAAGATAGACCAACAGTAATCTTTCCATTTACCATCTAAATATCAAAAAGAATCATCTTTATCAGTAGCGCGATATTGATATGAACACTTGTTGTCCAACTTGTCCGCATGTATGCACTAACCACATGCTCTGTGTTCTATTTGAGTGTTCCTCTGCAAGCTTGAACATATTGAGAAACACGAGGACTATAGAGTCTAAAAGTTTTCTTTGCAGAACGTGCAAGAACCCACCAAAATACATTAAACAATGTTTTCACCTGTCTCCCCTACTTAAATATGAAACTTTCCAAAGGGCCTGGACCTTTCACTGCATTCACTTAGCACTAGAAGTGTCCTTTTGTGAGGACGCTAATGTTTTTCTAAAAGCACATCATGCGGCGGTCGGGTTATTGAACGTTACATTGTGTTTCGATTTAAAGCTTTCGTGACTGCAGGGATTCATGTTCTTACATTACATATTCTTACACAGTTACATTGTGTCCCCGGCATAGGCTCAGCGACACATCGGTGCCTTTTCTGGATGGGTTACGGTCACGAGTCGGCGAAATATGCGAGGAGATGCTTCGCCTCGACTGGAAGTGCCACCTCTGGTTGCAGCAGCTGCTCAGCCTCCTTTGTGTGTATGGAGGGGCGAGCTTGGCCACGGAGGCTCTCTGCCATGCCCTGTCCCTCGCAAGGTGAGCTGCCTGCTGTGTTTTAATCTCCCGGGCTTTCAGGACCTATTTATCACCGTCTTAATAAAACATGGTTAAGTGCAGTGACTTTGGATGGTTTCGGCTAAGCCACTACTTATTGTGCATGTAATTTGATTAATGGTGTTACTACTTTGCACTGTGCGTAGCTAACCGTGTTGGGTGGCTCATGGAGCTTATACCATGCGAGCTCGTACTTACTAGATCCTGGATTTGAATCTGGGCAAGCACCCTTCATTAAACTGAAACGTCATTACCATTCTTCAATAACAATGTGGACCTAAATGGAAAAGTTTACAAAAGTTGTTGTTTTGGGCACTCGCCCATCTTCATCGCACGTGAATCAAGAGGCCAAAGAGATACGAGTTGGAGACTGCGCTCGACACCATAGGGGCCTGATCAGAATTAAATTAATAAAACAATTCTTGATGAACAATTTTTTATTGGTATATGAATATTTACCTATTAGTAGCTATTGAGTAACAAAATTTTTGTATTATGTAAACTAGGTTTTGAAGTGTGGCAAGTTGATGGTCTTAGCCTGGTCATCAATGGCACAACTATAACCTTTATTAACGTTGGTTTTCACAAATTTCGCATATTTTCAGTCTGAAAATGACACAATTTTCACTTTGTCTTATAATGAGCACCTCTATAGCAAGGAATATGAGAGGTTCACCACTGAGTATGGAAGAGATGCAGTTGAAGGGATTTCAAAAGTACTTGTGTGATGTCACCTTCCAATGACTGATCTCACGTATGTCGTGGTACAGTGCTTTTGTGAGTTCTGAATTGAGATTTCTTCATATTATTAGATGACGTCACAGCCACAGTTTGAATTTGGGAAGACTTTTTTTACATGATTTTGCTCGACATACTGAAGCAATTCTTCATCACAATTATATTTGTTTCTGATAGACAAGTCAACAACTCAGAGGCGCGGAGCCAAGCTCAGAGCTGCTCGAAAGCCTGACCAAACAGTTAGGCCTTTCAATGTTTCATGAAAGTCGGAGTGGATTTGATGTTGTGGATGTGCAACGGGGTAGAGAGTTCCACACCGAGGGGGCGACAGCAGAGAACCGACGTGAGGCTGTCACAGCTCAAGACCTTGGTGGCAGGGAACATTAATCACCGGTATTTGTCAGCAAGTAAAAACTGATTAAATTTTTGTTTCAGGGGACCGGAGGAGCTAAGCCTGGTGGTGCAGCTCTACGCCGAGCTCTCGTGCTCCATGACGGGGCTCCTGCCGGCCGCGGTGCGCCTCTCCGTGGCCCAGGTCTTGTGCAGCGGCGAGGGCTACATGAGTGCTCGCCGCGTGGCCTGCCTGCTCAACAACTTCGCCTGCCTCTTGCAGTGGGACCCACCCGACGGGGTGGCCGAGAGGGCCCTCCCCGTGCCCGCGGGTCGCCTGCTCACCGAGGCCGTGTGCGAGCACCTGCAGGCAGTCAGCCGGCTGCTTCTGCACCCCGACGGCCAGGTAATTGGCTGCATTGCACCGTGCGGTTAAAACATGGGGCTGTCTGTATAATAGTTATAGTTTTGAGTCAAAGGCTCAGTTGGGGGTTGACTTAGCGAGTCATTACACTGCCAGAGTTGTTAGAACAAATGCTGCTTTGCGGGAATGTTTTGGTATTTTTTTCCCAAATGGAAAGGTTTTGAGGGGAATATTCTTTTTTATGTATAATCAGGTTGACAATTAAGATAGCAAACCCAAGCACTGGTTTGAGTTTGAGGACAGGCTGTTATGTAGATGCATCTACTATATATATGTAACATTTTAAAAAAGTGTTAACATTTTTGCGATATTTTAGTAATCTGCTATCGGTTCCTTGCTTAGCTATATAAAATTTTATTTGCACATTTGCTGCAGATGTTTTGGCTAAAGTGTGTAACCCTCGCCTCTCGCAGGTGGCAGAGGCATGTGTAGCGATGCTGGCCGTTCTGCCTCTTCCCAAGACCCTTGGCGTATGCCAGCTGTACAATGCCATCAGTGCAGGCACCGCCTACTTCTTCATCCTGCTTCACAGCAAGCAGGCAGGCGCCATAGGCCACTGCTCCAGGCTCCTCACCAAATTGAGCTCCGTTTCATCTCGTGGTCAGAAGGAGGTTCTCGCGCAGCTGGTTAGGGGAGCCATGCATGCAGACAATGCCGTGCTGTTTGGAGGAAAGACGGAGGCATCCCGTACCACCGACCCGATTTCGGAGGATCTCCAGACTCGCCTACTCGCGTTGAACCGAAAGCACGGTTCTGCTGCCAACTACGGCCTTGGCCCATGGATTGTGTTCCATGCCGGCGTGATCGGTCGTGGGCTCAAGGCGCCAACTGAGCCAAGCCGTGAGCCCCCCAGCCAGGATAACACACAGTGGCTACTGAGCCTCCTCATCCGCTGCTGCAGTAGCAGCACCGTGGGTGCCTGTCGCCCAGAGCCGGGTTGCGACGCTGCTCAGCAGCTGCAGCAGCAACAGCAGCACACCCGCCAGGAGCATCCGCCCATGCCCATCAACCCAGAGGCAGCGCGCTCTCTCGCCGTGCTACTGGTTGAAAGCATCTGCCCCGACGTGACCAACAGCGAGCTGGCGTGGCCTCCTGAGGAGCACGCTCGGCACACGGTGGAGCGAGACCTAAAGATCCAGCGGCGCTTTGAGGACAACCCCTTCCTCTTCCAGCTGCTGTGGCTCGTGGCATCTGGCCGGCCTGCGCTGTGCTACTGCTCGGTGCTTCTGCGCGGGCTGCTTGCCACGCTGCTGACGCACTGGGAGGCATCGCGCGAGCCACGAGCCGTGGACTCGGCCTGGGCTCTGGAGGCCTCGCAGGCGCTGATCGCGAGCATGGGAGAGGGCCAGCTGTTGCCACCTGTGCTGGCCAACGTGCACGAGCTGTTTGCCCTGATAACGCCACACGAGGTGCACATGCTGCTGCTGTCCGTCTGGCAGTACGTGCAGGACAATGCGCCACTGCCACAGAAATTCACATTCCAGCCGCACGCGGGGCAGTTTTACCGCGACTTCAGTAGGGACGGTGATGTTGGCAAGCACCTGACCGAGCTCTACAGTGTCCTGCACAAGAACATAGATACGCTTGGTCACCTCCTAGGAAGATTTCAGATCTAAGTTTTTCTCGAGCTTTGAGGCCATACAATGAACTTATAAGTTAATGGTCTTCCGCATTATTGGCTCCACAGACCTGATTTTCTTGGAAAACCATGTGTGTGCTTAGGCAGGCTCGGGCAAACATAAATTAGTCAACACTGATAATTAAATCATTTTCAAATTGTAATGTATGATGTATATTATTTGTATGCTGTGTATATATGAAGTCTTTTCATTGCTGCCATTTTGTGTCAATCACGGAGCCTTTGTTGAAGCAATTTTCACTTCTGTATCTAAATGCAGCGCTATCCTGTTGTAAGGAAGCAGACAATTACAATACAGCTGTACAGATTTTCACTTGTAGCTTGTGTACTGAAAGCCGAGTACTACCAGTTGGAGCATAATCCAACCCTGTAATTTGTTCCTCCCACCAGTGCTACTGTTATTAAAGGTTGTGTTAATTATCGTGGGTTTTTTTTACGATTTGCTTTGCATTTGGCAAGATATTTGTAAACTTAAAAAGGACTTTTCTGGGAACCAGTGTCGGTGTTATTTTATGTATGTATGTGAAACAATTTAGCTCTGTAAGGTTTCTTTGTTTAGAACATAATTGACGTTAATGAAGCCTCTCCAAGCCATAGCCATATGTACGTGGAACTTCTTTTGCACCGAACGTAGCCAACCATGCTAATCGGAGGTACGGGGGAAGGACAACAAACCAAACACAAAGCAGTTATTTTTTATATAATATGAATTCCTGCAATCACGAAAGTTTTAAGTCAAAATTTAACCGCCTCTACGAGGAGGGTTTCCACATAACCATAAGATCTTTTGACAAACTCCGAGACAAGAAATCTCATCTGATCGAGTCACTCACATTTCTGAAGAGATGCCGTGATTCTAAGGCGCCATACCGATCTCATTTACACCGACTTCTGTTGCCGTCACATCTGCCAATGGCAAACGAATTTTGTGCAGGGTTAGCTTGGCCCTGATCTCAGGGAGAATTAGACTGCTCCGTACTGAACTAGATCATGAAATCACAACATTGACAGAAAAAATGTCGACATCTGATTGGGAACATGTAGATAACTTGACTGCTTCATCAGCCGCTACAATGTCAGCTAAATGTGTTGTGCAGTAGACCACACGGAGACGGGATTTACTATAAGGGCTGTTGCCGTTTATTAACACTGTTTCACACAACACTAACTCACACCAGAGGGAGGTGCTCTCTATTCTTGGTTCTTACCCTGGACCCCCGAACTCTGTATTGTCCAACTCTCGGCTATCCCTTGGGGCTCTCTCCCTCGTCTGCACGGGACGGGGGTTCATCCAACACCGCCCGGCGACGAGGAGGGAGAGACATCTTCCAGCCGATCCTGGCCCTGGATCCCCACAACGACCACGCCTTCGTCATGGGCTCTCCCTTGTCTCCGGTTGTAGCCAATATTTTCATGGAAAAATTTGAGCCGGACGTCATCCAGGCATCCACTTGACGCCCGTCCTTGTGGACTTGTCAAGGGAGCACAGGGTCAAGTCATGACTTGTGTTTTACTTGTTACCTTACCCCAAGGCACATGCCCCGCCCACTTGGTTCTGACACCGGGACGTGGTCTGGGCACTGCCTGTTCCATGCTTCACCACTGGTTCTGACACCAGGACGTCTTCTGGGCACTGCCTGTCCCATGCTTCACCACTGGTTCTGACACCAGGACGTGTTCTGGGCACTGCCTGTCCCATGCTTCACCACTGGTTCTGACACCAGGACGTGTTCTGGGCACTGCCTGTTCCATGCTTCACCACTGGTTCTGACACCAGGACGTGTTCTGGGCACTGCCTGTCCCATGCTTCACCACTGGTTCTGACACCAGGACGTGTTCTGGGCACTACCTGTTCCATGCTTCACCACTGGTTCTGACACCAGGACGTGTTCTGGGCACTGCCTGTGCAATGCTTCACCGCTGGGGCGCTTGTGCCACGGCCACTTTTTTAACCTTTAACAGCGGTGGCCTTCGGTCACCCCCCCTCCCTTTCCTCCTGAAGACGATCGCTTGTGTTGTGATCGAAACGTCGTGGTTTTTTTAATTTTACCGAAAGAACCAAATAATACGTCTACATGATAGACTGCCAGTACGCTCCCCCAGCTTAATAACCAGGCTACAGTTGACATTAGTGTGTTTTTTATGCACTTTATTTTTATTATAATGTTTCTATCTACGTGACTTTACCGAGAGAACCAAAGAATATAGTTTGATACATTGAGCACGCGTCTGCCAATGTCAGGCGGCGAACAGTCGGCGCCTGTCAGACCCTCAATGCAATCGGCGGCCATCCGAGTCGGGGAGACTGCGCGCCCCAACCGCACGGAAGCGCCGTCGAGACGTCTCCGCTCCTCCCATCCAGCGACACCTTCGGCCGTGAGAAGCAATGGACGCGGCCTACCCCCAGCAACATGGACAGCGCCTTCACAGCAGCGGAGAGACAGCGACGGGGGGTGGGGTCCCCTCCCCACCCAACGTCCCCTCCCCACCCAACGTCCCCACTCCCCCACCGTGGCCCCGCCCACCCACCGTGGCCCCGCCCACCCACCGTGGGCCCCCGCCCACCGTGGCCCCGCCCCCCCCTGTGCCCCCCCCCGGCCTCGTCTCCCGCTGGCTCGCCATGGGCGACTACTCGCAGCGCGCTCTGATGGCGGCGTGCGCGCTGTCGTTCGTGGCGGGCGCGCTGCTGGGCTGGCAGGGCAACAAGACGCGCCGCAGGTTCCTGGACTGGAGGAAGCGGCGGCTGCAGGCGCTGCTCGCACAGACGCAGAAGAAGCTGGACCTGGCGTGAGCGGCGAAGGCGGCGGCGGCGGCGGCGGCCTTCGCAGCCGTCGCCTCGCGTGCGCTCGGGGTGGTAGTTCTGGCGTCGTTGGTGGTTGCGGTGTTGCTGGTGGCGGTGATGGTGTTACTGGTGGCGGTGGTGGTGTTGCTGGTGATGGTGTTGCTGATGATGGTGGTGACCTCTCGGGCCCGAGTCTCGACAAGGTCAGTGCGGTCGGCGAGCAGCCTCGGACATTTAAAACGAAGTTGAACAAATGCAGCCCGCAAGCACAAGTCCTGTGGAGTGCTGAAGTTTAATAGATTTTTATTGTTATTTCACCTTTACTTCATCTTTAATTCACCTTATTTCACCTTTATTTAACCAGGTAAAAAATACCTTGAGGTTAAAAACCTCTTTTGCGAGGGGGACTTGACAAGAAATAAACAAAAATAAATCACCTCACAAACAATACGAAATGGTACAATACAGAACATTAAACACAGTGACAATGGTTTAGACATGTCCTTCTCACTATGGCGACGAGGCATGTGCCAGGCTAGGTGCACCGAGCCCACGTGGACGTCAGGAATGGCTTGCTGGTACAGGGGCCAGGGCCGCGTTGTGGCTGAACATGCAGACACACAAAGTCTGACCCAAGCTGTGTGTGTGTGTAAGTCGGCAGGTGATTTATAGGAGAAGCAAGCTCTAAAGTCACTGTTTGTGCGTTTTAGCCATGATGTTGCTGCAATGATTAATGTTTAACTTAATTGGGTGACCTCACAAGAGCGTCATGATTGCACGCTTTTCCCACAGATATGAAGTTAAAGGTCCTAATAACGAAAATAAAGTTTGGTTTTTGGACGTAGAAATGGCATAGAAGATAACGATCACGATATAAATAATTTGCAAGTAATTGTTGATAATGCCAGCATTCGATTTTGGTCCTGATAAATCTCAGGCTGCCAGTAAAATGCCTCGCCACGTGGACTTTACTACAAGCTGAAGATGACGACTAATGTGCTTAATTTGTATTACACAACCAAGCATACACGGAAAGTGGTAATTTCTCGTGAAGAAGTGTGTTTATACAGTACGTGCAATTAATGTGATTGCACGTTTGTATGCTGTACTTTGAATCTTTACGTGACATGTTCACGTTCCATGAATATGTTGCCAATCCACTGCTGGAATACGCCCCCCCCCCCATGCCGTTGTGGTCGATCCACTTACCCTCCTCCACTGGCACAAAGCCGAGATCACCAGTGTGCATGTTGGTAGCCCATCTAAGCACACTTATCCAGATGTTAAGCTGCCTAAATCTGATGAGATTGGGCTCATTTACAGGTGATTTGGTCAAAGGATTTACACTATTGCTGATAAATATTCAAAATCACACCACGTTGCGTTTGGTTGAGTAATAACCTACTTGTATAGACGTTCTGTTTTCGTTATACACAGTTCTACAAAGTGATGGGTTTTGTGTTTTCCCCCCACAGAATGAAGCGGCGTGCCTGGACGGTCAAGACGAGTACAGCGGCTGTTTTTTTAAATGGCTCCAGGATTTCACAAGACTTCACATTTACAGAAGACCGTGTGCCCCACTCGTATCTCGACATCTGTACTGGACACCACGTCTGTGAAAAAGAGCTTCATAGCTCATCGGATTTCTCCAATCTAAATAAAGATTCTGTTTTTGATTATCACTAATTACACATTGCACTACATTGAAGTAATATATAGTGCTTGTGGCACTTTATCAATAACACTGCCTTAAAAATAAAAAAGGTAATTTGCATATATGTGGTGTGAAGAAAGGCCAACACCTTGAACGTCGCCTATTATAGTTTTAGATCTTAAAGCCACAGTGTTATTGACAAATGTGCTGAGGTGTTTTTGTTATCTGTGCTTGTGCACTACTGCCAACATTACCAAAGTGGTTGGTGTTTAGTTTTTGCCTACAGCTTCACGGTATCTATTGGGTGTGAAATGGTCAACTTTCGATACCAAATTGCTTGATTCGAGTTGCCGATCACACGTTTTATCACGGCTCGACGTGAGCCTGGCCGAAAACGTTGATCACAGCGCAGAGGAGGAACAGAAACTCCGATTTCGGCACGAGAGAGCCCAATGGTGATTGCATGTTTAATAATCGCAACGTTTCACTGCATTTTACAAAGTGAAATTGCAACTTGAGAAATGTTAACCACATTGTTGGTGTCTAAGGAGAAGTTTATGTTATGGCACTAATATTGTGCAGTTATAAACTTGCATTTTTAGACTTATCGGTTGTGAACTCTGTTTTTGTTAGTTATTTACATGTTCACATATCCATTGCATTTACAGAAGAACTGTTAATAGTGGCCCTACGTCCCGCATTTCCTATTATATGTAGGAGTTGGGGTCCCCAGAAATGTATAATATTCGTGGCCCTATTATCTGTGGTTAGCAGGTGCCTTTCTAATGCACAGTATTAAGAGGAGTCACGTGCAAAATACATCCTATTCGCAGGTTGTTTGACAATTTTGATTCCACGAATTGCAGGAGTAAATTCACCAGAGGGGTTCTGCATACCACAGCGTCCATCAATATCAAGCCTGGTTGTCCTCTTGCCAGTGATTTTATAAAACATGAATTTCATGGAAGCATCATGGGACCGTGGGGGATGGACACTCTGTGGAGGGTCTTCAGCGCACTGAATGACGATTGCGGACTTGCATTACCCTGAACAATACAGCCTTGCACAAACATGTTGAGTCACGTTGTATAAGCACTAGTTTTGATTCCTTTATGCTCGAAGCTTGTGTTAGACCTTTCAAGCAGGCTTGCACATCTGCTTCTCTTGTGAAGAATACTGGAGACTTCGACTAAGGCGAAGGGACGTTCCTTCAAACTTTGGGTGGCACATAGTACTGACACGATCAATACTTTTCAGAAGCTCTGGTTAAAGATCTGAAATGTATTTCACGATCAATTACAGTTCTTTCATATATGACCAATGATAAGTCGAAATGCCATCAGAAATTAGAAAAACATCGAATGTTAACATTAATTTAAAGGGGGTGGGTGGTGCAGTGATTAGCACATTGCTGCTATGAACCCGGACACCTGAATTCTTAATGGTGAGTGATATCTAAATCAGTACTGGTCACCCCCTTCACTGACCAGGATGGTGAAGTATGGGTAAACATCTCCATAACCAACACGGTGTGGGCAGGCCTTCATAAGTGGTTTGGGAAGCGACTAATATAAAGTGCATGTGTTTGTCACTGAAGTGGGTAAAGGTGCAGCCATGCAATTTTCTTGCTTAAGTCACTGCTGGTGAAATGGCCTCCACTGGAAGAATCTCGAGAGCTCCTCTAAAGGGTATTTGACCTGTTCTCCACGCTGGCCAGACGTATTGGGAAGAAATGTGAATACCCACATTTTACCCCACCACACGATCTGTCGATCGACGAACTGCAACGTTCCCGTTTATATTGATGGGTGGATAGAGGCTGGGTGTGGGGGTTAGAGATCAAATAAAACTTGTTCATTGCATGAAGTTCCGCATCTAGAGATCGAAACGGTGACCCCCTGGAGATTGCCAACCCAGTGTGCTCACCGCGTCCCACTTCAGTATTACACATTAAGCAATGAGACGGATGAGCAATACTGTACACCTAACAACACGTGGACATGATTAATTAGGGCAATGTATAAATGGTTCGTGAGCACGCATTCGAGTTGAACTGGTTTTTATTTGACAAAGAAACGAGCTCACTGCTATGGAATGGCCGCTCAGCTACACCTACTGAAGAGGAATGAGGTAAAGCCAACCCGGTAACCACAACGTTTGTACTCTTCTATTTTACGAACGTTTGTTTTTACTAACGTCTCACGTCATTTGAAACAATATATGCAGCACCACTTGAACCCTTGCTGAAGACCTTTGATATTTGTTGATTTGGCATGGGGGATTTTCCCTAGATTTTGCTACTCTTCTGCGTTGTAATTTTTTAAAGATGTTGCTGCATTTTTACAGCACATTTCCTAATTTAGCAATGATAAAATTTCATGAACATTAACGTACTGTATACATTTGCATTTAACATGTTACCAAAATCATTCTCAGTGGATTTATAGTTTGACGAAATAATTTGAGTGGCATTCTGCGATTGCGATGTTTAATTTCTGTGTAAACTTTTACTACATCGGTTTGCCAATTGTTTATCTTCAAACTGTAGTTACAGTTACACCATATTATACAGAAGCTTCCTCCTTGTTCGTACTGTGAAATTCAGTGCTTCCTCAAATGTGACATCTGGAACTTCCCTCCAATACAATTGTGTAGTTTATTTTGTTTACGTAAAAACGGCTGGTAAAATTTTTTGAAAATTAAAATATATATTACAACCATTCATCAAGCCAAATCCAAATGAAGCAGTCTCCATACCGTGCCAATCATATGGGCTTGTTTGACCATACTTCATATTAGTCGGTGCCCAAGTAAAACATGCAACATCCGGACAACATTGGAACATGGTTTGAACCTTTGGACCGCTGTTGTTCCAACATTCTGTGGTTACTGGTTGTGGGTTGGTGAGGACGGTGGGGTTACCGAGAACCTGTTGGATATTGCTTTCCATTCGGCCTTTTCAAATGGGCTGTTTGTGTCGACTTAATCTCGTGTCGACATTGCCAAGTCGACGCAAATTACTTTCAACACACTTAACGAGCACCCTCCATCGACGTGAATGTTACCATAGTTGTGCCACCTCTCTCCCATTGATGGCTGTGGATGAAGATCTGCAGTGGTGGCCTTTAGTGAGGCCCCTGACGCGTGACCCCGATAATACACAAATCTGAAACCAGCCCCATCGTCCTGTCAAACCCAATGGTTTCTTATCGGCGAAAGTGGCCCACCTCTGAAAAATGTGTGAAGAACACTGATGTAGAGTAACAGCTTTAAATTGATATTGAGGTGATTGAGCCAGATAATTGTGTCAGGAGTAGCAGACAATATCGCTGCGATGCCTGCTTCATATTTGTGAATCGGGCATCGAGTCGTTACATGTGTAGTGACATAGAATGGGTCACTGGGGCGCATAGCGCTGGTTACTGGTAGAGAGCGAGGATCTGAGGACACAGCAGCCGGTCTGCCAGCAGGGCGCGTGATAGGCGGGGTAAGGGATGTGGGGTAAGAGTGACAGAGGGGACACGTGGGGCGAAGCCCAGAATCTTCTGGTAGGTTCCAGAAGGGGGCGTGGCCGAGGGCGGAGTCAGGCCACGCTGGGGAGTATAAAAGGGAGGTCCCGACGCTGGGTCGGGGCTGTCGTTTGGAATGGAACCCGTCGTCTGCAAGTCTTCGTCCCCGTCTTCACCTCCTCGGCGTTGTGGGTCAGACAGTGTGCCGGCTGTCCTGACCCATGTGTAGTTATTCCCTGTACTGCGGAAGTGTTAGAATAAACGGTGTGTGCCCCCTACTATAAGTGTCTCTGAAGTGACGACTACACATGTTCCATGGTTCTGTTTTGGGTGACCACAGGCTGGCACCAGAGGGTTTTTAATTTTACATTTGTGCATCAAGTGTCCGCGCACTTAAGCTCATAGACATACCGTCGTATTGTTTCAGATGTGAGTACATACTCATTATTGAAATAATTTGAATATTGTAACATATTTTGAATATACATGAAAGTACAATGTATTTTTTGTGATACAGTATGCACACATCTAAAGATATATTTACAGTGTGAAATATAATTTCAATTACGTGTTTTTTCTGAGGTCAATTCCCAGTCACAGATAAAGTGTGTGGCGACTGGTATCTAAACCGGACCTGCCCACTGTCTTTATCAGCTCGCACTGACCAGCTTGGCGAAGTGAGGTTAAGCAACAACCACGACTGACATGGATTTTAACTAAGAGTTGATTAACATACAGCTGTAAATAATGTGTTTACTGTCAGTTATATAATAATTAACATTGTGTTGCACACAACATCTTCAGATAGCAAATGGTTTAGTAACCTAGCACATCAACACCAGCTTTACATGCAAGCATATGGGTAGGTTCTTAGACCAATGGTGTGCACGCTGCAGCCCACAGGCAGTTGTGGCATGGGTTTTACTCGCCGTGATCAAAAGGAAAATATGAAGGGTCAGCAAAACCCGCTGCTTGCTTTTGCTAGCGAACAGGCTACCAGGTCCACCCTTGTGAATGGGATATCACTCTTGCTGTCGTTGGTGTCATGTTGGCATCGTTTTCCATAGCACTCAACTGGCTCGAGAGGAGGTAAATGATATCCTTGATGTTGGCCCATGCTGGGTGAAACATTGCACCCCTCTGCGTTAGAGGTGGTTGACATTGTAGACGGCTGAATGTCATCGAGTCGCTTATTGCGATCGCATTTTTGTTGCCCTTCGTCATCAAGCCTCTTGCAGCACTTTGATCGCGTCAGGCAGCGTGTCAGCATCGTGACGACATTCCTGAAGTCGTCGGGGAAGTTCTCCGACACAAACACATTGAGGAACGGGTTCAGGGCACTGCTGAGGCTTGTGAGGGTGAAGCAGAGCCTGTAGGCGCTGCGGAGTGTCCCATCCAGGTCGTATTCCCCAAATTTGACGGAACGCACCAGAAGGAGCACATTGTACGGCAGAAAGCTGACCACGAAGATGACCAGGATGGCCACGATGAGGCTGATAATCTTGACTTTCTGGCGCCTCTCCACGACACTGGTGCGTCGCACGATGTGGATGATGCAGCTGTACGACGCCACGATGAGGCACAGTGGGACTAGGAACCCCACAAACACCCTGAAGTAGTTGATGGTGATCACCCACGGCTCTTTGTACTTTTCGTAGCAGACTTCGTGGTGGTGTGAATCGTTGAAGAGCTGCGGGTGCGTGACGAGAGGGATGTGCGAGAGGACGAGCAGGGCCCACACGAATGCGCACGCCGCAATAGCCACGGACATGCGCCGTAGTCCCAGAGAGCGCAGGGGAAACGCCACGGCCAGGCAGCGGTCAAGGGCAATGCAGCACAGGAACATGATGGTGGTGTAGTTGTTCGTGTAGAAAACAAAGCCGACCAGCCTGCACATGTTTTCGCCATAGTTCCATGAATCGTGATTCTTCGTGTAGACGATCCACATGGGAAGGGTCAGGAGGTACAGGAAGTCCGATATGCAAAGGTTCATCAAATAAATCCCCAAAATGTTTTTCTGCTTAATGTACATGTAGGTCAGACATATGGCAATTAGGTTCCCGAAACTTCCGATGATGAATACGAGAGAGTATATGACTGGAAATAACGTCGTCTCGTATGTATCGCCATCAGGTTCTCCGTGTGATTGATTACATGAATTATTTCCTTCTGTCATCTTTGTAGGTTCTGCCAACATCACTGAAAAAAATGAAATCGTTCAAAATAACTTCAAGGTTAGGATATTATTCACTGTAGATAATTTCATTTGTCACTATGTTGTGATTACAGTAAAGCTCCTCTTAACGACCACCCCTGTTGACGACTAATCGCTTAACGACAGGCCTCCATAGAGCCCAGTGTGTAGTGTATAGTGTAGTGTATACTGTATAGTAGTATAGTGCCTCCATAGAGCCCAGTGTGTAGTGTGTAGTGTAGTGTATAGTGTATAGTAGTGTAGTGCCTCCATAGAGCCCAGTGTATAGTGTAGTGTATAGTGTAGTGTAGTGCCTCCATAGAGCCCAGTGTGTAGTGTAGTGTATAGTAGTGTAGTGTCTCCATAGAGCCCAGTATGTAGTATATAGTGTAGTGTATAGTAGTGTAGTGCCTCCATAGAGCCCAGTGTGTAGTCACTGTAGTGTATAGTAGTGTAGTGTGTAGTAGTGTATAGTAGTGTAGTGCCACCATTCCCCTGTTAATGACGGGCTATTGTAGGTACAATAAATGTGAATTAATGCATGGATTAACCATGTTTATTTTTATATTATGTGTTTATAATGTTGTTAGTATATTGATGTATTAATGTACATTTAAATATTATAAAGTACGTTTTGGGGTGAAAAAGGGCAATCTTGATTTGAAGCTTTCGTGACTGCAGGAATCCACACTCTTTGCTTCTTTCGGCAAAGTCACGTAGGTAGAAATAATAATAGATCACGACGTTTCGATTTTTTTTCTACCCACGTGACTTTACCGAAAGAACCAAAGAGTATGAAAAAGGGTAACTTTCGATGCTATCGGAACGAAATCAGCTTAACGACCGTTTTCGTGGAACCAATTGCCGTGGTTAAGAGGGCTTCTACTATAAATTTAAAATGTTCCCAATTGTATCCCAGTTGTGCCCTTGGCGTCATGTAATGAGACGACGTATCCATTCGGATGTCTCACAGCAGTACATTGTTTTAGTTATGAAATGGTGCATGGAAGCAAATGTCATGCCTCTGAGATCAATTCAATGGCCTGTGGTCCATACAATGCCAGGCAGCACTTTCCCACCCACTATGCATATGAGAATATTGTTCGTCACATAACAGTTAAACTAATATTTAATTATCAGACCTGGAATTTAGACTAATTATTTCATAATTAAATTTAGTGTGAGTGGTTCTTTGTCTGTGCACTCCCTGCACTTGAGAACCTGGTTCGTCACGGGCAGATTGCGGGTTTCGAAACCAGCATCTCGAATGCCAGCGAAGCGCCAATCTTTCTATGGAATGACGACCAGTGTTTTACCGACTACACAGTACTCGTTTTATTGACCCCAAAGTATTGATGGGCTAAGTCAACTCACGGCTGGGATGTGAACTCACAACCTTCCAATTGTAAGTCAACTGTTTTAAGCAGTGGGTTAGTATATGCATGGACAGCCCTTTTGTCAATCCACTGCTGGATGAAGGCCTCCTCACGCCGTGTGGGTCTCGGAGCTTATTTGACGATACCTCACCACACTGGTCAGAGCGGGTGGGCAGTGATGAATAAAAGCGTAGATGTAGAGTACAACAAATGGATTTTGTTGAACCACCCTCTGCTCCTCAGCACGTGTCCCCCACTGCAACCGATGACAGCTCTGTGATCGCCCTTTGACACACGGACCAAGCTCAACTCCGCTGACGTTCCACGCTCTGATGCGATCAAGTGCATGCCGTGCGATTTGGTCAAATAATATACTGTACAGGGCGGTTCAGATGTCTTGCTACCTCCATTTAATTATCTAAAACTTAATATTTTTAAAAGCAAGGTTCATTTCAAACAGACATCAATGAAACATTTTTTAGGGGTTAATTAATTGGGAGGCCAGAATACATCTGGGTCACCCTGTGCATACGCAGTTGATAAATTAAGCTCGCAAGTCATTAAATTATCAGTACGGGACTTAATTACGATTTATATTCCGTATATGTTATATCCATAAATATACATTGCGAAAACAATATCTTAATGATAAATAACAACAAGAATATTGTACCTGCAAGCCAATGTGGTGTTGATCCGTATGGATGTATATCTTCTGGAAGCTGGTGACAAAACTGGTGAGAACGTAGACTTGGCAGTCACCGCTTTTGTCGCTGGCTCCGGTTTTTCCAACCTCTGGTTCTACGAAGTCTGTAATGCACTTTTATAATGTTCTTTTTTTTACAGTTTGCACGTCGCCCCATGTGTGGGTGTACTGCGTTGCACATCCGTCAGAGCAATGCAGAAGTCGATTGCGCATGGGTGCAGATGACTGTGCCACTGGAGCTGTGCTTACCTTTGTTACTCATGGAAAAAAAAAACATGCAAGGCTGGTGGGTTTTGTGCACATAACATGCAGGCGGATTGTTAAAACCTTTCTAAACGCGACGCATGATATTCTAATTATTGTTATTATGCGATATACAACTTGAGTTATACTAGGTGCATTATACGTGGCAGAGGATAGTTAAAAGGCCGTCGACATGTTGGTAACATTTCCGATATATTATCAGTGGTTCCCAACCTGTGTGCACAGGCCACTCGCGGTTCCACCAATTCGTGAGAACCAGTTCGTTGGCCAGATGTAAGATAATGGGTGCGGCGGGCCTTATTCACAACACACTGAATATTTTTAGTTTGTGGTGGTCCCAAAATTTTATTGAGGTTTGTCATGGGTCTGCACGTTCAGAAAAGTTGGGTACCATGGCCCCCTTTTTTGGGAGGGGGGCAATATTACAGAGCATTTGGTGCTAGCATTCTTATTTGGAAGTCTATGGAGCACGTTCGCATGTTGGCAGGCACTTCACGTGGAGGGGAACTGTTCAACACCCCTGTATGACTCCATAAATAAAACATCGTTCGTATTTTTGTTTATATTATCTATTGAGGTTTTGTTCGAAAAAACTAAAATATCCGAAAATTTAAAATAAAACCCAAATTTGGTGACTCAGAAGTCATGGCGCCAATTGAGACCCCGGGTTCGAATCCAGACAGCTGCCTGTGATGAAGGCGGGTTCTCAAGTGTCCCGAGTGAATGGTGTCATCCCGGTCACCAATTACCGCACACACAAACACACCCATTCACATTCAGTTCTGCACTTAATTTGACTAAATTACAAATTTTAGAATTAAATATATTGGTTGCCTGTCATGTGATGAAGGTTACTGTCATATGCAGAGAGCATGTGAACGGCTGTCATCTGCTGTGTGGGACAGAAGCTTCTTACGTGGGCCGCTCTGGCATGAGATGTTGCAGGCTGCTCTGGCAGAGATCGGAGTGGATCGGCCCTACCATGTACGCCCCACTTTGCCACCAAACACTGTGCAGTTATTGGTCGTGTGATAGGAAGTCTGCCTACAGATATGAACCTGTCTAACCAGCGCCCACGCACAAGGACTTCGCGTAAAACCGCGACGATTCCTTTTTTTCCAAAAAAAACGTCGAGCTGTGAGCGTCACGATTACTGTACAGGGTGGTCCAGATGTGTTGTGACCCCCCCCCCCCCCCCATTTGATTATCTAGAACTTGTAGCTACAATTGCCTCGTGTACGTCAATAAAAGGTCTAAATAGAAAGCTGCTGAGATCCCTTCAAGTGACCTCCGAGCACGAGGGGGCATCATGCTCTCACGATGTCTCATGATGCACTGGTGGACAACTCTGTTCAATCGCAGGCTGCGGTCTGGATTCGAATCCTGCTGTTACCACTATAATATGACCGCAGTGTGATCAAATGACGTGCATTTGTATCAATGCGAAGATGTTCTCTCACACTTGGTATTTAAAAAAAGTTTCTTTTTTTTTATTAAAAACGCAATTAGAATACCATGGTTGTAGCTTAAAGGAGAATGAGGTGTCTGTTGTGAGTCTGCTTTTATCCAGATTCTGACAGGTTAGTCTCATCGATTTTCTTTCCTCTTTGATGCATGCTTTGTCAAAATGTATAAATACAAATGGATTTTCTCATCTGTCGGTCCAAAATTTGTGCAAATTTAACATGAATTATTTTCAAATGATGTGTAAGGTTTTTGTTTGGCCGATGTTTAGTTCCATAATTAGATTAAAATGCATTTTGGGGTGTCATTTTGAAGGTAATAGTGTGTGTGTATATTAGTTTGAATAAAATATGGCTTATTTATTGAAAAATCCAATGGCTTGACACGTACACAAAACTGAAGGCACCTTCACCACCCAATATGGATGAAAGAAAAATGTTTGTCTGAAACCGTGGTAATCCGTGAGCATTCCTTCATTATCAAGAAAGGTGGACAAATTATGTAAATCTGAATTAGTCCTAACCCATTGACATACTATGCCCAAGCAAAAAGCCACTTCACAATAAAACAAGCGTCACTTTGTCACCAATTGGTTGCAACAAAAACTATACAGATTCTAGCATTTGTATTGACAATCTGTGCAGTAAGTTTTGTATTTATTGGTTTACGGTTGGTTTATGGTTGCTGTCGTTTTTTTGTGTCCTGTGGGTCATTGAAACCAAGGAGTGGGGGGGGGGGGAGTTGAGGCGTTTGTAGAGGTGGAAGAAATGGCATTTGTTCGGAATTTTCTAAGGAAATTAATTTTAAGATAGGCTGTGCATATGCAGGAATGTTTTTGGTCCGGTGTGAGACTTTGCAGGATGGAAGTGACGATGGCAGTCCGGAGGACTCTGATTACATTGGCAAAGCTGGTAATGTAGGGGGCTATGGGTGGCTAAAACATTAGAGATGGGTGTGGTGAGAAACCATTAAGAGGTAGAAGATGGGGGGTTTGGTTTTAGATGATGGCAATATGTTAATGTATGTTGGGGTGGCTGCTCGGGTGATTCTCGGGAGAGGTGGTTGGGACGTAGCAGAACGGACAACAGAAGGAGCAGAGTCAAACACTCGAATTCCAATCCTGGTTTTCTTAACCTTTTATGAAATTGCGAGGTCAGTTAATTTGCAATAGTCAGTGGAGGAAGTTCTGGGGATCCAGGGGAGAGTTCGCAGTGCTGGTGACGGATTTAGAGTTTCCGGCAACGTCAGACATTGATTTGCAGACAATTTAAGCAAAGGTTCCACTGGCAGTGACTGATTTTGGGGTACAGCGATTAATATTTTTTCTTTGGCGGTCCAGCTGGGCAAGACTCGCTGATATGCTTGCCAGTATGGTGGTAGTCCGTAACTGTGGGTTGACTTGACTGTGTATGTGATCATCAATGGAATACACGTACAGTATTGCAACAGTGAAACAGAAAATTGGTTTAGATGCTGCAGAATTTCTGTCTTCACAGTCTGGCCTTCTTCTTTGTATGGTTGATGTAGAGCGTACAACGATACTTTTACATTGAGGAGGTTGAGCCAGATGATTGCGCCAGGAGTAGTGGAGTTTATAGCTGTGATGCCTCATTCTTATTTGTGAATCGGTCATTTGAGTCGTATGTTCCATGGGCTGTTCTAGGTGACCACAGTTGCACACCGGATATGTGTTTTTTACTTTCCATTTGTGCATCAACTTTCCACATCTGCTGCCATCGTTTGTGAACGGATGCGATTTGAGGTTGTGCGTATAGTCTTCGTGGGAGATCGAAGCAAGGCATCTTCTGCGTTTGGTCTTTCATGAGGTGTTTGTTTGTGACCTCTTGTGAACGTCGAAGAGATGGTTGGCTGATGTTCGATGGCCGGGTTGATTTCTCACTGCACAGAGAGGGCCGCGTGAAGGCTGCCATGTTTCACTCCAGCAGTCTGGTGAACAGGTATATGCCACTTGTAAATATGAATAATAATAGCAATTAATTAATATATTTATCTATCGGGAATGCATGATGAATATCGAAAGCATGGTGCATAACTGGGTGCAATTCTAATTTTGATTACAGTACAAAGGTAATGGTAGCTGAAATTACGTAAAAATAATTACACGTCCATTGCAATTTCTGACAAATGTCACAATTGCAATTGACCTCAGGCCTGGGATGGACACGAGAAGCAAGTTGGGGAATTCGTTGGATACGAGGAACAATAAGCTTGAGTGTTGCGGGATAGCTCGGTGAACAGACCTTGAAAGAGAGAACTGAAAAGCACCGAGTCGGCTGCGTGGGAGGAACAGGGAGCTCGGGAGAGAGTATCTCGTGGCATGTGATGGTGATGAAGGTGGAGCTGTAAAGTGGTGAGAGTACTATGTTGATATTCTTTCACACTGTACGTAGCCAACCGTGCTAATCGGAGGTACGGGGGAAGGACAACAAACGAAACAGAAAAAGCACTTCTGGATAAATTAGTTTTCAATCTAGATTTAAAAGTGCATAGCTCCAGCGGCTTCCTAATATTGGAACGAATGGCGTTCCAGATGGCCGCAGAAGCGTCTTTGTCCGATGGCTAGTAAAAAAAAAGAGATTTCAACGAGGGATAGAGTGTGTGTGTGTGGGAAGGGGCATGTAATAATGTTTATAAAGGTGGAGCCGGAGAGCGATGCGAGAGAACACTTAGAAGATACAGTTTGACAATCCTGGATAGAGCTGCTGACGGGTGTCATATAGCAAGAGGGTTCTAACATTACAACCTTGTACAGCATTGTCACTGTTAAGGAAATTCACGCAGAGGTGTGTTACGATGTCTGCTTAGGCTTTGAAGTGCTATGCAATGATGGCCCTTTAAGCATGAATGAAAACAAATCGGTGAAATTACATCTAATATACTGGTAGGAACCTCCTGGTTACACCAGCCCACAGGGGATTATTGTGTCCGTCCGTCGTGCAGGGAGGGGCTGGGTGGGGCTGGGTGGGGAGGGTGGGGCTGGGTGGGGGGTGGGAGGAGTGGGGCTGGGTGGGGAGGGGCTGGTCACCACGTGGTGCCCTTATAAAACCCAACGTTTAACCTACTCACGCCGGCTTGTGCCCGCCCTCACAGTCGGGCATATTTGCGGAATACACCACGCCGCCGTTGACCCTGCAGGCCATTGACCGAGCAACCCAACGTTCCTACCAGCTCCCTCCGCAGGAATGTGTTTACTAAACCATTCATGTGACACCACGCAACAATTACTTTTTGTCAATGTTCCACTTTACAATTCATTCCAAGGAGGTACATTGTCTGATTTACTTATTTGATCTTCTGCCAAGAAAATGATCGTTGAAAATAACTTCAGACTACCTAATAATGGTATAAAATGCATTTATTCACCAGTTAATATAAATTGTCAAGCTTATATGATACATCCACTGAATCCAGTAATAAACAAACATGATCGTTTCATGTAAAATACGTTTCATTGCAACGATAACTTATCAAATCGCTGATGCAGTGAATTGTGACTCCTCTCATGATTAGCCATGCTAAGTAAATTAATTTTTATAGCCGTGGAGGATGATTTCATGATTCATGGCGTTACACACGGGGATTGCGATGTTTGATATTTATGTACAGAGTGGACATGAATTCTCTATTCCCCTTTTAACTATATATATCGCATCTGGTTTGTATTATATTTAGACACGACGCAGAGGATCCTGGCTTTGAGATTTCGCAAAGCTCATGGGCCACAACCAAAAGCCGTATTAACCGCACAAACCGTGGCAGATGTGGGGAATTGATGGGCAAATAGAAAATTAAAAACTCTCCCGTGTGCAATTGTGGTCACCTAGAACAGGCCATGGAGCACGTGGACTCGGTGCCCGATTCACAAGTCCGAGAGAGGCATCATCACAGTGATACTACTCCTGACGCAATCATCTGGCTCAACCACTTCAACACTATATTATATTTTTTGCTGTATATCAACATCCGGCATTTGTTGAAGAGAATAAGACAATACTGTTGCTGTTTGCTACCGCAGTCGTAAAACTGCGTGCAATACGTAGTCTGTGAATGTGGTTCCGCTTTTTGTGTATTGTTAGCATTCAGAAAACTGAAGTCGAGTTCTTCGTATTGAATTTGTTGGTAATGACAGGGACTTTCATGCATTTTTAGGTGCAATATTAAATATATATATAGAAGGGGAATACCGGTTGGGTAGATTTTAAGCACAAAGGAAATTGAATGGGATGCTGACTGTATGTTATCACCAAATAATCCTGAATGTGCCTGATCTTGTCAGATCTCAGCAGCCAGTGGTTGGATGGGTGAACACCACGAATGCAAGTCATCACTGGCAGCTGGGGGGGGGGGGGGGGGCGGGCTGTGGGCAGCAGAGCTGGGCAGTGGAGCATCAACACTCATTGTTGTGTTGTACTCCAATGTCCCCACATCGATGCTCACGGCTTCACCAACGTACTCTGAGCAGCGCGGTGAAGTATGGTCAAATAGGCCTCGCGGCCTCGCACGGCATGTGCCTCAGACCCTCATCCAGCGGTGGATTTACAAAAAGGGCTGTACACGATGGACGTGTGTACCACTGCAATTAAATACAAACTCTCTTGAAAACAACAACAACAACTGCCTAAACCGTTGCCACTGGAAACACACCTCACTTGCAGACTATGGGATATTGGAGCATTCTATTCCTTTCTGTATGGGTGTTAATCCTAAACGACCAACCAGAAAAAACCCCACAAAAGATTGTCCAATCCGACCTCAATTTAATTCTGCTGCATCCAGTGTAGCGTGAAGTCGAGACGACCCGCAGCCAATGGAAGACACGCGATTGAGTGAATATTACTTTCCTGTGGCCCTCGTGCGAGGGCACCCCTTTGTTGGCTGTGCTGGACACTGCGAATTGTCCGCGTGGTGGCCGCAAGCTTCTGTTGTGAAATGCGTGCGGAGCCCCGAGAGGGCACGCTGAGATGTGTGGCACCACGGCCACGCGTGGTCTCATCACTGCTTTGCCCTCCCCCGAGCCAGCGATGATGAATCGCTGTCGGTCTCCGTTAGTCGCACTCCAGTTGCCAATGCACCAGAGCATGTGGCCCGAAGGCAAAAACCCGTATGGAGAAAAGCATTCTCACTGCTGCGAGAAACCCTCTTCTGCTAAGTGGTGTTTCATTATCATGGTGCAGTTATCTCGTCTGGTCGCTGTCTTGAGGATGGTTGATGCTTTCTTTGTTTAAGAGCCAGAGGGGGAGGTTTGTGGCATGGACATTTAGGACGATAGATATTTAAATCCGTTTTTACATGTTTAATTTTCCTCGGGAAACAATGCAATGAAAATCCCATATTCTGTTTTGGAAAACGAGTTCAGAGCATTCTATACAGCAACGAATTGTGTATTCATTTAGTTAATTTTTGTTCTGGTGAATAACATCTATTTGAATAATAATTAATAATTAATTAGTAAATGTGGGTGTAAAATCAGTACTTATTTAACTTGTGGAACTTTATGGAGTTGAGATTGTCACCGTTTTACTACAGAACCACTAAATTGCTCCATGCTTTACACTGCATTAGCTGTAGACAACATGTAAGCTTAACCATTTGCTTCTGCCAGTAGAGTTTTTAATACGATAGGCAGTTGTGTTTGTTCAATGTCCTATACACTACAGTTATTGATTTCACAGCATAGACCAGTTAGCAGGACTTGCCATCTGTGCAAGGCAGCTTTCCGTGCTGTCAGTGCAAGTTACGATGCCCGAGTAAGCACGCTTTAGCATGTGTTGACAATGACGGCTCAATAAAGTATGCGCAATGCAACATGAGTACCCGCAGACCAAATTACTGACAAATACAAGGTTTGATTTTGCCCATAGATTTACAAACGCTGCCATGCACCCCCATTTATGTCACAGACAGAGCAGAGCAAAGCAAATGCAAAGCCATTTTTCCCCGTAACACGAACAGTCCTTTAAAGAGAGGAACCCAGGTGTCACAAGGAGTAGGCGTACACTACGCAGACGACAACGATGTTGGCGACGGTGGAAACGACGGCGAGCCACAAGCCGAGATTCCTGTACCTCCTCCTGACCCCGCGACCTTCGCGGCCGACGCCGCCGCCCGCCGCGTGCAGGTCTGTGTCGAGCTCGCACCACGATGGCGGCGGCGTGGTCGTCGTCGTCGTCGAGTCGCCGGTCCACGCGGACGCTGCGTCGTCGTCGCGATTCGAGCCGTCCCCTAAGTCCTCCGTGAACGTGGCTCCCATCATGGGCAGAGTCTAGTGGAAGAGTGATGCACATCGACAGAAAAGAGATGAAGACCCCCCCCCCCCCCCCCACTTTGTCTCTTCGGCGGTAGATACTAAACTAAACTATTTGGTATGTTAGCAGGTAAGGCCCACTGAGCGATGTAGCTGTTTTTCAGACGCGACCTGGCCACAAATGATAACTCAACGAAGTGGCTTATCACGTGGAAATGTATAGAAACAAAATACTCTAAATGCATGTTTCTAAATACGGAGAGAAAAACCGGAGGACCCGGAGAAAAATCCACGCGACTACAGGGAGAACATGCAAACTTCAAATCTACAGGTGTCAGGGTCGTGATGAAACCCACAGCCTCCTGTACATTAGGCGAGGTCGTTAACATCTCACCGCCACGGCGAGAAGAGCGCTGTTCGTGAGAACCTATTGGGCGCCATGGCCATCGGCAACTTTGGTGCGCTTGTTGCGGAGGTTCGTGGTTGCAGCACGGTGGCCAACCTGTTTAATGCTGCGGTCGTATTAACCATGGTGGTTCTGCGCGCCATCTGCTTCACATTGGACGTTAGCAATCCCGTGACATCATTCTCAAAATAATGAGTCACGTGTGTTGGCGTCATGGTGCAAACTTGTGTTCAAATAAAAAAATTGGCTACAAATGATCAAATTGAGTAAAACCACGTCGCAGCGTCGTCGCCTACTGGCCGACTATGCACGCCTGTTAAATATAACATTGTGCCTTCAGGATATACAAATGGTGTGAATACCAAATGTATATCTGCACGCAGAAACCTGTTCACTGCCATGTTGATATCGTGCAGAAACAAGATCGAAAAGCTTAAACTCATGAGCACTGGAGAAGCGTAGTGCTCATCGTCGCGAGCACTGCTGCTCTGTGGTCTAAATGTAAAATGTATCTCGCAGGATCACTCGTCCCATGAGATAAATTCCGTTGACTTCTTGTAACATGTTACTCGTGTCACCAACCCCACAGGGGTTCACACTAAGGGCTGAGAGAACCTCGACCAGGATATGGGCACGCAGTCTTGATATGCGCGAAGTTGAATCCCAGTGATAGAATTAAAATACTATTAATAATACATAAATAGCATTCATCTGTATTACATAATATTACAATGTCCCATCAATTCGGTGCTTCATATTAGCTTGATATATTTAATTCATGCCCTATAAAATTTCTAACAGTGCATTAATTCCATGAGACATGGAAAGGAAGGTCAAACATTATTGTTGCTGTTGCCATTGTCATTAATTACCATCACCACATCTGTTTCTCGCTCACCGTGTATCTCTACATCGGTCTACCCTCTGCCTCAGTTCTTTCCTGCTCTCTCTTTGTCCTCATGCCCTTTCTCTTTCAGTGATCTAGCTCCAATAATCTATTATCTCAATCCTTGTCTTTCAAAATAGTATAAATCCACATCTCCATTATGCTTCTCAATAGGCAAGTACGTCTTACTATTAGAGACAAAATGTATCCACTAGCATGGGCTGCTGGATTCCCACCATATGAATTGTAGCATGCCTGGGTTTTACCGCTCTACCCATCTGATGCCCCTTTAAGCGTTATAATGCTTCTTAAAGTAATAGAAAGATCCGCCAGCTTGAATCCATAATGTGATTTGGACACAGCCTTTGCCAGGCCCCCATGTCTGGCACATTACAATCAAATACTCCAATCATCCCCTACTGATGGATGTGTCCAATGTGACAATTTAACTCACATTCATTTGGAGGAAAATAAGACTAATTCATGTCCTTACACTTTAGATTGGCCAAAACAGAGTGCTCTACCGTGAATCAGTGGCCCTCTGCCAACCATCAATTCCCACCCAGTATGAAACTTGACTTAAAGCTTTCGTGACTGCAGGAATTAATATTCTTTGGGTCTTTCGGTAAAGTCACGTAGATAGGTTGAATGAAAATAACAAAAATGACAAAAAAACGTTTCGATCACAACACAAGCGATCGTCATCCTCCGTCATCCAGCTGATGACGATTGCTTGTGTTGTGATCGAAACGTCGTAGTTTTTTTGTTATTTTTTTGTTATTTTCTTTCAACCTATCTACGTGACTTTACCAAAAGACCCAAAACATATCCTACCCAGTACGTTTAAGATTATACTTTTTAAAGTATGGGATTAACTAAACTATTTGCTTTTTATCAGAGGCGACCTGGTCACACGTGATCGCTCATCAAAGCGGCTTATCATCGTAGGAGCCAAGTTATCTATATGCATGTTTAAAAATGTGGAGGGCAATACCTCAAGACACGGAGAAAATCCCCACGACTATGGGGAGAAAATACGCAAACTCCAAATACACAGGCGTCAGGTCCAGATTGAACCCAGTCAGGGCCTGTAACATGACGGGCGCTGACTGGCCGTATTCTCCTGTGAGGGCACGTGCCTCCCTTGGCTCGCTGGACTCGTGAGACATCGTGGGCTCACTCAATTCTCTCTTATTTATTCTCACATTTCAGGCACGATTACTGGGCGACAATATACATACACGGCTACGCATAGCCGACCCATCTACACAGCCCCATCATCGGCGTATAACTATATAGCTGGCTGACTAATATAGCGGCGACGACGATGGGAGCCGTGCAGAGGATCGGCCACGCGGCCAGGACAATGAAGAGAGATGACGGCGAAGACAGCGACGGCAGCTAAGACCCGGGACCCCACGGCAGCCACCTTCGGTCACGTCCCCCCCCCCCCCCTTATATACTTCCCGGCGTGGCCAGGCCCCGCCTCTGGCCACGCCCCCTTCTAGACCCTTCGAGCAGCTTCCCGGAGCTTCTCGACTGACCCCGCCCTTGACCTTAACCCGGACACGCCCCTCTTCCAGTTGGCTATTATATAACGCGCCCATGCTCGTGATTACCCCTCCTGGCCATCAGATGGCATCCTGTCGTCGCACATGCAAAGGCAGGGATTTGACGACGGTGGCAAACAGCCTAACGCCGTTCACAAGGTGCACGTGCGAGCGCCCGGAGTTGTTTTGAACCGACTGAGAAGGTTCGTACGAGAGGGGAAGGGGGTGGATACAAACGGTGCATGCACACCTGGTTCTGGGCGTGTTCGTGGTGGGGCCAGCAGTGAGCGACACCAGGTCGACTACTGTCCATTGATGGACAGAGCAGGCTCAACGCGGCCTGATTAGCACTGCAGGCAGCACCTGGCCCTGGCCACGCAGAGGTCAAGAGTGAGCTAGCACCTAAAGACCAGCACGTTCAGGGTTGAAGACAACCTGCAGGAGACAGGAGACAGGAGAGAGAGAGGGCGTCAAACGTAGAACATTGCCATACCGTGCGGGAAATAGAGATACGCGTCCACGTGAATAACAGAAGAGTCAACATGTAGGATAAGTTGGCGTGCGGTGTTCACAGTGTTCATTTGTACACATCGCGATTCATAGCTGCGATTCGCATGGTTGGATACGTACGGTGCAAAACAAGTTAAACATACGTACATAGCCAAGATAGAGTTGCATTATGTATAGCTTTAGATAGTGTTCGATAGTGTCGTTCTGAATATAGATTGTTTGCTATTTATTTGTATTTCTTACTTCATGTGCGCATCTTGTGCTGCTTCACTGTGAATTCACGCTGCCATGTTCTATCAACCTTAATCCACTCCAGTTATTAAGAGTATTTGCCATAATTAGTCTGTTGGTTCTTTGGGCGAACGCTTTTACAGTTTTGTAATTGAAGTAAGATCTACCGTATATCATCGATATGAGTTTTGGATGTTGAAAAATAAAAGTCAGATTTTCGAGATTTTTGTTGTTAGGTATTTAGGTAAGAATTATGTTCTGCTAATGTTTGGTCTCGTTCACACGATGTAACAATTTGTCGTGTTCTCGTGCTAACAAAAGTGACGTCTCCCGACGCCACGTGACACCACTTTCGTTGAGAAAAGAGCGGACTTGATCTCCGTTGGTGACTGACGTCATGGGAGCTTTCGAATCGGTCCGCTGTTTCCTATCGAGGCCCCAATTTTTGGATTTTAATCAGAAAATTGAGGATACGTCGCTAAAGTAGGGTAAAATTTGTTTTACGTATGTTTACTCTGAAGTACTGTTTATGCAATTGTTTAGGTATTTCTGTTGTATACCCACTGTCGGATAATCTCAGGTACACGGGAACTTACAAGCATTGTGAATTATTGGAAATTGTTAACTATACAATACTCAGCAATTTCCCAGTACACTTTTATTTTGTGCAGAGAAAATGTTTTCCTTTAACTTGAATTACATTCCTCACATTTCCAATGTGACGAGATGAATTCCTACTTTTGAACTATGTGTGAAGCACAGGTATCTGTGCAAGCCATCAAAACACTGACTGTTATCAGCACAATTAACAGGGTGAACCATCTATCATCGCCAGTAGCGGCAACCATTGTCTATCCACTGCTGGATGAAGGCATCCCCACGTTCTCACCATCTCTCATGGTTCAGTGATGATACGTTAATCTCACTCCTGCACCTAAACTGATCGCTCCATCTCTGCAAAGGTTGAATTCTCGCCCACATTCTCTACTTTGGCTGCAATTCTGTCACGAATCTCATCGAACATCATCCCTTTCCGTGATGTGTCCTGTCCAAAAACCCACTTTTAAAATGTATCAACATGATGGCTCTGATTTGGTCTGTTCCCTGCTGCATGTATTCCTGTTCTAGTCTCTCAGGCTAATTCCAAGCACGCATCCCGACATGTTTCTTTGTGCACTGCTCAGCTTGGAGTACCTATAATTCTGCTCCACGTGTCGTGATGGCGGCAATGCACGGCGTGAAATATTTATTATTCAGAACATCCGTGGGCTTCTTCTCATTATCATGTTCAATGGTCCAACGGCCCTCCATGCTACTCTTGTCCTCTCCTTCGTTTAATACGTTTGATCCCATTTCACCTTCATTAACTGCACTAAGTATGCATCTCCTGCAGTGTTTTCAAGCTGTGTCGCCATCTATGTCAATAATGAAGAATGCGTATCACAGCGTCTCACTGCTCAAATTAGCAACTGGGTGGCACTTTTCGTCAAGTGACCATAAACCGGCGGTTGAACATTTCTAACGTTCCTTTGCCTTTGATCATCTTCTCCACAAGACGACCACTGTTAACCACTCACAAAGTGATGGTCACTTTATCAACCCTAGAGGATGATGGGCTGAGTAGACCGCGCAGCCGGGATTTTAACAGGAGCCTGATAATTGTGAGTTGTCATTCTGCCACTGTGTTTAAATATATTTTCACGCACATCTGTACTTAAACGTATACATTGCATTGTATTTCTGGCAGTATATTATCTGTATCGGCATTAACATATACATGCATACGCAGTAGATGGGTCTACAGAAACATAATAAACTATACAATAGTACAACAGGTATACACTTGCAGTCATGTCTACTGCTTCGGGTGATATATTAAGAAGATATATCAGTGCTGGTGGAAGAAGCAAAAACTCAACTTACGTGTACCGATAAATATGAAAAATCCATGGTGCTGGTCACAAATGCTGTGCTGGGTTTCCAGGGCGTCTTCATTGACCCCCCCCCCACCCAGGCAGCATGGAGCGGTGGGGCGCGCGTTTCTGGACTGGCGTCGTTTCATTCGCCTGCTCCGTTGCCCAAAGCTCGCCCCGACATCTAGGCCAAGCGCGCAACCAGGTGCAGGCAGCGGAAGTCTCCTGCGCTCGATTTTGAGTTTATTTTTTTGTATCTCATTATTCCTGCTGCAATATGTCAAAAATATATATATAGAAGAGGGGGGGGGGGGGAAGCTACGGATTGGCTCGCGGTAAGTCCACGGGGCTCTAGCCCAGTTTGTAGCAACCAGCGGAGTGCGCCGCGTGTCCTGCTTTGTCAGGGTGGCGATCGCGACCGCGAAGTGCCGGGGTATGCCACGTGATGCCCAGCCTCGCTGTGCATTTCGCTAAAACCGGTCAGCCAATTTAACGATTTAATTTCGTCTGGAATCTGCCTCTTGTCGTCCCTCATTTTAAAATAACCCCTTTGTTGTTCATGAGTTCTGGCTATAAGCAGACGGAGAGTTTGACGGTGTTCCAGTGCCAACGCAAGCAAGTTACTCGGATTCATTTTTAGCAGCTTTCAAAAAAAGTAATTGATGTGTTTTAAATGTAGACTTGTTGGTAATTGCAGTACGGTGCTTGAGTGGAAGTTTAATGGTAGATAATGTAGGGGTGTGCTGGTGTCTTTTTGCACAGGCTGCAATGATGATTTTGGACAGACTGTCTTAAAATGATCATTTACTTCAATAATAAATTATCATTTATAGGAATGCTCCACTGCGATGGGCGCAATTGCCCCCCTACCCCGCCCCTCCACCCTTGAGACCATGAAATGTGGTATTTATTGATATTTACGGTATAAAATACAACAAATGTTCAATGTATTAATATAGGGCCCTATTTTTTTTAAAGCTTTAAATTTCAGGATGTCCCCCCCCAACCCTCCTAGGAAGGTTTTAGATCCACCTCGGATGTACTGTGCGACACACTTCATCATGGATAGACTTAAGGGCATCCAACATATTTGATTAAACCTAGTTTAACATTATTTAACATTGCTCATGTATACATATGTAGTGGGCTCAATTGAGGCGCACGCTCCAACCTGGAGGCAACACGTTTATTCCGGATCCAACGGGAAGACTATATAATCAGCCAGGTCAGCTAACACGCTGCCCGGCTCCCGATGGCCTGTCCGACACCCGAAGATCGAAGACCGAAGACTTGGCTCGCGGATTCCATTCCCAGGGACAGCCCTTCCTGCCCCCCACACCGGGCTTCTATCTGCCCCAGCGTGGCCAGGCTTCACCCCTGGTCATGCCCCATTCCAGATTCTTCTCGAGCGCTCTGGTTCCCCATCACGTGTCCCTCTCACCCCCTTTGGGGGGGGGCCCTTCCACCTCGTCCGGTCACGTGCCCTCCCGGGTTCACCCAAAGTGCCATGTCCTCGCCCGCCCTTTCTCTCACCGTTGCCGGGGCTATGCCCCCTAGAGAGCCCTTCCATGGCATCCACACCCTGGTGCTAGAGAGAGGCTCCGCCTCTACACTAGCACTCTTCACTTGGTATTGTCGCTGCCCTGGATGTGGAGTGGAGTTTGTCTGGTGCCAGGATGTAGAGTGGAGTTTGTCTGGTGCCAGGATGTAGAGTGGAGTTTGTCTGGTGCCAGGATGTGGAGTGGAGTTTGTCTGGTGCCAGGATGTAGAGTGGAGTTTGTCTGGTGCCAGGATGTAGAGTGGAGTTTGTCTGGTGCCGGGATGTGGAGTGGAGTTTGTCTGGTGCCAGGATGTGGAGTGGAGTTTGTCTGGTGCCGGGATGTGGAGTGGAGTTTGTCTGGTGCCAGGATGTAGAGTGGAGTTTGTCTGGTACCGGGATGTGGAGTGGAGTTTGTCTGGTGCCAGGATGTAGAGTGGAGTTTGTCTGGTGCCAGGATGTAGAGTGGAGTTTGTCTGGTGCCAGGATGTAGAGTGGAGTTTGTCTGGTGCCAGGATGTAGAGTGGAGTTTGTCTGGTGCCAGGATGTAGAGTGGAGTTTGTCTGGTGCCAGGATGTAGAGTGGAGTTGTCTGGTGCGAGTTTGTCTGGTGCCAGGATGTAGAGTGGAGTTTGTCTGGTGCCAGGATGTAGAGTGGAGTTTGTCTGGTGCCAGGATGTAGAGTGGAGTTTGTCTGGTGCCAGGATGTAGAGTGGAGTTTGTCTGGTGCCAGGATGTAGAGTGGAGTTTGTCTGGTGCCAGGATGTAGAGTGGAGTTTGTCTGGTGCCAGGATGTAGAGTGGAGTTTGTCTGGTGCCAGGATGTAGAGTGGAGTTTGTCTGGTGCCAGGATGTAGAGTGGAGTTTGTCTGGTGCCAGGATGTAGAGTGGAGTTTGTCTGGTGCCAGGATGTAGAGTGGAGTTTGTCTGGTGCCAGGATGTAGAGTGGAGTTTGTCTGGTGCCAGGATGTAGAGTGGAGTTTGTCTGGTGCCAGGATGTGGAGTGGAGTTTGTCTGGTGCCAGGATGTGGAGTGGAGTTTGTCTGGTGCCAGGATGTGGAGTGGAGTTTGTCTGGTGCCAGGATGTGGAGTGGAGTTTGTCTGGTGCCAGGATGTAGAGTGGAGTTTGTCTGGTGCCAGGATGTAGAGTGGAGTTTGTCTGGTGCCAGGATGTAGAGTGGAGTTTGTCTGGTGCCAGGATGTAGAGTGGAGTTTGTCTGGTGCCAGGATGTAGAGTGGAGTTTGTCTGGTGCCAGGATGTAGAGTGGAGTTTGTCTGGTGCCAGGATGTAGAGTGGAGTTTGTCTGGTGCCAGGATGTAGAGTGGAGTTTGTCTGGTGCCAGGATGTAGAGTGGAGTTTGTCTGGTGCCAGGATGTAGAGTGGAGTTTGTCTGGTGCCAGGATGTAGAGTGGAGTTTGTCTGGTGCCAGGATGTAGAGTGGAGTTTGTCTGGTGCCAGGATGTAGAGTGGAGTTTGTCTGGTGCCAGGATGTAGAGTGGAGTTTGTCTGGTGCCAGGATGTAGAGTGGAGTTTGTCTGGTGCCAGGATGTAGAGTGGAGTTTGTCTGGTGCCAGGATGTAGAGTGGAGTTTGTCTGGTGCCAGGATGTAGAGTGGAGTTTGTCATGGTGCCAGGATGTAGAGTGGAGTTTGTCTGGTGCCAGGATGTAGAGTGGAGTTTGTCTGGTGCCAGGATGTAGAGTGGAGTTTGTCAGGTGCCAAGATGTAGAGTGGAGTTTGTCTGGTGCCAGGATGTAGAGTGGAGTTTGTCTGGTGCCAGGATGTAGAGTGGAGTTTGTCTGGTGCCAGGATGTAGAGTGGAGTTTGTCTGGTGCCAGGATGTAGAGTGGAGTTTGTCTGGTGCCAGGATGTAGAGTGGAGTTTGTCTGGTGCCAGGATGTAGAGTGGAGTTTGTCTGGTGCCAGGATGTAGAGTGGAGTTTGTCTGGTGCCAGGATGTAGAGTGGAGTTTGTCAGGTGCCAGGATGTAGAGTGGAGTTTGTCTGGTGCCAGGATGTAGAGTGGAGTTTGTCTGGTGCCAGGATTGTAGAGTGGAGCTGGTGCCAGGATGTAGAGTGGAGTTTGTCTGGTGCCAGGATGTAGTGTGGAGTTTGTCTGGTGCCAGGATGTTGAGTGGAGTTTGTGTGGTTTATAGCAATACAGTATAGAATTTAATGTTGGGTTTGGCTATGGCAGTATATAGTACGGTGTAGACTCGTGTGATGTAAGAGAATAAAGTTTAGATGGAAGCATATTATATTTTTTACGACGTAGAATTGTAATGTATTACTTACTGTTAGTAACTCAGCTTATTGTAGAGTATATTTAGTATACTGATGATACTATGTAGTTTGTACTTTAGTTGTTTACGTGGTGGTTTTAGTTACTGCAGCTACACACTATTAACACTCCTTCCCTTTATTAATGCTACCCCTTATCCCCCTCCTTTGATGCTGCTAATCCTGCATAATGCACGGGCATAAGTAGTACTAATCACATACCTGCATTTCCCATATCCCCTCCCTTTGATGCTGCTAATCCTGCATAATGCACGGGCATAAGTAGTACTAATTACATACCTGCATTTCCCATAAATATGCAAAATTTCTCTTGATATACAAATTATTTTGTCAAGACGCCCTTTCCCCCCCTTCCAACGCAGATTAAATATACGCTCCAAGCATGGTGCTGTTTCATTCAGACGCTGTCTCCCCGACAGACCTGGTCTTCACCTGAGGACGGCTGCTTGCGTTGTGGCCGAAACGTCGTGAGAATTATTTTATTATGTTTTATTTTTATTATTTTATTATTTCCATTCTACGTGACTTTACCGAAAGAACCAAGAAGATGAATCCCTGCAGTCACGAAAGCTTTACATCGAAAAATGAATAAAGCGCTCTAACTAGCATTTATAGTTTTAAAAAATTCCATGTTTTTTACCCCAGTAATTACCCTGTCATCGCGAAATTTGTATGGGATAAGGGTAAAAGGTAAGGTAAAGGTAGGCTCGTTTTTTTTTTACACCTTTTACCTTACCTGCTAAAGGGTAAAAGGTAGGGTAGCGCGATTGTATTGTGGTAAGGTAAAGGGTAGGGTAAAGTTTCTCTTGTTTTTTTTTACCGTTTAACTTTTACCTTACCTTGCCGGGGCCTACCGTGTCCCCTGGCAAAGCAGGGGACGCGCTAAGAATTGCTGGCTATGAAACAGGACGCCTCCTGGAACAGGCCACCACCACTGACACATCCACATATGAGGCACACAGCATAAACAATCATGACTGTACTTCCATATGTATTGTTAAGAGCTTTATTTAGAGTTTTCCAGTCACCATGAATAATATATGCCGTACATATTTAATTAAACGGAAAGTTCGTAACCATCTGGAGAAATGCTGTAAGTCGCAATGGGACATCTTTTGGTAAGTTAAACGTTTACTGATTTTTTTTCACAAATATTTTTTTTGCAATTAGCTACTTAAGTACAGTACAGGTTACATTTTATAATTATATGAACATTTTTAAATTCATATTAAATAAATATATCATCATGTGTCTTGGAAAAGTGATTGTTTCATTATTTATTCTGTAACTGACAGCATTACATTACAGTGCAAGCATCATCGGTTGCAAAGTTTTAACTATTTATGGCAGGCTTATGTTACGTAAACTGCGGGTTGGAGTACTCCTTCCGTGATCTTTATTTGAACGG